ACCGCAACATAGCCTGTCATGTGCAATAGGGCAGCGATTCAGCGTCGCTTTCGCTTGGAATGGCAGTCAGCTGGCTTCCGCCGCTCGAGACGATCTCAGGCGGTACCCCAAGAAGGCAATTCGATCAGAACCCTTGCCCCTAGCACTGCCTGTTGGCAGCAGAGCATTTCAATGTACACCTTTAAACAGAACCATGACTCAAGCGACTCCGCGGGGCTTGCCAGTTCACAATCAGGGAAATATCGGGATACATTTCCCCGTATGTTCGACGCGCGATCCAAGGGCCGTTCGATCATATTGGAGTTCTCTTGTAGAGCCTCGACAAGCTAATGTTTATGCTATGCTTTCCATCCATTCAGGCAGCGCTGGGATACTTTGATCTCTTGACAATGCCAACTTCAAATGCTCTTTAATAAATAGCATCTGGTTGTGTAGCAGCTTCGAGAGCATTTCGACCGCCGAATCATATGTCTTAGGCTGCAAGACCACTGCATGCAATTTGGCCCAGCCGAACATACCACACCATCTTGTGATACATGATTTTGAGCTGCGCCTCTCCAAAACACACTAGTCCAGCCTTTCTTTTAGCGGATCCAAACTCTCGGGATTTAGTGCAAATGTATCTTACACACCTTGCGCCAACGCAGGGCGAGGATTCCGTTGCTTCATAGCGGAGCATTGCTGACCCCTGACATATTTGATTGTAAATCGTTCTGCTTATGGTGAACCAGGTCTGAACTACAGCTCTTGTGAAGGCGTACCATGAGACCTATTGGAGGTCCATGACTCTGTCAAGTTGTAAAGGCTTCTAGAGAGGCTTGAAAGCCTAGCCAGCCTACATCGCCACAGTTGAGCGCCAGACTACCCATCAAAGATGCGCCAAAACGCCTAGCCAGTACTTGGCTGACTGGTACAATCGAGGGATAATGAGGTGCACTGTATGAAGTGTGTTGGTGGCAGTGAACAGCCATCAACGGCAATCTGATGCATGATATAAACTTAACATTCCGGGTACATCAAGTGGTCAGCGACCTGCCAATTACCTAGGAAAGCTTCTCGAAAGACCAAACATTCAGCCGATGCTCCCTGTGTAACAGCAGCGGGAGCGCCATCTGCAGTAGTCAACGGGAACAAATACTTGTCCCCAGCCCTAGATGGAGACCAAGACGGAAGCCAAAGACGGGAGGACGGCATGAACCCCAAAAAATGCTGATCGCATCGCGTCATGGTCGGGGTGTTTTAGATTTTGGACGGCGTCAAACAAGATTGACCGGTTTCAAGCTCGGTCCAACGTCCCGGATACCCAGATTCCCGGATCTCCAGGACCCAAGCGCAAACCCGGACTTTTTAGCCTTGCCGCGCCATGAGAGCTTTAGTCTAAACTCTAATTCGACCGAACCTCAACCTCGAGAGGGTCAAACGAAACGCTACCGCTATCGGTGCCAAAAGATGATATAGAACACACAATGCCAGTCACAGTCTTGATTATCGCCTATTGTCGACCAACTGCATATCGTGCGTCGAGATCGTACCACCACTTCTCTAACCCTTACATTTTTGCCTATCATACGAGCGCCGAGTATTCCCTGCAGTCCCTATTAAAAATACTCCTTGGCTTTATATGCTATCCTCTTCAGGCTGTTAACCGAGCAGGGAGCCTTTGTCACTTCCAGATTGAACCGTGTCAAAATGATGCCAAAGGATTCTCACTCTGTCCCAATCTGCTATTCGCTCTCTTTACGATGGGCAGTTAAGGGTGTTTCGAATATGGCAGGCAGGGAGGGCGAACGGACGGCTGGTGCCTATCGAACACACAGTAACCCGAGATTGCTTACCACATCAAAAACAGGGGCGAACGGCTCGTCATCCAATTTGGGGACGATTGATGATGGCAACCGAAGTCGAGCTCCCGCACCCTCCCAGAAGGCGAACTACACTACCACAGCAAATGTTCCATCTCAGCGCTGCACTCTGATGCGGGAGGCCTTGGCGTCTGCGCACGCATGGCTGCGCCTTTTGCTGCATCCTGGTCGCATGCAGGTGGGCCATGAACCAGCCGTGTGTTCTGACCCAGCACTTGTTTCCCAAGCTAACATGCAGATCACCACATGTTTGGTGCTGGGAAATCGACCTAGCGCCTGGCGTTTTCGTGGCACTAAATACGGCATTATCCGAAAACAATACATACATACAAAGGAAGGAAGGTTAATAAACTGACCTGATATATGTAGACTCAAGCGAGGACTAAAAGCCAACAACATCATGGGGACATTAACACGGACACATATCGACAGTGAGAACGAGGTGCCTCTCACAAGTGAGTACCTCGACGTTATGCGTTTGAGCGGAATCAGTGTGCAGACCCTTCGTCTACCCCTCCTCACAAGTAGTCCAATCCCGACTCCATCATAGACTCCACAAAGTGCGACCTCCGCCCGGTGTGGTCAGCCAGTCACTTTTTCCTTAACCTCGCCACGGAGTCCACTTTTCCCAGCTTCACCCTCCTTTAATCTGTCCCGCCACCACATGAGCCTGGAAGTCTTTTCCCAGCCCGACAGAATGGTGAAAGAAGCGGGAAATCAGAGTGATGGTCCATACGTAATCGGGCACGTGTACACACCGGTCATTAATCATACCTTGGTCCTCGGTTCCCATACTTCCAAGCAGTGTACCCTTCCACCGTAAACTGCAATCCCATATTGCTCCCTGAGTATGTCGGTACAGACCTGGAACTAAAGCGGTACCTTACGTTGCGATAATTACACCGGGTGTAGGGACCTATGTTTGGTTACGTACCTATGTACATTTTGGACTGGTCCCTTCGACCCCAGACCTCTTTTAGCGACCTGCATGGGTTGCAACCCACGGGCGGCCAAGGCGCCATGTCATCATAGGTCCCATATCCCTGATCAGCCTCCTGAAGCAGCCGAGTCTCTTCAACATATCCGACACCATCAATGAAGTCAAAATTTCAAAAGACAGACCTGATGATACATTGATACGATGCAGCATTACGTACCGTGGATAGTTTCGGCTCCCGCATCAGGTAAGCCAGTGCGAGATTCACGCACGAGTCAGGATTGTTGCCAATGCATGATGTGGGGAAGGGACTTGGCAGGCAATTCCACCCGGGCGGGATCCTTGCTTGGTTGGTACAAGTGGGCACACAGCTGCAGGTGGGTCATTAGGACGACCAGGGGTGTCTGTCTTCAACTTCCTACCCATAACCCCGGGCCAATACCATTGTTCTTACAAATTACATGGGCGATACCTGAGCTCGCAGGCCAGGAAGAGCCAGGGAGAGATTACGCATCTTGATTCTCTGCTAAAACTTAGCTGGGGAGGCGAATCTGAGTCCTGCGCAGGTGAGGGAAAGGCGAAAATAAAAGAGAAGGCAAAGTGTAAGGCAAGAAAGAGAACCAAGAGCAGCTGGACCGTCTGGACACGAGCACGGACCACTTGATTCGCACTCGGGATCTGGGGCTCTTTAATGCGCCCACGAACCGGCCGATTTACAAGAAAGTGCTGTCCACGGGAATCGTGAATCGTGTTGTGTGTCGTGGGTTCGTCACTGTCATTGATTTACCTCCAATCTCCAGCGGCCAGGTCTTAGCACAGCCAGAGCTCCTCGAGCTGTTTTTTTTTTTTTTTTTGCAACTGCACGGCACCTGGACCTGGGAGTCTTGTCGTCGACTCCACTCTTCAAAAGAGCCACAACTTCAGCCCCTCTTTTTTGGCCAGCGCGGGAAAGCGCGTGGTGGGCACCCCCCCCTCTTTTCCTGGTTCACTCGAAAGCCTGCCTGGAGGAGGACTGCGACTACCAGCGCGACCCGAAGCCAAAGCAGACAGCAGAGAGAGCGCAAGGCCAGCGACCCCATTTCAACTTTACCTCCACCCTTCCCCACTTCTTCGGTATAAAATCAATCCTTCCTTTCCCGAACGGGTCCATTTTCTCCGAATCAGTCACGCATTAAGGCCCGTGACAATCTGGCTCATCTCATTGCCGTGGGCGTTGAGGACACGCTGAAATCGAGCACCTAGCCGGTCGGCGCGTCGAATTCTGGGCGTCATACCCCGTTGTTCACAGCAACGCAGCACGCAACATCGAAAACACGCGACAGAGAACCCGGCAGTCGGGTGCCGCTCAGACCCGGGAACCGCAGAACCGTAGAAGCGCAACAACGCTAAGCCATAGCTCCAAGGAACCTGGCGCTGGAACCCTCGCTGCGGCTCCGCTGCTCGAGTGTTCACGCTACGTTAGCGTCTCCGAATCTCGCGCTAATTTTTTTGGGTGTGGAACACCCAAACCCAAAGACACCCGCAACCCCAGATCAGCCTGCCCTTCCTGATTCGACTCACGCTAAAAAATTAGTGCTGGTCCCTCTTTTGGGTCTTCTCCACCTGTCCAGGGTCGACGTGCTACGGTGCTCCACGCGTCAAGTCAGCAGCTCCAGCTAGCTAGGCCTTTGATCTGATTCACGATACCTATATCACGGCGCCCACATCGCCAAAGAACAGCGACAGGAATTAAAACGGAAAGGCTTAGCACCCTGAGCATCGCCATCCCGCCTCTCTTGTTGTCTTCTCTCTTGTCAGCTCACGTATATACATATCGTACATACTTTACATACCATATACGGATCCTCCCGCTCCGTGTCTTATCCTCTTCAGTACTATCTACCTACCCGGCCTGTCGACCACCAGCCCGCGAGCCGGCTTGAGCTCATCGCCCCTCTCTCCCATCTGCGACAAAAACAAGGATTGGCGGCGCTTGCCCACCACACCCACAATCGATCCCGAGCGACTGAAGGACAGGGACTGTCGTCTGATTCGTCGACTTTCGGAGCTGGATACAGGTCTCTGAGTCGAGCTGTCAGCGGTGGTATGAAAACGGCCTTCACCAGATAGAGCTTCTGGTATCCCGAGATAGCCACCCGCCAACCCGCCACACTCCCTTCGCTAGTCGACGGCTCATCCCCGTCACATCTTCGCCCGTCTTTATGGAACGCGGTGCGCCCGAGTACTCGCAGTCAGGTTTGCCTACGCCCTATCCTAGCAACGTGGGCGACACCCCTGCTGAGCCTTCATCAAACACTGTAGAACACCCGTCTACTGCGCCCTACCCCGGCCAGCAGGAGGTGCGCTCTTCCAGCTATTCGGCATCAGCTACTCCTACTTCAGAGTACTCAGTCTACCCGCCCTCGTCGCGTTCGGCCTCGTTCGCCGAGCCTCTGCAGCGTCCGTATCACGCAGCTAGTAGCACTCCCAGCAGCGGAACCATGGCGCAAACAACACCAAGTCCGTTCTCTCCTCTGCTCACAGAGACCAATCATCAAAGTCAGCAGCAGGTCAAGTCTGACACGCAACTATCTTTAGATCCCGCGATTGCCGCTACCAGCCCGACCTATGCCCATCCCCCTCAGTACTCGCCCTATGCCCCTCCTCCGCCTCCGCAGGACCTTCCTCACGGCTATCAGCATCCCGGCAGCCTGTATGCCCAGCCCCGTCCCGACTGGGCCGGCTATGGCCAGCATTCTCCCAGCCCCATAACTCCCGGCCATCATGTCTTCCCTCAGACCCCGACCACGGCGGCGCCTCCGGCTCGCCCAAATCAGGTAGGTCTTGGCGTCTACCCTGCCTCTCCCTCGGATCCTCGCAGGCCGCAGACCGTGGAGCGTTGGCAAAGCGCGCAAGCCCATGCCGGCCTTTCGAGCAACCGTTCCCCTAAGCCAGCTTTGGCCTGCACTTATTCTCCCTCGAGCCGCCTACCCTTCCCAACTGGGGTGCTGACCACAGGTCCCCATCAGGTCTATTCGTTCGTGCCCATTCCCGGTGCGCAGCAACACAAGAGGCCGAGGAGGAGATACGAGGAGATTGAGCGCATGTACAAGTGCGGCTGGAACGGGTGCGAGAAGGCTTATGGCACTTTGAACCATCTCAATGCGCATGTGACTATGCAGGGTCACGGTCCCAAGCGTACTCCTGAAGGTGAGCAATCAACCCTTCTCCTGGACAGCCATCTGTCTGTCCAGGGACTCTTGTGCTGACGTGTGTTTGCACACAGAATTCAAGGAGATTCGCAGGGAATGGAAGCAGCGCAAGAAGGAGGAGGAAGCTGCCAGGAAGGCCGCCGAAGAAGAGCGTCAGCGTCAGGCTGCTGCTGCTGCTGCTGCTGCTGCTCAGGCCCAGCAGAACGGTACTGCCGACCCCTCTGCCCAGCCCGGCACGGAAGCCACACAACCCCCTCCGACGACATATGCTGCGTCTCGGCCTGTTCAGCTGCCGCCTATTGGGTACTCGACCACTCAATACCCCGCCCCTCCGTCGACCGCAATGCCTCAGTCGCTGCCCGATTACAGCGGTGGTGTCTACAACTATGGCTCTCCGGCTTCCCCGTATGGCCAACAGAACCAGCAGATCTACAGTCAGCGTAAGTCTGGTTGGGAACGCTGAGGGATCAGAGTCCTGCTGACTTGAAGTTTAGACAACGGCAACCCCCCTGCCCCTGGCCATCAATAACTGCTGTTTGTCACTCCAACTCCAATTATGAACAGCCATGATGACCAGGAATGATACCCCGGCTCCACAAATGTTACCTTGTTGATGTTGATACTTATCATCGGTATTTCTCTAATCGGCGTTCCTGGATTCAGCGCTTGCCTCGTCTTTGCCAAGAGCGGCACTAATATATGATCATCCGTAACGTAATGCGAGTTTGGATCGATCACCTTTTTGGCGTAGGCAACTACGGATCCCGGTTTACCGGATGAAGCATAAATTGCTTCTCTAATTATTTTTCAGTTTCTTTTCCCTCGCAGTCCTTGTTTTATTTTGACACTTGAGACATGTTCTCATTTTGCATGGTTCCGGGAGTGGGGTAGGGATTGCATTTTCTCTTCATTAACGGCGCCACGATTTTTGGGGTTAAGGGGGGAAGGGCGTGGATTTGGTGTTTGATACCTCCTCTCTGTACATACCTTGATTCCTCTCACACATCCTCAGACATTTCGATCCCTCAATGTTTTCTTTTCATTTGACGTGTTGCATATTCGGTGGGATGTGGCAAGGCGGGAGTGCATGAGATTGGGTGTGGGAGAAGCGATGAGATGACGATACCCGGCAGCTTTTCTTGTTTTGGACAACATTACGGGCCTATGGCTGAGGTTTCACACACTAACACATATGGGTGTTACTGGGGCCATACACTGGCAAGCCAGTAAGCAAACAGTAAGAGATAATGACGTGACTGCAATGCTGTGGTAACTTACTCGACAGCATGTCTTGTGCAGAGATATGTTGCTCAGTGTCGCAGCAAGCGGTTATATGCATAATTAATGATCAAGTATCTTGAACTTGCGGGCGTTGAGAGCAGGGGAGGTAAGATGTGTGATGTCTTGAGGCAGTCAGCTTAGGGACAGTTGGTTTCACAGACAGGGGACTTGACGCATGACGTGCATCAATCGCTGGAATTGGGTAGATAAACGAATCTTCTATGCCTTTTTCGACACAGGATTCTAGAAAACCAACTTTTCCTTTTATACATAGGGCAAATAGGCTTTCTCCGACCACGCGAGGTGTGGGCGCTGCGGTGCCATCAGGTAGCGTTAGCGTCGTGACACAAGACCGTCGGGTGTGACGGGGCGAGGCGAAAGCCAACCGAGCGCTTTTTGTGCAACTTTTGTAGGCTCGGTCTTGTTTGCTTGCAGCAGGTCGAAAACGGGGCCGGGGTGGACGGCTCAGGCAGCGCCGCTGCGCAGGTGCCGACGTCGGTAGGTGTGTTGGTGGCTAGCAGATTCTGTAAGTTGATAGATTACGCTGCCGTACATGACCCGTTGGATTGTTAGGGGGGCTTTGAGAAGGTGATGTCTTTTTCATCAATGTATGGCTTTATGTCATTGTTTTCTTGCTATGTAATTCCATCCTTCTATCAAGCTCTAAACGGGCGAACAACACCGAACTGCACGCCATGCTTTAGTGTTGACCCGACAACTTGGTAACGGAACGCAGACATCACCTGGCATCCTTTTTAGCTTCATACAACTCGGTCAGCCATCCGAAACAGCCGAACAAAAAGGATGGAACGGTACCGACCTCACCCCCCCCCCCTGGCCTGTCCACCAACCCACGTGGTTTTGTCAGTAACGGATGGACCGTCCGCTCGGGTCGGCCTGAGACAAGGCTAATTCGCTAGCGCTGGTCGATCGATGGAACGGACGGAATCATCCGTTCTGGTAGGTGGTTGCTTGCTTACAACATGCTATCGTTGGTGACCCAGTCGGTTCGGATGTATGGTGAGATGTGTTTGTAGGTATTGTCTTGCTTGAAGAGGAAGTATGCATTGCGCTAGGTGTATTACTGGTTGACTGCAGCTCAGCGTCAGGCCCTGACAGTTAATTATTCTTTGTCTCTTCAACCATATATTCTAACTGTACGTAAGTGCGGGGCAGCTGGGTTATCAGAGTGGTCTTAACCCCCATCCAGAAGTACCTGCACCACCCGTATACCGAGTTGTCTTGTTGGTGTTGGTATAAAAGTGAAGACAGCAGCTTCTCCTGCATAGACGGGTTGCAACTTGCAAGCCAAGGTTCCTGTTCCGGTCTGGGCACAGCAGCAGCGGACGCGGGGACGATATACTTGCCTACCTATGCATGCAACTCAGTTCGGGCTTGTCCCCGACGCCCCTCCACACCAGCACCACGGTTGCTTGCTCTCTGGCTTACATCTTACATTAGTGTGTACATAGCCGTCGCTTCACATACAGTAATTACTTTAGGGGCCTAAGATGCATCACCAAGAAAAGACAAGACGTACCTTACACTACGTTGCATGTACATTAAATACTTACAAATAAGCTTTACATTCGCGCTAAGTTGGCTTTGTGTAACAACACTATTCCGTACCTGCCCCTTGTCCCCGTTGAAATACGCGAGATGGTGGTATATTGCTGTTCTTGGCTGCCGCCAAAGGTGTATGTTTGTTCTCGGCTCGGTTAAGTGCGCTAGCGTTTCGGGAGCGGTTAGTTGTGAGGAATTGGAGCGTCACATATGGACGTCACACCCGGTATTCCTCATGTCGGGTTGTAAAAGCATGAAGGGGGGATAATTGAGCTTTTAGCGCTGTCTGCAGGCTTCAATCCGGCCGAGGAGGTGCAGGGTTGTGGTTCTATGGTACAACATACTGCTCGAGGAGGGCAATATATGTTTGAAGGCTCAAGAAGATGTTACAATGCCTTTGTGTCGGCGCCCACACTAATCAGCTCTGTTGGACGCGACACATCATGTCACCTTCATGGGCTAAGATGGCTCACGTTGGATTCTTTGGAATAAGGCAAGCAACTCATCCTGCTAATTGGTCATTTTGCAGTATATAGAAAGACAATTGTTTCCTTAGTAAAAAGCCTTCGAACATGCCTCGATGTATAGTGACTTCTTCCAAGCAGATGCATCTGAGGAAAGGATAGGACTCTACGAGTCACTCTCAACAGACCCATGAACCGACATAAGCCGAAAACGGACGATTTCTTCTCACCTGCTGTAACATGCGCAGCCCATCAACAGCCCCTGGGAGTAACCATCCCAAACTCCACCTCTTCCCCAGCCCGGAGGATCTCCCGACCCTTGTTTGGATTTTCCTCAACAGGGAAAAACGGTGAGCAAGTGACCGATCCATCTGATCTAGTCGGGCCAGGTCGGCTTGGGATGCAACATGCCTGACGAGCCCCTTGTCGAGTCACGCAAACAAGCTTTCTTTTATTTTCGCTCATGCCGACCGGCATGTTCCGAAAGCTGATCTGATCACCTGTTTCCCCAGTTTTGCAGGGGACCAGGTGACAAAACAAGCTTTGGGCTAAAGGAAGTTGACGTGGATGAATGGAGTCGAGTTCGACTGGCTTCGATCTGGGGTAACTTTACGTCTACAGTATTAGTACTGTGCGGATCACGGTGTCGGTGACGGAGACGTTGGGATTTTCTGATGTTCCCTTCTGGACTTCGATCATGTAACAAGTCAAAACAACCGAGCCAATTTTTATAACAAATACGCCAAGTAAGTGAGGCAAGCTCTCATTGTTCTTTCCATGAGTTTCAACTGCACTTTGCAGGAAGATTAGGAATGTGCTTCATCGACATTGGGTCTACCTAGGTTCATCAAGAAAAGCCCGGCTGGGTACTTCCCACGAAGACGGCGATTCTTGTAGCAAGACCTTGAGTAAAGTCAGGCTGCCATCAGAGAGTATCGTAACTAGCTTTCACAATTAATTTGAAGCACCGGATAGGGTCGTTGTTGTCGAGGCTCCCCAAGGTCAAATTTGTCGGCTGAGCAGAAGTCCCTGTGCTCACTAGTTGGTGAACTGACCTGCAACTTCAGCGAGGGGCATCTGCGAGAATTCATTGTGTCAGCACAGCCTATCTCAGCATTTCGATAAAGTTCGAGACTTCATCGTGGTAGTATAATCATGGAAGAAGACAAGATGCCTCTCCTGGAAGGGGAAGGCACTTCTTCAGTTCCCTCCTACACCCGGACCACACACCCAGCATCAACTCAAAACTCCTGCAACAGACGAGAGTTCCTTAAGAAAGGCGATATTTTCCGAACAATGCATCTCCCAAACGACCTCATCATCGGCCTGGACACCATCGCCATGACCACAAGTAAGAGCCTCACAGGATTTCGCGACATCCCCCCAGGTGCACACTTCCTCTGGCTCCAGCAGCCCAATGGTATTTCTCGCTGCGGCTACTGGTTTATCACGGAGCGTCATGGCACAGTGAGGGTCAAGAAGTGGAATAGGTTCCATGAGGTGCTGGCAGAGCCTACGGCGCAGGAGGTGCGTAACATCGAGGCTAGCATCGAGACAACGTATTTCAGCCTGCAACCATATAATATCTACGAGCAGCAGAAGCAGCAAAAGAGTCCAAACACAGAAACGATCTTTAATCCGAGCTTAGTCCCACAATGGGCACGAACCCAAACCCTGCTGTGGCACACTCTCACCTGGGCTATTTCAACGCCCTTCCTCGAATGCATAACCGGCAAAAAGGGCGTCAAAGAGTACCTCGTCGATTCAACAGACTGCGCGAAAGAGATCATCAAGGACTCATCTCATCAAGAACCCATCTTTTCAGCCAGCAAGCCCCTTTTCAACAGCACCAGCAGCGAGTTCTCCTTTTCCTTCACCCAAGACTTTCGCGACCTGCAATTTTTAGACGCTGCCGGATTAGCAGACACGAAAGCCAGCGTATCAGACACCACGCCACGTATCCTAGCAGCGCTGAACAATGGCAAATCTACTACCCGGGACATCCTCGCCGAGCTGCAGTTCACCTTCATCACCGGCACGCAACTAAGCAACTCAGCTTGTCTAGACCAGTGGTGGAGTCTCGTCCTCAAGATCCTACTTCGTGCACATGCTCTTGCAGTCTCGCACCCCATGCTTGCAAGGGACCTTATCCTGACGCTGCATGCGCAGTTGTACTTTACGGAGAATTATGTTGGCGAGGCGTCGCAAGCTAGGGATTCACAGGACGGAAAGAACAAGGACGTGGGCGCGACAGAGCCCGGTAGTGGGAGACGAAACGGTCCCAATGCCGACAGATTGCTCTACCAGTACCGACCGGTCAACCGTCTGCGACTGCGTCACGCACTGGCGGAGTATAAACGCCGGTTGAGAACACACGGAGTGATTTTGGAGAGTAACTCTGACTCTGGCATCAGCGCCACGATCATCCAACAACAAGAAGAGGAACGAGCAGCGCTAGCTCATGCTTGGGAGGAGCTAGAATCGTGGTTGTGGAGGTGTGGGTGGGATTTGGGGAGGGTTGAGGGGGAGAGGGATGCTGGGAGGAAGGAGATGGAGGAGTTTGGTAGGGGAAATGGGTTTGATGGAAGTAAAGGGAAGGTTATGAGGCAGTGGCCCGGGGATAGTGAGGATGAAGATGAGGATGGTATGCCTGTTGTGGTGGAGCTGGATGAGAATGGGAGAGAGGTTGGGTTGGTTTCTTTTAGGGATTGATGGATGACGGGGTAAGGCATGGGCGATCTTGGGTGTATATTGAGAATTCTATGGGCTTATTTATAAGAAGTATATATTATTGAAATGGAAAAATGGAAGAGCTGGGAAGTTGAGCAGGTAGATAGAGGGGACGTGATTAAGAATGCAAAGGGGTGCAGGGCAAGTGAGCTATGCCCGAAGCGTTCGGTAAATTATCTTCGGATACGAATTTGATACAACGATAACTACAACTGCCGACAAGACAGATCCAAGGTTCACCCATCGAACTGAAAATAAGGTACCTTCACGACTCACTCGTAATAAGGTTCTTCTCACCCGAACCCCTTAGCGAGAGATGATGTCTCCCTTCGGGTACGGGACCTGTTGTTCCCACTGCCTTATCTCACCAGCCCCACATTCCTCGACGTCACCTCTCCCCGCCGACTCACCGTCTCATCCCTCTCCAACAATGTCACATGCTCATGTGTGCCTATTTCTCCCTCATAAACCCACAGACTCTAGCTTTCACTGATTCTCGAGCCTTTGCATCCTAAATTCCTGCGTGGAATCCCTATCCATCCCATTCCTCACCTCTAAACTCAAAATGTCCCGCCGCGGCGTCGGCCTTGCCGCCTTCGACCGCTCGCGCATAACCTCAGCGCAGTTCGCGAGCCACGGCTCCTCCCTGCGCTCAGCCAACGCAGCCGCTTTACAAACCCAACTCGAGGTGTTCCGGTCCCTCTTGCAACAATTTGCCCAACAACATGGTCGCGAGATCCGCTCGAACCCAACGTTTCGCGCCCAGTTCGCGCGCATGTGCGCTGCGATTGGGGTCGATCCGCTCGCAAGCAGCGGTACTGGCTCAGGGAGTGGTGCTGGGGGTGGGAGTTTAGGGGGTTCTGTGTGGTCGCAGTTGTTGGGGAGGACGGTGAATGATTTTTATTTTGAGCTTGCGGTCAGGGTGGTGGAGGTGTGCAGCGAGACCAGGAATGAGAATGGCGGGTTGATTGAGCTGAGAAAGGTGCAGGAGAGGATAATGAAGGGACGTCCGGAGGGGGCGGGGGAGATTACGGAGTGAGTTACCTCGATTCATCCTTCCAAGATTCTTGGAGACTTGTGAGGTTAACATCCCTTTAGAGATGACATCCTCCGCGCAGTCGGCACTCTAAAGCCCCTTGGTTCAGCCTACTCCATCATCAAAGTCGGCAGCAAGTCTTACATCCGGTCTATCCCCAAGGAGCTCAACACAGACCAGAGCGCGGTGCTAGAAGCGGTGCAAGTGCTGGGGTACGTGAGCGTGTCGATGCTGATGGTCAACCTGCACTGGACTCGGGCACGCGCACAGACGGCGCTCGAAGATCTGGAGGGCGAAGGCATACTGTGGGTGGACAAGCAGGCCGAGGAAGAGTGGGAATACTGGAGCCCGAGTTTCATCCTGGAGAATCCGGATTTTGCTGTCGGCGGATGAGTTCACAGCACAATTCATCACGGCATGATAGATCGATGGAAATGGCGACCTGGCTCCGTTGGCGCTGGCCGACTGGGGTGCTTCCTGGACGACGACCGTTTCAGCGATTACGAAGTGAATGGGGGCCACGACTGTGTATAGCGACGCTGGTCCCGAATCCGGCAATATCTGGCTCTGATTAATGGACCGCAATGGTCCAACGGTGTTAAGGTCTCGGAACATGTGGGGGAACCAAGCCCTGCTTGTAGGGCCTGTGTCAATAAACAAATTCCCGTCAGATATCAGACTGGAGATAACGGGTGACTGTCCAACGGATGAAGATAACCTTCAACTTTAGGTCGGTGAACATTTGACAGCTAGACTTATCGGAAGGGGCTTCAGCTCTATTCAGGAAACCAGGACCGGCCTGTGTTTGGGTAGAATCACCAAGTTCTACAACATTGGATATGAAGACAACTGAGAACAACCAAGGACAATTACACCAAGAAAGCCAATAAACTGATTCGAAAGGAACTACAAGGTATCCAACTATTTATTCATCTACCATCATAGCGTTCAGTCCAAGCCCTATCCAGCCACAAGTCAGAGGAGAACATAGCAACAACCAAAATTACAATCAGAAGGATCCAGCCGCCCCCCGTTTGATAGATTGAAAAACTCCAAAGGAGCTGCCTGCATCCCTTTCCTTCTCGCCTTTCTAACCTCCCTCCTACATGCCTGCCTAGATCATTTCCCATCCATTCATAAGAGAGAGAAAAGTCGCATAGCTTATACGGCCAGCCCGACTTGCCATGATTGATGCGTATTAAAGTTGATTGACATCAGCCAGGTCTCGCTCGCCGGTCCGCCGTGGTCTGAGTACCGTATCTCCTCCACAGACGCGTTCGCCTAGGTGAGACGTCGCCACCAAGATGTCGTTGCCAACTCCTCTTCACGCCAATAACCCCCCGATTATTGACGATCAACTCTTCACTGATAGGGGGGGTTGGGCCCGAGACCAGTGTGAGGATGCGGATGCGGATGGGGGTGAGGGTGGGGGTAGTCCTCGGGGCGGGGGCCGCCCATGCCGAGGTTGGGGCCGGGGCCGGCAGGGCCAGGAGGCGGCGGGGGAGGAGCGGTGGCGCGGTCGCCAAAGTGCTTCTTGCGCAGGGCGGCCAGGCGCTTCTTCTTGGTGATGGTGTTGATGTATGTGCCGATGATGAAGGAGACGAGGTTGAAGAAAGGCACCCAGGCGTCCTGAGGAAGGAACTTCTGGGCGAAGGCCAGGCAGATGGGTGATGAGATCCATGACACGCGCATCACCTTCCAGAAGCCGACGCGCACGGTCGCGCGGATCTGCTGCCAGGTGCGCGCGCCGGCAATGAGCGCCATCGCAACGAGGTAGACAGTGTTTTGGATAGGGGCGATCTGCCAGTCAGTTAGTTAGTATCAGGGACAGGTATGTAGCTTATTTTTTATTTTTTCGGGCGGGGGGGGGGGATAGGAGGAGGAGGAGGAGGAGGATGACATACGATAAAGTTGCTAACGAGGATCTGCATGATCTTGGCCCGCAGGCTGGTGCGCTTGCTGAAGGCTTTGTGCAGGCACCAAATCATAAAGTGGCCCAGGGGCGCGCTAACGAAGGCACCATACGCGGCCATCTTGGGCACGCGCGAGGTGAAGTAGTTGCCGTGTTTGTTGCGATCCTTGGCGAGCCACGAGGCGAGCAGCTCCTGACCACCGGCCAGAGTGCCGGCCGTGAGCATCTTGGTGCGCAGAGGATGATCCTCAAGTCTTTGATGTACCACTATGGGGATGTCAGTCATCATCATCGCTCATGGCCGGTGCGCGCGCAGAGGGCATTCAAGGGAACACATACAGCAAGGTAGCCGCGGGTGCCGGCATTCTTCCTGCCGCCGGTCAGGGCAGTGCCGACGACGGCAGAGATGGGATGCTTCCCGCTCGTGCCGGGAAGCTGGCCGGTGGCAGCCTCGTGAATGGCGGCAGCAGTGTGGCCGATGAAACCGCCATCCTTCTTGACCTCGGCCTTGAACTCCCTGATGTCCTGGACGGCTTCCTTGAAGGGGTGCGTGATGACCTCCTTGGCCTCCTTGAATGGGTGCGTGATGGCCTCCTTGGCCTCCTTGAACGGGTGTTTGATGACTTCCTTGGCGTCCTTGAGCTGCTCCTTAACGGCGTGCTTCACAACATCCTTGACGGCGTCCTCGACCATGTCGGAGACGTCGATATCAACCTTGGGCGACATAGTGGGCGCGCGCGTGGGTCAAGCTCGCATCGATTTTCGCCGTGTATGCTATTGTCCGCGACGGGCCGCGCGATGACCAAGATGTTCTGGAGCTTTGGAATGTATTAGCCAACGTGCCCACTGCCTTAGCACTATGATGTCTTGCGCCTGATGACGTGCGGTCCTGATGCGTCCTGGGCTTCTGGCCTCCGCTCTGTTTACACCAGCGGAGCAACAACCGAGAGACGGGCCAGGGGGCAACGGGCGAAGCGGGTCTTGTCTCGATGGACGGACGGAGTCGGAAGAATGATAAACACGGACAATAAGCGGTGATGGAGACGCAAGATCTGCAGAAAATCGAGGTAGACTTACAAGGCACAATCGATGCACAGGAGGGGTACGACGGGGATGCTCGCGGCGCTGGACAGCGTGGACAGCGTGGAGAGGACGGGGAGGGAGTGCGAGGGCGAGGGAGCTGGGTCGAGGGGGGTGGGTTGGTCAACCTGGTGGTTGGTGGTTGGCGGCAGGGAACAGCTTGTTGTCGCAAAATCTCATGGCCGGGACGGGAGTCGAGAATTGGGGGGCTGGGGGCGCTGGGTTTGGGGACCTGCCACGGGCCCTGGGGAGCTTCCAAGCTTGGATTCTGGGGGAGCGCTGGGGGCCCGCTGGGGCTGCCGGGGTCCCGAACTTGGCTGGGCTGGGCCTGGCTAACGCAGCAAAACTCCGGGCTGCACCAGCAGACCAGCAGCGGCAGCAAAACACCAACGCTCCAGACGCGCAGACGCTGGCAGCTGGCGACGCGAGGGACGCGCGTGGGGACCTGAAATGCAGATGACCAACGGTAGCCCTGATTGGCCAGAGCTACGGTGGGCCGAGGCTTCGTCTTCCCGGATTTACCAAAACTTGTGCCAGGGCAGCTGGGCTTCGAGCGAGGTCCAGCCTGCGCGGCAGCGCCACTTTGATGAGCCCGTTGCGTCCTGCAGGCCCCTTGCCTGGCCCTCTTTTGGCTTCCAGTTCATCCGGGAACAAAAACTTCTCCAATGCCTCTCAGCTTCTCTCCTGTTCTACCGCTGCTGCGACCTCTGCAACGCAGATTCCGCGGCCTATCAAAGCTTCTGATTTGCCCGAAGTGGCCTCTCTCGGCCTCGTGTTTCCGCTCCATTTTGCAGTTGGCCCTGCTGAGTTGGTGGGGTTCCTTGATGCCTTGCATGGGTTTCCAGAAGAAAGGACAAGCGCCAATCCAATGTTTTTCTGTAACCTTGCTCATCGTGCACGAATGTAAACATCACGTGTTTTGCCGAGATATTGCCATCGAGCACCATGATATAGATAAGGATAGCGTGTTTATCGATAACGATGTTGACCTGAACCTCTCCGAGTTCCCAGCCCCGGCCACAAAAACCTATTTCACGGTTTGAACACTTTAAAGCATTCTTTGAATGGCTTTTCTGGTGTTACACAGTAAGGAATCGTCCCAACTTCAGTCAGAGATTTGTTGTCAGGCTTTTGTTTGGACCGGGTGCTGGGTCATTGTTGATGTTCAGTAGTTTACTAGCTCGAGGAGCTCTTGATCACGTGACTGTATGCAACACAGAGGCACTGGAATGTCTTAATCCAACTCAGAACTTGTTGAAAGATATTGCAAACAAGCTGAAGAACCTCACAGTAAGTGGGTTAACACAGAGCCATGAAAAAAACAAAATCAACTGCACACAGGAGAGCATGGATCATATTCAGATGAACCCCAATAAACACCCTCGGCACAGCAGGGCTAAAACAAATTCTGCAAAAAGTTCTCCTGGCTCCACCAAATTCCTCCAGGCATCAGCATTTGGACGAGCTGGGAATCGAACCCAGTACCTCTCGCATTAGGGTAGCCCCTGAAATGATCTACAGAGGGTATGCTAAGCGAGCGCTCTACCAAATGAGCTACACGCCCTTTCAAAGAGAAGTGGAAGGCTATGATGGGGGCTACCCGGAGCTAATCATATTCGACCAGGCTGGGGGTGATGTTCAAGCCATGAAGATCTAGGGCACCAGATTCAATGCATCCAAAGTATAACATCAGGAGTCTCTGGTGTCATCATTGACTCAAAAACTGTGTGGGTTATGTCACCTCTTTGTGACTTCTTCCTGGTAACCACTTCTCTGGTTCGAGCATCAATGTCCTAAGAGAGAAACTGGTGTTTTTCACCAGGTGCCTAAGTGTCTACAAGGTGTGTATTTTGATCTTAATATGTCATTTCGCTTGAATGGATAAGCATTGAACAAAAATTACATGGAGACAGCTATCGCTCTCCATTGCCTGCAAGCTCAAACTCAAAGTTCCGGGATCAATCAGTCAGGAGTGTGTTAGATGTCTTTGTATCATAGCAACCCTCTGTGGCAGCTACGAGACTTTTAAAGTCCGGTACGTACATTGAACACCATTATAGCCTTTATTCTTCTTGGGATCTGATGTTTACTGCATGAGATCCCTTTGTCATTGCCTATGGACTGTCGATGGTGTTGTCAAGCCGATACTTGAAGATGGCCCTAATGTATTATACTCTATAACAGAGCCCTAAGCCCATCATGCGAACAACATGCAGATCGAACTGCTTTTTACATCTAACTTGAGATATTACTTTGATGTCAAGTTAATACTCGATGGTCATGTCACAGACAAGTTGCAGAGTATGTTGTGAATAGTCAACTACCCATGACTCTTAACCTATCCAAGGGTAAGATATACGACAATGGCATATTAACCACATAGCAGGCGGTCTCCGTAAGGAGACGGCTTGTAAAGGAAAGTGAGAGTTTTGATGAGCACATTAGCTAGCCACAAGACCCATAGCATATAATTATGTCACGTTATTTGATAATGAGTCTGTATCTTTTCTTGTCGATTTCTGAACCCTCATGCTCAATTAACAAGCCCCCTACCCAGAATAAGTTAATCCAGCCAACAATGGATAACATAAACCCTGCAGAGATAGCCAACTCCAAACCTGATCTTGAGGCCTCTCCTGACCTGGTACACACCAGCCCGATAATAAATCCAGACACAGTTTCAGACTCTGTCGACAGTTGTTCCAGCAGAGCAATATACTGTCTTTCGACCTTGTCTCCTTGTTTGGTTCACTTGCTTTGTCTCCCAGAGATTATATCTTCGTCCCCCGGCCCCTACCCCAGAGCCTGAGTAGCCTGCTCGGCGTGGCATCGCATCTTGCCCGCCAACTCCTATAGTCTTTCATCCACAAGAATTCGAATACATTCATGATTCTTATCAGATCAATATAGAGATGTTACCATCCTCTCTATCTAGTGAAGAATACCCTTGGGACCGACTGATAAGGGACTGCCGAAAAATTCCAAGAAGCAGCAGGATGAGGCTACCAACGAGAATATTGATCAGGAGTTGAATAGTGATACTATTGAGCGTGAGTTGGGGGTTTGCTGTCGTGAGGATGTTGTGACCTGCACCTCCACGCCGCTGTCAGAGTCTAACGATGAGCAGTGGTTCTCAGCAGATGATATTATGAGTGTTGCTTCATGAAGGAGAGAGGGATAACCCTGAGTCCTAGATGTTCTATGTCACATGTGTTCCCGAGTAGCCCCAGCGTGGGAATAGATTATCTTTGTTGGCTTTCGTAAGTTGGAAAGTTTCATAGCTCTGGACGGCTGTATGTCTTGTCTTTGTTCAAAAAAAAGGTATTGGTTTCAGTTATCTACGGATGATATTTTATTAAACCGGTAGCATAATATCAAGTGTTCCTTACGTAGCAAACCTGCTTTCACAGAACACTTTGCGCCCTAACCTCTCTGAACACTATCCCCTTCACAGTCATCAAATAGGAAACCCCCTCATCTCCTCGACCGTCCAATACCGGCTCATCTTCTCCGCTCCTAGATCCCTCACCTCCTGATCCAAATGCTTCATCAGTACCTCCCCCCACGAGTCCATCTTCTCCTTCAGCACCCCCAGCTCTAGCTCACACTCCTTTCTCTTACACCTCTCTAGATACTCCACAAACTCCTCCATCCCTTCATGAATAAGCTGGTGTTGTCTTATCAGCTCGCACTGCTCGCCTTTGCTTTTCCCACCCTTTGAATTGCCCTTGCGGAAATGGGAAGGTGGCAGAGAGGAGCGAAACTCGGGCATTTTTCGCGCTAGCAAGGGGTATAGGTAGGTTTCTTCAATGGTGTGGTGCGTTTCGAGGTAGCGAGCCAGGCGCAGGCCTTCATCGTGGAATTGTTTGAGGGTGAGGTTGCCCGGGCGGCGGTTGTTGGCGCAGGCTGTGTAGAGTAGGTTCCAGATTTGGCGGAAGTGGTCGTGCTGGAGGATTGAATATGTCAGACTAGGTCAGTTTGCTTTTGTTTGATGTTTTCCCTCACTGCTCGGAGATATACGAAAGATTGAAATACGGAAGAGTTGTTGCGGGAATGGCCAAGGGGATATTTACAAAATACTCCATTTGTTCAGCCAAACGGTTGTATATCCGGAACTCTTGAGGAGTCAAGGGTGGGAGAGCCTGTTCCGGCTCTGGTTGACTCGTTGTCGTAGACTTATCTTTAGATGAAGCGCCAGTTGTCTCTTGAGCGGTTTCAGACTTGTATGAATCCTCCTCAAGAGGGTCTGTCTCAAACCGCGCTGAGTGACAGATGATATTTCCTTCAGTCTCTTGCATTTCTGATTGGTATTATTATACTGTCAGAAATATGACAAACAAGCCAACAAATGAAAAATTGTATAACAGAGATGCAGTTTTTGAAAAGGCTAGAGCTAGCATTGGAGTGGCCTTTTATTCTTCTTTTTAATGCACCCTCAGATGAAGACAATTCCGTCAAAAAAGCTTTAAATATATAGTCCCCAAATACCCTTTTGGCAAGGCACCGTCTGTGTCTACAAAGTGATTCCGTAAGCAAGGGTAGATACTAGACTGCGGGATCCAACGTGCTCATCCGCTTCCACGATCTTAATAGAAGACCGATGATTGGTTCAATGTCTCTCGCTTTTGCTGACTTAGCAGCAGCGGGGTAGTACTCCTGTCCTTTCTCAGTAACCGCGCGGCACCCTGTTTGAGGTTTCGTAGCGGCCGGTGTTGGTGGAAAAACTTTTTGGTGGTTTGCCAGCATCGAAGAAGAGAACAGCTGTGCAGGGAGAGGGACTTGACAAATCGAAGGAAGGACTAACTGGAGGATGCGCAGAAATTTCTGTAATAACACGCAAACTAATTTGACCGGCATCGTGTACTATGCAGAAACTGGGGTAGGGCGCAGGGAAAAGTGAGGATGCAGGAAGATCCTTACTACTTAACACCCAGTCCTACCAGAAGAAGCGCTCTGAATCTCAAATTGTATTTTTACTACGGCTCTCTAAACTCATCGCCATGCTAGAATCAAAGACCGAGTTAACCATAGGACTCAATATACCTCGATTCCATTCCCAAGTCAAAGCCTACTTCCTATATATCAACCCAAAACGAAAACTGTATGACACCCTAACCCCCTCACCGGTACGCTGGCTTTAACGTCCAAATAACCCTCATACTGCCCCCCTTCTTCTCCATCTGCGCGACCTTCCCCAGTGCAATTTTAAATTCATTTGCCTGTTGTGTGGTACTGCAGTAGTGATTGAAGTGATCTACCAGCAGCTTCGACGGTACCTGCCCCCCATGCCTCTTGATAAACGGTGGGATCATCCTCTCAAAGTCCCGCACCGTCAGGCCGTGCCCTGTGGAAGCAGGCGTCCCTGACCTTGAGCTACTCGCGCTGCTTGTTGCTCCTGACCGCACACCCCTGGCCTGCTGTTGTGCCGCCCGACGAACATTCACCGGCCGCCCTGCCTCACCGACCTCTCCAGTCCAGGTAACTGTTCCAATGGGGATGGTACGAGCTTGTTCTCCCGCGCGGCGAAGGTGCTGCGCTGCCTGGGCCGCGATGCGATCTGCTTCTTGCCGGAGCATGCGGGGGTCGGCACGGGGCTTCTTGTTGCTACCGTTGATAATCTCGTCATGCTCCACTGTGCTGTGGACGCCGGACCGGGCGAAGATGCCTTCTAGCAGGCGGTCTTCTTTCTCGGCTGGCTTGTCTTCGGGTTCGGAGGCGGACTGGTAAGTTTCAAGACCGGCGACGCCATCGATGTTGTGGAGGTCGTCGAGTTCTTTATCTTCTGTGCTGGGACTGTCGTCACCTTCTTTGCTCTTAGGGTTGCTCTTTGAGTCTCTGAAAACCAGGACAGGAGCATCCTTATTCCCTGGAACAACGAGCTCCTTTGGCCCTGATGCAAATGTCTTGGTACCGCTGCTCTTGAACAACTCGCTTGTCTCGGTCACGCCATCTTCATAGGAGTTGAGACTGAAGAGATCATGCAAGTCGTTCAAGTTGAATGCAGTCTGCTGCTTCGGGTCCTTCAATACCTTGTTGGAAAGGAATTGCTTGAAAATCTGGCGATGGTAAATCTTTTCTTCAATCGTGCCGGCCGTCATCAAGCGATAGATCGTAACCTCCCTCTTTTGACCCAACCTCCAAGCCCTCTCTCTGGCCTGGACATCCGTGGAAGGGTTCCAGTCAGGGTCATAGATGATGACGCGGTTGGCACCAGTCAAGTTGACACCCAAGCCGCCGACTTTCGTCGTCAGCAGAAACACATCTAGGTCTGGGTCAGTGTTGAACTGATCGACAAGTGTCTGCCGCAACTTGATTGGCGTCTTGCCGTCCATGCGCAGGTACTTGATGCCGTCGAGCGTCTTGACAAACGCCTCAATAATGTCTAGCATCTGTGTGCCCTGGCAAAACAGCAGCGTCTTGTGCCCCAGACGCTTCCACATCGGGAGAAGAGACTGAACGACAGCCATCTTGCCCGACTTCTCGACGCTACCCCATTTATAGTTGGGCTTGTTCTTAAGCTTAGGATCAACGAGATCCGGATGGTTGCAAATCTTTCGCAAAATATCGATGCCATATAACGACTGACGAGTGCGGTTGAGAATTGCAGCCATCTCGGGAGACTTGAGAAATAGCTCATATGCTTGGCGCTGCTCTGGTGACAGTTTGCAAAAGATGACCTGTTCCCTTTTCTTGGGAAGGTCGGCAGCAACGTCCACTTTCAGTCGTTGCAGGAGGTAAGGACTGATAGCTTCTTTGAGTGTTTCGGCACATTTCTGCGCCGTCATGACCTGAAGGTTGGTAGCGTTTGCGTAGCCTCCCAGTCTGATTGGAATTTCGAACTGGGCCCTGAACGTCACCAGCGTACCTAGACGCATTGGATAGACGAAATCGAACAGGGACCACAGTTCAGTGAGATTGTTTTGCATAGGCGTACCGGAGAGGATAATCCGGTTAGGTGTGCGAAGTTCTTTGCAGTAAATAGTAATCGCCGCGTTTGGATTACGGATCTTGTGACCTTCGTCCAGCACAGCATAACCCCATTCCACAGGGATCAAAATGTCACCGTACGTCTGAAGCCCAGCGTATGTCGTGACAAGGACATGGCCGTGCTTGACCACACGGTCAACGATCTGCTTGGCAGCTTTGTTGGAGCGCGTAGGTTTCTTCTTCTCTTCATTCCAGTCTTCGACAAGCTCCTCAATCTCACCTTCATCACGAACATTAAACATGCCGCTGCCGGAAGAGTGCAAGATTGAGACTCGAAGCGGTGGCCACCAGCGATGGAACTCATTCACCCACTGCCGTAAGACGGTAGCAGGAGCGACGACGATAACAGGTTTCGTCAACTTTTTGCTGTAGTGCAAGGCGGCAACGAAAGATATCAGCTGGACTAGGGCAAGGTAAGCTTGAGCCTCAAGCAATCATAAAAAAACAGAGTGTTTTAACATGCCTGTTTTGCCCAGCCCCATCTCATCACCAATGATGCCACCAACTTGCTGCGAGTACAACTCTGCAAGCCATCGCACACCGGTCTTTTGGTAGTCGAAGAGAGCAGGATAGATATCTCCAGGAAGTTTCAACCCACCCTCAAACTGATAATCAGGGGTGTCTGGCAGTGGTTTAAACCACTCTTCCTCGTCATCCGAGCCCTCACCGGCAGGATAACCTAACCGTTCGCGATGACGACGTCTAGCACGGCTTCTCCTCTGGACCCAACTCTTTAACCGCCGCTGGTACACAGACTCGTTGCCGTCATCAATTTTACTCAAATCGATCTTCTCTTCCTCAGTGGCCTTTACTATTTTACCTCGTTTCCGCTTTGGCGTCTGTTCGTCTAGCTCAAAGTCATCCGTTTCGTAGTCTTCTGAAGTGGCTGCCTCCGAAGCAGACTCCTCAGGGACAAACTCATCATCCGATCCTTCATCCTCAACTTGCCGAATTTTGCGCTTCTTGCGAGGACGCAACGAAAACTCTGACTTGACCGCCGAGCTGAAGACATCATCATCATCATCATCATTGTCCTGCACGAAACCGGGAAGCCTCAGATTCTGATGCGACCGTGGCCCCTCCTCCATCTGTTCCTCCAGTTCCTCAGCAATGGCCTCCTCTTCAGCATCAATGATCGCCTCCGCAAGCTCTCCAGCCACATCATCAGGCCTGGGGCCACCGAATGTCGCAAACGGTGTGATCTTGCCGGTGCGAATCAGATACTCACGCTGCGTCTCATTGGGCAGCCTCCCTCCTACAGACACAGCCTTACCATCTGATCCCACACCCTCCTTGGTTCGCTGCTCGATGCGCGCCCTGAAAGCAGCTATATCTTTGTCGCATAGCTCGATCTCGGCCTGGAGTCTCGCAATCTCTTTTTGGATTCGCAGCCTTGAGGTTGGATTCGCATGGCGAGCGCTAAGTTTCTGTTGCTGTGCCTTCAGTTGGCTCTCCAGCTTTGACTTGGTGTTCTCAACCTTCTCGATGCGCTTCACATCTTTCTTGTTTTCCGCCTCGATGAGAGCGATGCTTGCTTGGTACGTGATATCCCGCTCCAGGTCATCTTGGTCGCGGACATTTTCTGTGAGGTCCTTGAGAGCCTCTACTTCGTCTGTCACAGCATCGAGAGCCATGGGCTTGTTGATCACTGTTGCTGGAGCCACAGGCTCAGCAGGCACAGAGCTGGCCTGCGAGGCCTGTGCTTCGGGCGGAGTAGCAAAAGTGGCAGGAGTCCCAGATTCATTGTCCATGGTGACAAAATGCACAGGATACAGTGATCTCAAGGATCGCGGAGAAAGCGGATGTGGGAAGTTATGAAAGAAGTTATCTTCCAAGCACGTTTACTGCCGCCACATTATAGAACTCATGGGGGGAAAAAAGCGACGTATGAGGAAACTTTACGGGCAAAGAAAGGAAAAGGAAGGAAAGAGCAACGATGATTTAAGTATAGTAAAAGAATCGGGAGATGGAAGGCTGCACTGATCGAGAAAATCTGAGAATCAATACAAGGCTCAGGCAACAACAGCAAGATTGTGTCATTCAAATCCGAAGTGGAGGCTGTGCAGAAGCTGTCGAGTTGGTGCGCGACTGGCGCGATGCTGATGGCACGATGTCACGTGATTTTTGATATTACCTGGACCATGTGATTAAAAGGGTTAGGGTTATTATTGGTGCTTCCCCAAGACACCAAACTTTGAACTGTGACATCAAGCTTGTTATTTATTGGAGTGATCAATGTTCCGAATGGTTTCAGTCATGGGATATGAGAATGACTGGTGTAAAACATGAGGTTCTGTCAGCAACGGAATGTTCATCACAACTTTGAATCAACCTTTTGGTGCTGTTCAACGTTTCATTCTCAGATCCAAAGCAGCCAGCAACAGTGTACACACCATGATGAGTAGAATCTCGAAAGGCACATTTAACTCCTCAGGCAGATGAGTACGATTCTTAATGGCATGACACCTGGACAGTTGAATTAGATAAGCCTCAGCGATCAACTGCGATCGAACCCCTACCAATGCCAGTCCAAACCCATCTCAGCATTCCCAGGCCCACACTCAGCGATTTAGCGGAAAACTAGACCCCAAAATCTCGTGTCTAGCCGCAGGAACAGTATTCAGCCTTCGAAACCTGTCCAAACTCACTGCTAAAAAGACAGCGTTGGTCCGTCATTCAGCTCTATACTCTAGGGGCCCGGATTCATGATCCCCCAATGAATCATGTCTCGAAAGCTTCTGGAAGGAAACAATCCGTCTTGAATTATCAGAGATGGAAGATCATATAACACACTCCATGGTATCCATGCTTGACAAGATGAACCTCTTGACAATGGCCTTCCAGAACCCATGGAATGTGTCGCAGAGCGGAAGTGAACTCGTCACCATATCGGGATGCTTCTCTTCCCCGCATAATGTCCTGATCCGCTGTAGTACTGCGGGGGCCGGATGACTCCTCAAAGAAAATTTTTCCTTTAGGCAGGTAGGACAGAATCTTGCAGATATTATGTGTGTGGGTGGTTTGGGTGCCGGTGGTGAGACCTCGATACCAGAGTATGGCAAACCAGGTTCCGCGAATCAGAGTGTTTGGTGGTTCCAATGAGACGAAGCATGACCCAAGTGCTTTCGCAAGATCTCCCGTGAGTACTTAGGATAAGGAAGGAGGACGAGGCAGGCAGTTAGGGAGAAGTCTGCTCAAACTGTTATCCTCAAAGTCTCCGTGCAACATGATACCTGTGAAGTGGCATGGAAGTCGCATAATCTACTAGTTGGTAGCTGCTGTGCTATCCCGAATGCGTTATTCAAACTGGAGGAAGCCTGTTCAGGTCAAAAATAGACTTTGATCAACGCTCGTCGCTCTTCACCTTCCAGTATTCATTGAGATCGACACATGGCAGTTCCAAACGGCAAACCTCAAACTATCACGGCATCTGTCTGTATCCTGCCATGCCATGTCATGCAAAAAGCCCATCTCCCCAGGTAATAGTCGTCGACAACAATCACGACCGCACATATACTGAACTAAAGTGACTCAATCCAGGCTCCCTCCTCCTTGAACCAAACTCACCAGCTGCAGAATGGACCAGTTTGGCAGTGGCTCGACCACAGCTTGGGCATTTTTCCGCTCCCAGATGCCCATCACAGTGCGTGTGACAAACTGTTTATCCAGAAACAGATGCTTGTCTGACTTTATCTGGGTTTAACTGGTGCCAGTTATAGGCATAAACCGGTTGATATAGCTCCTTTTCCGGTGCGGAGATGTGGGACGTCCCGTTTTTGGGTGAAATCGGAACCTTTAGGAGGTTTTTTTTTTAAATTCCGCGCTCCGATAGTCAATGAATCCTTCAAGATTGATCTACCTGTCGTAGTATCCATGCTGAGACGTCGAGAAGTGAACAGAGATATGGCAAACTGGTCCCAAAACATTGATCACGAGGCCCCGAGATTTACATCGATTATTTTTTTTGGCCGTTGCCCTACCTCAAGTTACCTTAACAACAAAATTGTATCCCTTGAAATCTCCAGGCCGTATTCCCTCCCCTGACACGGCTCAAGACCACATATGGCTCAGGCCGGGCCATAAGCGCACAATTTCGTACGTACCGGCATGGTGTCGCGGGCCTTGCCAATTAGCTTCGAAGCGAACTCGTCTCATAAATTTTCTTTAAGCGAAGAAGATGTCATGCTAGTCGGCCACAGTGAAGCATAGCTTTTGGCCGAGTTTTGTTCACTCAAAAGGAGATACACTTGACCTCCGAGTCCGCGTTGAACCCTTTCCCTCGGCAACACTGACATACCAAACTACCAGCTAGGCTGAACCCCAATAAATCTGAGGCAGCTAGATCTGCGTCTCTGTGGCCTTCTTTGTCATGTCACTGCCTGAAATGGCCGTTTGGACAGGAACATAGACCACTAGGATATCTGTAACCACCTGGTGCGCCACCGGAACCAGCCGTTTTCTTATCCCGGATGATGCGCACGGTAGCCTAAACAGTAGACAGGCTGACACGCAGCGCCCTAACAAGCAGCCTACTGAGACCAGGTAAAGTGCGGATAGATGGATCGTAGATACCAGCGCAAGCTGGTCGAGTACTACGCAAAGTAGCAGCATGATGTTGATGATGCCCCTCCAGTTCTTCTGCTTGCGTCCAACGACCAGGGTATGGAGGTAGGAACACTGCGTACCCACACTGTAAGTAGCCTTAAGGTAGCAAGGATGAAAGAACCAATCGGTAGTAGCCATGCAGTTTTGTGGCAGCTCGGTGGTGTAAAACAGCAGCCAGGATAGGGTACAGGCATGGGGGAGGGCATAAAGTTAGATATTATGACTTAATCTCCGATTGGGTGTCCGCCCGCTTAAGGTTGCAACATCAGCCAGAGATGGGATTTCGGGATTGTCGTCCAACTACAGTGTTACACTGCTAGCCGGATGGATGGATATATATCTGATCAGGTGTGTGGCGTAGGAGGTGTCAGGTGCCTGGTTGAAACTGGTACCTGGGTTAGGTCGAGAGTGAAGACCGCGCGGTATCCATAGACAGGTAGGTGTCCGTGGGTGAAGATCGGTGTTACTGATGGGTTGCGTTGAGCGGCCCATTTCAGCTGTTAAAATGGAATTCATTCCTCCAGTTGGTTCTCATAAGTATGAAGGTCTTCGACGCGGCTAGTAAGCCTGCTTCTCATTCGGCTACGCGAGAGGGGCAACGGCCATGCAGCCTGTCAGCCTCCGCTCCTTATGAAAACGAGTTGGAGAATTTGAAATATGTATGTCCAATGCAACAGCCACATGCAGCAATTAGGCTGCCCACAAACGGTTCGGAAGATGATCGTCGACAGCGAACTCAAAACCAGGCGGGCAACCACCCCAACCCAGGCACCATGCCCTCAATGGCAATGCTTGCAGATTGTCGTCCTTGCTGCAACTCAACGTTACCTTCGCCCATGCCGTGAGTACCTCACAGCTCCAGTGGGGTGACCTGGGCTAGCAATTGCGCGAGAGAATTTATCGGAGCGATGGAATCAAGCGGTCGGTCGGTGATACAGGATCGATTTCTTTCGATCGTCAATAGCGTTCATTATTGACAATGGGGAGTCGGTCGATTGCGACCGACTATCAATGTTGGTTGGTGGGTTCTGTAAGGTCGGTTGTTAACAGCGTCCGAGTTTGATAACTCTTACCAACAAACCGACCGACAACCGACTGGCTTCAGTGTCGCACAAGAGACTTGGCGTACTGACAACAAGGCGATAGAAATCGTTGTGGGTTGTGGGGTTGTGGATGTTGCCGACCGACCGATCGACCGACCAGCGTTGGGTCTTGAAGGTGGGGGACAGATTTTCCTCGACAGGAGCTCCACCCTTTGCACAACGCCCCACGTGTCATTTTTTTCATTTTATGTATTTATTACCTATTTATCTTTTTTTTCGTCTTATGTTTTCTCTTGTTTAGAATTTGGATGGTGGAGTTTCCTTGCATGCGTTGATTTCGATGCCAGCTAACACTAGACGAACGCGTGCATGTTAAGCAGGACCGGCGCAGCGCAACGTCCTGCACTATACGCGTGTTTCAGTTGTGTGGTAGACGCGATGCGTCATGTTCATGCGGCGACACTCTAAAGTCGTGTTTCCCTCTCAATTAGGGTTTCTTGATACACGGAACGAAATGCGATAGAGCTTCCGATGTGGTTTCTGAGCTCGCGATGTTTCAGCGGCCAGCGTTAAGGTAAGCAGATCGTTTACATCTGTGTGTCTGTGAGGTGAGTGGTGAGGTAGCGTTGCCTCCGTTCGGGTACCTTGCATCTGCTACACGTGGGTGTGAATGATCAATACTTTAGTTCTCTTGAGCTGCCACAATGCGTCTTTTTGGCTTGTTCAAGAATCAGGTACCCGAGATATTTGGCCTGATACGGACGGATTGCGACTGCGACTGCGACGAAGCGGAATGCTCATCCGGCAGCCGGCAGTCAATATCGTAGGGTAGAAGCATTGTAACTATGCCAATGCCAGCTGCCACATGATCTGATGATGTAGCGTGCCTAACTATCTCTATGCTGTCGCTGTCACTAACAATCCGGGCAACTCGAGGCAAGCCAGTAGATGTAGAGTTCGGACATTACGACACACTCAATCTGAAATTCGCCGCGTACCGGCCGCAGCCCCCCAAACTATTGAATTTTGACCAAGAAAACCGGAAATCTGTATACCCCAACACGGGAACTACACTACGTATCACAAGATGTCAAATTGTATGATTGCGGATGTTGCAATAGGACAAACCGACAAATCGTGGATCTCTTGTGATCCACTCCAATGTCTTGGCATCAAAACCGTTGCATCACTATTGACACTGTGCAACGGTGCATCCGCACATCATCGATTTGCGGTGGGGAGTGTCATGGATGGATGGGTGGATGGCGTTGAACGGAGTTTGGTAGCTGTGATAGTGAGGGAGGTTTTGATGGCACAGATCATGGATGGTTTTGGTTTGACACCGTGGCTGTTCAGTTGGTCGTAGAGATGGCCTTGCGTTGCTGCTCCAAGGTTCGACTTCCATTACAGACATAGACAACAGAGTGGACGTTGAAGATGAAAAGTGGATTATTGACGATAGGCACAATAACTATTATGTACATTAGGATTGAGGCCAACCTACAATCCGGAATTCTTCCGGTTATGTCTAAGTAGGTAGTGTAGGTAGTCTCCAAGCGATCGCCGAAAACCGATCCAGCGGACTTCAGAAATCAACCAACAGGGCCAGGACAGCAGAGGTATCAGGAGATGTAGACTTTCGATCCGCACTGGGCTGGCCTCAAAACAATTGGCTCCCGAAATACAAACCAACGATACGCCAGCAACTTCAACCTTTCCAAAACATAGGCACTCATGAAGTGTTGTGTGGGTATCAGTTTGAGCTTGTGAAGTCGACCATCCTTCAACCAACCTTGCGCCTGCCTACCAGCCAGCCAGCCTTGAGGAACCCAGCCCGTGAATCCGAACCAGCCTATGCAACCTCAGCCTTCGTCCCTAGCCTACCCTGTCAAGATAGAAAACCAAACCAGGAAAACAAGGTCATCATTACCACTCGGCCGTGTATCCCGCTACCCCTATGCACTTGTGTTCCCCTCCCAGGCCGCGCCCGACCCCACCTTCTATATTGCTGTGGTTCGAGCATCAATGATGTTGTTGCAAGATTTCGAGCAAAATAAACAAGACAAAGACTCAAGAGGGAAAGATGCAATACTCGAGACTGAGGAAAAAAGAGGAAAAGTAATCTCTTTCTGTGTGGCGGTAAATAGAAGGGTATCTCTTCGGGTATACTCCACAAAACTAATCTCCCGCCTCTCTCTGTAAGAAGCCAAAACAAAAAAAAACCCTAGTGCCCAAGTACATCGCTCCCAAAAAAGAGGACAGGATAAAATGTGCAGTACTGTAGTATACAAATGAAACCTGTGAAGGTATCCAGAAGTATAAGAGTGATAGTGACAAAAAGAGAGAGAGAGAAAGAGAGATGACATAGGAAATGTTGCCGGTTTGGTGGTGGTAACGAGAGTAATGGTCGAGTTGTGCTGAAAGGTAGTTTCCACCGCTTCGGTCCTCGCCGAAGCAATGGATTCGCCAGAAACAATCTGTGGGTATCAAAAAAAGGAAAAAAAAAAAAAAAAAAAAAGAAGCTGAATGTGTGAGTTGAGATGCATCGCTTCGTCCAATATGGTTCGGGTCGACGACCGTTCTCCGTGGTTTCATTTGTCGATGTCGTTGGAGAAACGGATGACTCGGGGTTTGCAACAGGAAACTCAATATCCCCTGGTCGGTTCGCTCAATCGTGCAAAGTTTGTCGGTGTCGATCGAAGTTGACTAACGCAGTCAATCACTGCGGCGGCAGCGTGTAAATAGTGGTGTCCCCAGACTCAGGGGCCGAAACCCTTGGAGAGGACGCTAATCGCTATACGGCATTCTCGCCCAACAACTGCATTGCTCGCTCGCGGCAAGCAGCCGGCGTAAAGCCCGTCCCGACCTTGTTGGCTATGATCCTCCACTTTTCGTTCTCATAGTCCTGAATGGCCGCCTTAAGCTTATTATCCTACAACCAAAGTCAGCATGTCATCACATCACTTACAGCGCAACCCTGAAAAAAACTTACCAACTCCTCCGTCCACTGAGTCGTCTTCGCCTTTAACTTAGTACAATACCGCACCTGCAACGTGCCACTTGACCTCCCCGGGAAGAAATCCGCAATCTGCTTCCACGTCAAATTCTTATTCTCCTTCAAATCAATCAACAGCTGGTCATCCTCTGGCGTAAACTTCAACTTAGGCCCCTTCGGCCTCGCCGCGGGAGGCGGCATACCCGGCTGCCCCACCATACTCTGATGATGCCCAGACGAGCTACCGCCCTCCCCATCCCGTCTCATCATTTTCGCGGGCGGCCCCGTCTCCGGCAATCGATGATGGTGATGCGTCGGCGGAACAGATGGCGGCGGCGGAGGCGGCGCCGTCGTCTGCCCGTAGGGGGGACCCATCGGAGGAGGAGGAGCTTGTTGCATCGACTCGAGATCGCCGTGTCCGAGCTCGGGCATTCCGGAGACACCGAGGTCAAGATCATCGGGCCGGGGCCGCTTTACGCCCGCGGCTGGGCCGGGAGTCGCCGTTAGAGAAGGGTAGAGAGGCGCAACGACGCCATGGGTAGGCGGGGCGGGGCCGAAGTGAGGGGGCGGGGGGCCCGGATGGCTGATGTGTCGGCCTGCAAGGTGTGCTGATGGATCCGTGAGCATTGGATGGGGGGGATGGGCGTGCGGGTGAGCGGGCGTGTAGTGCTGGGGCAGGCCATGGTGAGATGGATGGGCAGGAGGGGCCTCGTGTAAGGGCGGCGGCCCGGGATGCTGGAGCGACGCTCGGTGATGGTGGGCATCATATGCGTGCTGGGCTTGGGCCTGGTCGGTCGAATGCGGCTCTTGCGGCGAGTAGTCGACATTGTAGTCCGGTCCCACGCGGTAGTTGTCCGCCAGTGTGCCTCCAATACATGGGTTCCGCCAGAGCGGACCGCCCTGGCTGGTCGCCGGAGACTGAATGGAAATTATTTGTCGGGGTAGAGCCCCGCAGGGCTATAGACTCGTCGAAAATGCTGTGAAGATAGGTTCGGGGAAACCGAGCGTATTGTCCTTCGATCCCTTCCGTATTCCCGGGAGCGGCCGGAAGGCTATGCTGGAAGGTATTTGCGGGTGTTCTAATGAAGCCAGAAGGCATGTGGTGTCGAGGCAGCAGGGTTGGGGGCAGCGACGATGAATCGATAGCGGTATGGTCTCAGGAATTAGGAAACTCCTTATGCGACGGCGAACACTTGGGATACCGTAGGGGGCGAGATGACTTGCTGATTTGACTAGCTATGATCTGATGGCGACCTCAGCTCTTCCTCAACAGTACATGGCGGCCCTTCAGTGTATCTGGTCTGCCTGCCTGCCTGCCTGTCTGTCTGTCTGTCTGCTCTGCCTCCCGTACAACTACTCTTGGGGGTAGAGGGTAGGGAGAGGGGTGAAGGGTGTTTGGTTTGATGGATGGATGTATGTGTGTATGTGTATGTTTAGTGGACTGATAGTATTTAGTCAGAGTCCAAGTGCCAGGAGCGGTTCTTATTACCTCCCGGCCCTTGGTCCAATGCGGTGCAGGAATGCGAGCCAGAATTTAGATCATCCAGCAGCCAGTGGCAGCAGTGGCAGATATATCTGGTATTATATGTCGTCCCAAGTCTGGTACCGTGGAGCAAAACGAGAGAGAAGTAGGTGGGATGCAGGGCTGCGGGTGGTAGCACACTCGGTTTAATACTTAATATCGGCCGGGCGTAGCCAGGCAGAGCTCTATCTGCTTCCCCTCCACTTCCAAACACAAGCACATGAACGACTAGGCATGCCAACATAGGGCCGGACCAGCACGAGACAAGAGAAGCTTCCTGATCGGTGAGAAGCCCTGGGGAGCCCAAGTCGCCTTGGCCAGCGATGAGGGTAGCATAATTTGAGGATCTAATGCCATGGTCTGGCTGCCGGATATAGAAGCAAGGACCCCAGCCGTAGCTAGTGTCTAAGGTATCCGGTATGATGCAACAAGGGAGCAGGGGGAGCAGGGGAGCAGGGGAGGGTGCCTTGACATCGAGCAACGGTTCCAGGGGGGGGGGGTGGGGTATACTTCCCCGATCCGACAACCCCGGGTGGCTTGACCGGAAAGATAGGCTAGTAGGACGACACCGACGATGAGAAACGTCTAGACGTCGCTGGTAGAAAAAGCATGGAAGAACACGAAACATCGAGCCGGATGGAGAGCACAATGTGAAACGCTCCTTTTACCATGCGCCCGGAGCAGGAAAAGAACTGAGTGCGTACAGGCTGCTACTCTTCGGCTCTGCGGGGGTATTGCCACCACACCTGTCACCCGTCACTTCAAGTGCCGCTTCACGGCAATTGCTTGCCTCAGAGCTACACTGGAAGTTTGGTAACGGGATTTTTGGCTCTGGTTGTTTGCCTGCCGATAGATAGACAGCAACATATATTGCTCCCTTAGTTTGTTTCAAGGGTCATATCAAGCTGCAGGGGAACAGGAAGCTAGATGCAGAGATATATGAAAAGAGGGGGGCAGAAAGCAAAGAAGCAAAGCTGATGAGCTCATAACACTCGTGCCAGTCGCGGCAGAGCACAGCTGCTCGCTGTCTGCACGACCCAGATGTGGCTACGGATGCGGATGCGGTGGGAGAGCGTAACAGCGTTGCAGCCCAGCGATCTCAACGAGGAGCGCAGACAGGCGGGATTCGCGCAGTCGCCGGAAGCCCCTCACACAGAACGGTGGGAAGGAAGAGAGTGCTGGCAGCCTGTTGGTGGATCCGGGCAGCACACTTGACCGTTCTGTCCAAAAGAAGCTATATCAGAGCCGGGGTGGCTATATCAGACTGGCCAAAAGGGATCGATGGCCCCGGCTTCTGTAGGGCGAACTTGACGAGAAGGTTAGCTGCCAGTCTGCCAAATTGCCGAACAGGGGGAGATGGACAGACAGTAACGTCCCAGTCATGTCCCAGTCGAGAATTCTAACGCCTCTGTCGCCATGATATCCCGGCGCTGTTGCGATGCCGTTGAAACAATTGCCGCCCAAGTGCCGACCAACACCTGTCAAAGATAGGATTTGTTTTTTTGAGAAACCCAAAAAAGGAAAAAAAAAAACTTACAAGAATAAAATAGAAGCGCGTATCGAGCTGCCAGCGAGCGGCGAGGAGCGCCAGAGCAACATGCGTGATTGGCCCAGCATTGTCCTTAGTGTTCAAAGCTGCATGCCCAGAGAGGAACGAGACCTGGTTCGACTCCTCCATGGGAGCGTGTACTCTGTTCCTACTGTACAACTACCACGCGTCTGCGACCCGACGACCGCGTTGTCGGGGAACTACCCACGATAACTATCCAGGATATCCCCGGGCACGAGTACGAGAAGGAACAACTGCACATGCACAAGCGAAAGCTAGGTCGAGGAAACGAAAATCGGGCGTTCATGCTGATCCACGTCTTCGGGGATACGGCCGACGGCAAAGACGAGGATGAGGATGCCGGCATGGCGGTAGTGCGGGATGACGGCAATCGTCCGCGGATGGAGGCGACGGGGAACATGGTCTTGGCCTGACCTAGGCCCAGGGCTAGGGCTCAAATTCGGTGTGAGGCTCTCTCATTCATCTCAACTCGAGCTGGGTGTTTGATCCGGCCACCAAGACCGTCAGCGGAACAGACGAAAGCTTGGGACAACGAACAGCGTTGCTTAAAGCGGCTAATCTCGGGAGCTCTTAAGATTGCATGTTAATGCTGTGGGGAGACACCCCCTGGTTGTCTGGTAAAGTGTATGCGCCATAGGCCGATTAGGTGCATGCATGGCTGCTTGCTAGCGGACGACTCCAAAAAATCACCTGCAGACAGATAAGACACCCCGATCACCGGGCATTGGGCAATTCGCAGGATCGAGAAATTCGAAGATTCGAAAAAGATCGAACGTGGAGAATGAGAGGGGACGTTTTCTGCAGCAGTGGAGCCGGTCTTGGCAGGCCAAAAGGTTGCGAAACGCACGACATGCGACGGAGCCCGGGCGCTTTTGATGGATCTCCAGTTCTGGCTGCTCCGAAAAAAGATGTGGGGTGCCGTCGCAGCGTGCAGCGGCAAGTCCGATCCGGCCACAGCAGGCACTGGCAGCAGCAGTTACCTACTTACCTTAGCACCAGCGGCAGCCAGGGAGCTTTCACATCGAGAAGTGAAGCTCTCACTCCACCTCCACCACATGCCCCCCTGCCGAGTCAAACGCTGATCAGGAGTCTCGGGAGCTGGGCCGATCTCCGAGAGCCTGTTGCTTGTCAGCAACGCGTGCTATGCGTGCCAACCCGAAGCTAAGGAGATTGCCGGCAAGGCTTTCGCCCGAGGCATGGCAGTTTGACTCTGGAGATACCTTACGAAGGTACCTATGTGCTTCAACGGCTTGTCCCGTGACTTGCGATCTCACTTCATCTGCCAAATCTGACGCCGTAGCCGCTGCTCTTTGCGAGTTGACAGCGTCGATCATCTTGGATAGAGGGATATTCGAGCCTAGACATATGTAACCCACAGCTATCCAATCTCTCCAGAATGCATTGCATTTTCCATTTCTCCCCTCTTTCTCCGTCCCCTCTATACCGGCGCAGAGGCTACCTGTTCTCATGCTGCAGCGCACTTGATGAGCACCATCTTTAGGTTGTGGGGCGCCCGCACCATCAACCGTTGGTCGGAATCACGGTTCGATGATCCAGCACACACTTCGTATTGGGGCTCAAAGTGCAGAATTCAGGAAGTCGAGCTTGAAGACAGCGTGCCGGTGACTAGGAGTATGGCAACTTTTTGACAATAGTCTGTATCCGAGAGCTGTCTGTCGTCCATAGCCGGTCTCAGCTCCTTTATGCATGCCTATGCCTATGGCTACGGATACTTGCCCATCCTTAGGGTTCTTCGCAAGCACGGACCAGATACGGCTTGCAAGCAAGACAGCTAAGCTCTCGCAACAGTCAGATGTGTATCTCGAGCGGCACGTCCTCAAACTGCCCCCAAAGAAACACCCAGCTCGGATATCGCGGGACGAGGTCGATCGTACACGGCCTTCTCCCAAGGAGCTGGGAACCGAGTCGCCCGAGGACCAAGGGTTGACATATCGATCCGAGCGAGAGGGAAGCGGAGTCAGTTCACAGTTCCCAGGCAGGGCTGATTTAGCAAGTAAGTGGTCGGCAGAGCAAGATGATTGAATGGCGAGAGATTGCGCTCAATGCGTTTATGCATGCAACAGCCTTAGCTTCCTGATTGGGAGATCCGCTGGAGTCGAGCCCTCCAAAAGACTCCAAACTAGTTGCTGCAGTTGGCAAAGCCAAGCGTTGCGTGGATCTTCAGGGCACGCGCGGGCGCCGAATTGGTCATCATCAAGAAAGCACACGGGAATCGCACGGAAAGGAACTCAAATTGCCCTGCCACAAAGAGATGAACGTCATGGCTCTAGCTCTAGCTCTGGCTCTGGCTCTATCTGGGGCAGAGAACAGACCAAGACACCAGGGCATCATCCTTTTTCATTTTTTCCATGCAGCAAATCTGCAGCTGTGAGACTCCCGGCCACGCATGCCAAGAGCTCCATGCAGGGAAAATGTCCGATCACACATCATGCCAGACACCGCAGAGGCTAACTCAGGGCCTGAATCCTCCGCCCCGCTTTTCCATGGGAAGATCCGAGGAAGAGCCTTCTGTGCAAACTGCTGACATGGTAACATCGTGGGAAAGACAGTTGAGAGCAAACATGAGAATGAAGCCAAAAAAAAAAAAACATCGAAAATACATGTGATGGAAAGAAACGTAGCGTGAAGGCAATAGCAGAAACACGATCATTGTAAACAGCGAGTGGTAGACAGAGCTCACGTAGTATTAATCCGAAAGACGTCACTATTTCCGTTTTCTTAGGTACTACCTACACAACCGCCACACAATGACACAATCCGCGATCCAGATACAAAAGAGATAGTAAACATACTTCCAACCTGGTGAACAACCGGCACCCCGAAACCTAGCATCCATCTGTTGTATGTATCCACCACGTACGTGTACACACACACCCAAACCAGCGCCCTGTTCAGAGAGGGCCAAATAATCTGAACAGCGATCCCATCTTCTCGAAGCTTGTCCCTGCACCCATTCAATTTCCCCACGTTCATCAAGCAAAGTTATCCGCCCTGTCAACCCAGATATCCTCCAGTTCATTGAAGCTGGTGAAGTGAATCGGCCGGTGCTGCTCGCTATAGAACGGCAGCGGTGTGTCGAGCTTAACATGGTACGGCTTCTTCTCAATTCCGCTAAACGAGCTGCCCATGAAGCTGTAATTCCACTTGCCGGTGTCCGGAACCAGGAAGAATCCCTTGAACTTGTCGCTCAACAACAGCTGACGCCTTTCGCCCATAGTGGTGGTGAAGCCCTGTGGGTTGTCAACGTTGGGGTCCTTGTTCTCCACGCCCCACTTATAGCCAAGCGGCGTGAGCGCCCAAGCGGAGAGGGAGACGCTGCCGGGGGTAAAGGCAACGGTGACGGTCAGGGTGTTCTGATTCTTCCAGCTGGGGTGGGCGTCGACGAGCTTGGCGTGTGTGGTGACGTCGGCAGGGGACATGTAGGGGAGCTCGTTGCCGGCCATTGTGTGGATCAGACCCAGTGGCTCCAGGCCCTTGAGCATCTCGTGCTGCGGCAGGTGCTGTGGCAGCTGCACGCTGCGGTTGCCGCCGATCTGCGGCACCATGACGATACAGCGGATCTCCTTGACCTGGTCGTTGTCGGCTGGGGAGCAGCCGTAGAGAAAGCCTGCCACCTGGACACGGAGATCGGCGATGGTGATGAACTTCTTGAGGATATTCTTGGGCATGACATAGGTGATGTCATCCACGTCGTTGTCCACCGGCGCCACGTACATGTTGTTGGCACGAGTCCGCAGGTTGGAGGTAGCAATGGCCCTGGTGCGCCACTCTGTTTTAGACGCGAACGTCTGCTGCTCGAACTGAGAGGTCGTGGTGACGATGATCTCCTCACCATGCACGTTCTGCGTCTTGGTCGTGACGGCAGTGAGCTGTGCCTGCTCTTGCTGCTGCTTCTCGATCTCGGCGGCCTGCTGTCTCTGCAAAGAGGGTGCCGAGATCTCCATGCCCAGGATGATATCACGCACTTCACTTGTCGTCAAGCTGGCCACGTTCACATTATTCTTCTTGCCGTAGTCGTTGAGGATCAGGTCGCGAAGCTGCATTTCGACCTTGATCCAGTCCTCGTCGGTAAGCGATGGCCAGATGTGGTGATCCTGCGTGATCACCGTCTTGTCCGGACGCAGGATGAGCTTGGTCTTGTCCTGGTTGACGTGCAGCGCACGGAGGATCAGGATCAGACGCGAGAAGGCAGTGTACGATGAGATTGTCTTTAACCAATCATCGTAGAGGTTGAAAAGAACCATCTGAGGCTCGGTCGCGCGCAAGATCATGTCGCCCAACTTTTCAACCTTCATGGCGGCCTGGAAAGGAAGCTGCAGTTCCGAGGCGCGGATCGAGATGTTGGGGAAGTCAACCAGGTTGACCTCGAGAGGATCAAGCAGACCCTTGCGGGTGACAATGAGCTGCTTCGGCTGCTCTTCAACCGGCAGCGAGCGGATGAGCGCCGCAACTTCTTCGGCCGTCTTCCACTTCGCGAGCTGACCCAGACGCTTCTGACCGGCCCACACGCTGGTGTGGATGATCTTCAAGAAAAGCTGACCAGTGCGCGGGTTGAAGATGAAGATGGCACCGTTGATGGGCTTGGTCGTCAAGTTACCTTCAAAAGTCTTGTGGATCGTAACACGGTAGACGTTGGTGTCATCAATGAACAGCTGCGTCTGGTTGCTGAACAATTCGGAGTAGTTCTGAGAGTTCAGGAACTCTTGGTTGCTCTCGGACGCATAGAGCTGCAGACCCTTGCGAATACGCTCACGCAGTACGTACAGAGCAGGGTTGGCCTTCATGATCTTAGCCATGGCCTGCTGGATGAGGGTCTTGAGACCGGGGAAGTACTGGCCGTAAGCGGAGTACAGGTTGTAGGCAAGATCGATACCAATCATCAGACCTGTCGGCGACGGGTACAAGCTCATGCTGTCGGTAGTGTAGTCGAGGTACTTCGCCCTGACATAGCGCTCAATGTCATGAGAGTCATAGTCGCCATAGCGAAGCTGGACGTCGATCCAGAACTTGTTGGTCGTGGTTGCCTCGATAACGTCCTTGGTGTCAAAGAGCAAAGACGGGCGAGTGACGTTCCATTTGTGGCTGGCGAACAGTTGGATATCAGCGCACGAGCTGTTCATCTTGTACGATTTTCTCGGGTGGATGGTCTCCTTCTGCACCGACTCGATGCTCAAAGCCTCGAGCTCCTGATCAAACACCTGGCACAGATCCATGACGACCGACTCGTGGATCTTCTGCCACAAGTGGGCACGGAAGATTTGAATGAGAGAGATCTTGAGCGTGGGGATCTTGCCGTGAAGGAAGATACCAGTAAGATCGAGCTGCACCTGGAAACCGACGTAGACGTTGGCGCGGTTGATGGTAGGCGACCACCAGAGGGTGAAGCGACGGTTGGGAATCTGGTTCAAACCGGACCGCTGAGCGTTTGTCAGCTTCTTGAACTGCATGGAAGCCTCGAAACCAGAGCTCTTCTCCCAAAAGAGACCCTCCCACGACGGGAAGCCTGTGGCCTTGAAGAGAGTGTGTTCTAAAATGGTCTCAACACCGCCCAACGCCTGGATGACGTCGGTACGGTAAGCGTTAAGGTTCCACAGCTTGCCATCATGTCTCGGGTTCGTCCACCAGAAGGGATTGCTCTTCATGAGCTGGTAGATCTTGAACTCTGCTCTCGCGCGGAAGCCCTTGTCGAAGCTTAGAGTGCTGCGGTCCTTCTGGAACAGCGTGTTGATACGGGGCAAACCGCGATCCCAGCTGTCCTCCAGATCCTCCAGGGTGAGACGCCTGTTCTGCTGCTGGGCCTCAAGACGCTTCTGCGAGTATTCGGTCCAGACGCGCTGGGAGTCAATGAACTCGGCCTCCCACGGGATGATGTAACGGGCAATGTTCGGGATGAGAGTCTCCTCATCATGCGACATGCCCGCGCGGAAGTGGGTGATGCCGACATCGGTCTGCTTGCACCAACGCTTGTCGCTGGCTGGGATCAAAATATGGGAACCTGAGAGCATACCGAGACCACCAAGTTCCTTGGGTGTGTAGAACACAGCCGGAGGGAAACGCGAGGGCATCTTTGAGTTCAGGCCGATCTTGACTCGTGTCTGGATCTTGGTCTCACACTTGACGATGGTGTCCAGCAGGTTGACTGTCGAGACGGCGGCCTCTCGGTAGTAGGTGAATAGGGCAATCAGCGCGGTGTTCCACTTGTTGGCAATCTTGGTGAAGGTGGTGGAACCAGAGGACATTAGTATCTGACGGATCCGGTTGTTGAACTTTTGAATGTCTTCCTCTGTCACCTGCAGGAAAGCATGCGCTGTTCGTTCTTTGGTTGAGTTATCGACCAAAGACCAAACGCTGTCCTTGACCGGGAATTCATCGTTTTGGTTGCGGCACTTGGGCAAGATTCGAACCTCGAAGCCGCACATGGAAAACAGCAAGTTCGGATTGTCTTTGCTGTACACGCTGACAAAGGTGTCATCCCACTCGATAGTGGTGACAGAGCGCGGCAGACGGTTCTTGAGATCCCAGAAAACAGCCCTACCGAGGTTGACATCGTGCCTCATGAGACGCATGCGAGAGTCTCTCGGCCAGCACTTCTTGCTCTTGAAGCCAATGACGTTCTCGAAGTTAGGATCGGGCTGCTCCGTAAGGAACCGCTGAATGAGGTCCCTCGACTCCTCAGCGGTGAAGCGGAGGAACACCCAGATCTTGTCGATGTATCGAGTGTACAACCTGATAGGGTGCCTGGTCTCGGTATCACGATCCTGGAACTGCAAGAAGTCGTTGGGGCTCTGCGGAGGACCGGCAATCTCGGCAGCACGCTGCGGGCCGAGGATCAGAAGGTCGAGGATCAGGCCGTAGTACTGGAAGACAAAGGCCGAGAACTGAAGACCACGAATCATGCCGTAGCTGTTGACGTGGCTCATGTCCTTGTAGGTCAAGGTGACGTTGTTCTTGGCTGTGATGTAGTCTGCCAGGTTGTGGTCCATGATCAAGCGCAAGAGCGAGTTGAGGAGCGTCAGCTCGATCTTCTCGTAGACTTTGGAGAGCTGCGTCTCGATGATCACGTTGCACTCGCCATTCGACGTGTCCCAGACCTTGTCAAGGTTGTTGATACCCTGGCACCACTTGTAGACAAGGAGAGGCGGCACTTCAGAGTCAGACGGCTTGACCCAGTTAGGGAAGAGATGACGCTGATCGGCCTGGTACCACAGGTACTGGTCGAGGTACGCGTCACTGATCTTCTCGATGGGCTCGACATCATAGACCGGGTTGATGGTGCTATAGTTGTCGTTCATGTCGATGCCGACTTCCTTGAAGGCACGCTGCGTGAGCAGGAAGCGCTTGATGCGCTCCAGAGTTGTGCCAGGGCTGTCGTAAGCCTGCTCAATGAGAGCAAGTTCTTCACGCTGGCTTTGATTCAACCTTCCCTTAGTCGAGTAGGCCTCGCGAAGACGCTCGAGCGCCAGGATGAGGATCTTGGTATCATGTTTGTACGACACACTTGGGAAGGGGATAGGAGAAAACTTGCGCGCCTCAAGCCAATGCACAGTCGTTGTGTAGATAGCCACGGCTTCCTCAGAGGAGACATAAGGACCATCCTTCATGTGATTGTGCTGTCTCTCCTGCTCGGCCTTGAGCCAGAGACGGGTAAGACGACCGACGTTCTTCTTGGCGACGGTCTTGTCGACAGTGGCGCCTCTCCGGATACGCTCACGGTTGTAGTGGGCAACAGAAATCCACCAGTCGGCCTTGGCCTTGACGTATCTCAGGATGATGTTCTCGATAGGAGCAGGCAACCCCGGAACTTTCCAGGGGATGTTGCTCTTCCAGCAACGCCAGGCCTCCGAGAGGTGCTGCAGGACAGTGTTGACCTTGCTCTGCTTGATGCCCTCAGGCATCATGTCCATCAGGTCAGCCATCACTGACGCACGCAGTTCCAAGTCGAAGTGCGACTCAACACGCTGCTTAGTGACTGTCTTAGCAACGCCCTTGCTGTGGCGACCCTCGAACTGGCGAGAGAGCAGGTTCCCAAGCCAGCGCTCCAGCAGCGGAATGATACCGCGCATGAAGAAGAGCCAGACTCTCCATGAAGGAGCCCAAAAACCGCAGCCAGGACCCTTGCCGACAGGACCGGTGTTGAAGCGGTAGTAGATGAGATGCTTCAAATCCTTGCAGGAACGGATCTGATGCATCAACTTGTACTTGTAGCGGTACATACCCGTGAGCTGACCGACGTGGTTGAAGGCATAATGGATACCATCAGCAAGCTGAAAAGCATCGATATTTCCAAGACGATATTGCACCTGGGCGTCTACAATGAGCTTTGTCAGACGGAGAATCTCGCGCATCAAATGGAAGGCATTGCCGAATCTCGACTTTTTGCGTTCTTTGGTAGTCAGGGTCTTGACGGGCTTCAGGTTAAAGTTGTAGTCAAGGTGAAGGTAGGTAAGGTTCTTGCGATGGATCAACAGGTTGAGCATGTTGAAGCCCTGACGGCAGACCTGAAGACCGGCTTCCACCCAGTCGATGGTAGTTTGCTGGAAGAACTTGGTCTGCTTCAGAGTCCGCAACAGGCTTTGCTTCTGCATTGACTTGGGCCTCTTTCGATGCAGCTCGTTGAGGACATAGGTCTTGAGAAGCTTTTGGTACGAGACGCGGACCTTGACTGGCTGCTTGGGCGGGCAATGCTCAAGATACCAGTGCTTGATGAGAGGCACATCTTGAGCACGAACCATCCGACCTGACCGACGATCGAATGGATAAGGAGCCCACCACAATTCGATGGCAGACCGCGTGTCCTCAGTTTCCAGCTCTTCGTCTGCAAAGAATGGCTCGACAGCAGCGGGCAAAACGAATGCCTCTTCTTCAGGCTCCTCAATGTTACCCTTGCCGAAGAGCTCATCCTCGTGACTGACCGTAAGATTCTTCGGAGCAACAGCACGCGAGGAGATCGGGTTGATGCTGGTGTCAAAGTAGAAAGCAGGGAGTTCAGGGTCTTCGGTCTTCGTGTAGACGATCTGAGGATAAGAGTGCCACGAGAGGTGAACACTACGTGGCCGAGAATTGTATAGATAAGGATAGGCCACACGGGTCTCCGTGCGGATAGGGTTGCGGAAAATAATGCGGTCCATCGCATTGAACTCGCCAAAATCCTCATCATTGGGATCGATATCCTTGTAGAGCGGCTCGAACCGGGGGCCGCCGGGTAATGCCACGTTCAAGGCCTTGGCCGTCAAAAAGCTCTTCAACTCGAAGAGGTAAAAGTAGTTGGGGTCGACCACATCAGACACCAGGGGTTCACTCAGGCGGTACAAATTGGCCATCTGCGGCAGTGTGAGATTCCACCTCTTGTAGCTAGGACCGTTAACATGAGGTGTGTCGATGAGCGGCTGATGGTCGTAGAACCATTCGTAGACAGCCGCATCTTCATCTTCATCGAGCTCCATCTGGATGGGCTCAAGAGGCTCAACATCTTCAATATTCTCTGACCAAGAGAGTGGAGGTTCTTCGTCATCGAAGGGAGGGAACCTCATGCGCTTGAAGAGCCGTCTGTCGCTCTTCTCCTTACGCATCGTCCTCCACATAGAACCCCACTGCGCGAAAAAAACAGGCTCGATGACTCGAGGGATCTCGTTGACAAGCGTCAGGCAGCCGTTGACGTGGTATAGCACCTTAACTTCCCTAGCCGCTTCCCACGGCATGGGCATGTTCTCCAGCAGCTTCAGGACTGCATGGGGCATGAACTTCAGGGCGCCAAGATAGCTGCGCTTGTCGCTTGTATACTTCTTTTGCGACACATCACCGATGTCCTTGACGATTTTGCGCAAATGCTCGGGGGGCATGTCGGCCTTCTGCGTCTCGACGAAGCCGCCCTTCCTCTTCTCGCCGAAGCGGTTGCGCTGCATTCGAAGCCATTCTTTCTTCTTCTGTGCGAATTTTGCAATATGCGGGTCGGACGGTGGGCGATATCCCGGAGGGGGAGGCGCTGGGATGGCCGGCGGCGGCGGAAGAGATGAGGACGACGGGGGAGGTGGTGGAGGAAGATCAGAGGGGGGGCCCGGAGGGGGAGGTGGCGGCGGAGGAGGAGGAGGGGGACCCCCATCCGGGAGGAGGCGGCGGAAACGAAGACATGTCTAAGTTCTTGTCCTTGTGAATCGAATTCGACGATCGAGATGAGCTTCACCGCCGCGATTGAGGGTGTTTACGCCTAGTTAGGCGGGACGTGTTTGGTGCGATTTCGCTCCTGGCAACGGCAGTATTGCCAGCGTTAGAACGAGATCGATTCGCGAATATTCTCCATAAACCAAAGCTGATGGGAGCGACGATCTCGCCGCAGTTCGAAATGGCGACTTCGCCTTTTAGAGTTGTGTGTTGATGGAAGCCAGGAACTGGCCGCGGCTTGAACAGGGAAAATCTCGATGAGCTCTCCCGCGACTGGAGTGGCGCGAAACCTTGCCAAATTGCTAGCGCGCAGGGTCGCAGCATACAGGAGTTTGGTCTAACGCCAAGGCTTCGTTTGTTGCATGCCGCTAACAGCAATACAGCCCGTAACTTTACGTGTGTATCTTATCGTATTGCTCCGCACAAGCCACTCTTATCACGTGCAAGATCAGATGACTTAGGCTCGGTGGAGGGGAACTCAACCACTCGACAGTTTTGTCAAAGTCTCTTTGCCAAAAGATAGAATCATCGCTTTTTTTTTCTACTTGAAACGGTGATAATAAGAAGCCTTATTGGCACTGTATTATCCCTAGTGGCGTTGGGCTGTACCGTCATTGCGGTGGCGACCTGAGGAAGTCCTCCTGCTTTCTACAGCCTGCTCACCGAGCCCCAAAACTGCCCCACCAGAAAATCACCACTCAGTTCGCTGAAAATTAATTCAGCCCCTCCACCCAGTTTTCGCTTTGTACCCGGCGACCAACCGACCCACGATTGTGTTTTCCACATCGTGATTTCGCTCTATCGACCGCATTTAACTCGGAGTCCGTCCCCCCATTCGCATAGCGACTAATTGCGACCATGTCTCGGTTCTTCCGTGGCGGCGACAGCTCGACTGAGAGCAGCTCCGACGAGGAGGAGCTGTACACCACGTCCGAGGAAGAAGAGGAGGAAGAGATTGAGGAGCAGGAGGAGTCTGAAGAGGAGGAGGAGGAGGATGAGGAGTCCTCGTCTAGCGACGATGAGGGTGCTGCTCGGACAGGCGTGAACCGCTTTTTGCGGGCCATGTCCGAGTCTGAGAGTGAGAGCGATGATGAGGAAGGACAGCATAAAGTCAAGAGCGCTAAGGACAAGCGCCACGAGGAGCTCGAGGCTACCATCATCGCCATTCAGAACAGCCAGAAGATCAACGATTGGAGCACCATCGCAAACGGTATGTGGTTTGGCCTTGGGATACGGGGTGGGAGGGAATGATGATAAAGGGCTAACTGGGACCTCAGAGTTCGACAAGCTTAACCGCCAGGTCGTCAAGCTAGTGGAGGGTGGCAAGGCGCCGAAGTCGTACATCAAGTGCATCGCCGAACTCGAAGACTTCCTGAACGAGACCCTCGCTAAGCAAAAGGTGACGCCCAAGAAGATGAATGCCACCAACGCCCGTGGTCTCAACGCTGTTAAGCAAAAGATCAAGAAGAACAACAAGGAGTACCAGAGCCAGATTGATGCCTTCCGGAAAGACGCCGATGCGTTCATGGAGTCCTCCGACGAGGAGGAGGTTCCACTGCCTCCGAAGCCCACCAAGGTCAAGTTCCAGGATGCTTTCGTTGCCGAGGAGGGTCCTGAGGATGAGGAGAAGGGCTTCTCGAAGGTCGACAAGCGCGGAAAGGCCGTGCCCTACTCTCCCGAGAGCATTCAGAAGCACCTGCGTGCTATTATCGAGTCGAGAGGCCGCAAGAATGTCGACCGTATGGAGCAGATCCGGGTTATGGAGGAGCTCACCAAGATTGCCGAAATCCCCTATCTCAAGATTCGTGTTTTGCAAACTCTCATCTCTACCCGCTTCGACCTGGGCTCTGGTGCGGCGGCCGCCATGCCGCTGGAGCAGTGGAAGGCCGCTGAGAAGGAGCTCTCCACCCTTCTCACGATCCTCGAGGAGAACAAGGACCATGTTGTCCTTGAGAACGCGGAAGATTTGGATGATGACGAGAAGGTCCCCACTCTTGGGCCCGACGACAAGCACATCAAGATTCCGGGCAGCGTGGTTTCCTACATTGAGCGCCTTGATGACGAGCTCACCCGCTCGCTTCAGAACATCGACCCTCACACTTCTGAGTACATTGAGAGGTTGACTGACGAAACTTCTGTGTACAACCTCATCCTCAAGGGTTTGCTCTACTACGAAACCATACGCAAGGATGCTTCTCTTGATGTTCCTCAGGAGAGCTTGAACCGCGTCATCCAGCGCCGCCTGGAGCATGTTTACTTCAAGCCGGCTCAAGTAGTCAAGATCCTCGAGGAGAACTCGTGGAAGCGGGTCGCCGGCGAGATCAACTCCTCCATTACTCCCCGTTCTCTGTCTGCCGATCCCAGCAAGCTCATCCAGGTTCTGTGCAGCTACCTGTTCGATAACAGCGAGGGCATCATCCGCGCTCGCGCCATGCTCTGCCAGATTTACTTCCTGGCGCTGCATGATGAGTACTACAAGGCTCGCGACATGATGCTTACCTCCCACTTGCAGGAGAATATTACCAACTTCGATATTGCCACCCAGATCCTCTACAACCGGACCCTCGTCCAGGTTGGCCTTTGCGCTTTCCGCAAGGGCTTGATCTATGATGCCCAGAACACCCTTCAGGACATCTGCGGCAGTGGCCGGCAAAAGGAGCTGCTTGCTCAAGGTGTCATGATCCAGCGCTATAGCCAAGTCAGCCCCGAGCAGGAGAGGCTCGAGAAGCAGCGGCAGCTGCCCTTCCATATGCACATCAACCTCGAGCTCCTTGAGTGCGTGTACCTGACCTGCAGCATGCTTCTCGAGATCCCGCTCCTGGCCCAGACTGGCTCATCGCCCGACATCAAGAAGCGTGTCATCAGCAAGACCTACCGTCGCATGCTTGAGTACCACGAGAGACAGATCTTCACCGGTCCTCCGGAGAATACCCGCGACCACGTGATGCAGGCCTCCAAGGCGCTCGCTGCCGGCGAATGGAAGAAGGCCATTGACTTCATCCACAGCATCAAGATCTGGGATCTCATGCCAAAGGCCGATGAGATCAAGGTCATGCTTGCCAAGCAGATCCAAGAGGAGGGCCTTCGCACCTACCTCTTCACCTATGCCCCCTTCTATGACACGCTATCCATCGATACTCTCAGTACCATGTTCGAGCTGGAGCCTCGCAAGGTCGCGTCCGTCGTCAGCAAGATGATCAGCTACGAGGAGTTGGCTGCCGCCCTTGACCAGGTCACCAACACCATCATTTTCCGCAAGGGTGTCGAGCTCAGTCGCCTGCAGAGCCTGGCCCTGGCCCTCTCCGACAAGGCCAGCGCCCTCATCGAGACCAATGAGCGCACGCTCGAGCAGAGAACACAGGGATCGGCCAGCGCCTTCAACAGGAAGGACGGCAGGCAAGGCGGCCAGAGGACCGGCGGTCAGCGGACCGGCCGGAGCGGCCCGCGGCCAGGTGGCAACACTCAGCGGCAGGCTGGCGGTACGCAGTTCACTGGCGGCGCTTTGGGTGCTGCGGTTCGCGGTTAAGTTCGGAGAGTAGGCGGCGATGGGTCTTAACATCAACAACAATTGGTTTTCGTTTGCTATGGGCATTGGGACTCGGCATGTTTATGATCAAAATTGGTCGTACGGTGTGTTAATGCTTCGCGCCACGATAGACCAAGAATGCAGGCAAAGATCCGGATTTCTCCATCATTCCTCCAAGTTGGATGGTGACATGCCTCTTGTGATTTTGTTTCGTTCCTCGTAATTGTAGTGATACCCAAGAACATCAACATTCCTTTTAAAATTGCCCTCAATCCTTGATCTCTTAGATCCAACTTACCCATAAAGTCAAGTCAAAAAGCAAACAAATCCCTATTCCTCGGCTGTTACGCCTGTTGCCATCGTTTGGAGTTGAAGACCTCAGGCCGGCAGGTCGTGCTGGCTCTTTGAACACAGAAATACCAATCCATGAAATTATTTCTGTTTAACATGCATTGGAAACAGGAATGTCTAACCCGAGAATGAGCCAAGGGATGGTAAGATAGGTGTGTAGGCAGTTGTGCAGGAAAGGGAATCTGTTGGACCCAGGGATTCACATTATATCCCCGCTGTTTGAATGACATGGACAACCTCACAAATACATCGGAACAGAAGACAGGCACTTTTTTGCTGCTTGTTTTCTGGGGGGAGAGCCCCATTCGGGAGATTGCTGATAAACTAGACGCATGGCAGCTTTGTTGCGGGCTACCTCTGTAGCTCCATCTCTCGATTTCTAAACCATGTGCTGCAGATGTGCCACAAGCAACAATGTGACAAGCGTCAGGAGATGGGGACCAGGCAATCTTAGGCCGTTCCCCGCGTAATTGTCATCGCCACAGCAACCCAAACGAGAACCGAATCTGCCTCCCCAAAAACCCAGCCAGCGACTGCACCCGCTTAGAGACGACGACCACGGCGACCACCCTTGCGACGGGTCGAGTCAGAAGGAGTGGGTGTGACGTCCTCAATGCGTCCGATCTTCATGCCAGAGCGAGCCAGAGCGCGGAGGGCGGACTGGGCGCCGGGGCCGGGGGTCTTGGTGCCGTTGCCTGGGAAATTATCAGCCATCCGCAATCCAAAAAGGAGTGAATTCAGGTAAATGGCTATACATACCACCAGTGGCACGGATCTTGATGTGGAGGGCAGTGATGCCAAGCTCCTTGCAGCGGGCCGCAACATCCTGAGCAGCCAGCATGGCAGCGTAGGGAGAAGACTCGTCACGGTCGGCCTTGACCTTCATACCACCAGTGACACGGCAGATGGTTTCGCGGCCGCTGGAATCACCCACGTTAGCCTCGGAACCATAGCTCGAGTCACGAACGCGGGCCACAGGGTCTCAGAACCCTCCCCCTCACGTCGCGTCCTCACGAAATTCCACTGTTGCAGTGTACGAACCTGAGATCGGTGACATGGACGAAGGTGTCGTTCTTGGGAGGGTTAGCACATGGTCTCGAAGTTCCTTCACACATAAGCGCTGCTTACGAAGCTGGCGAAGATACGGGCGACTGTTTAAGCCGATGTTAGCGGGAGCCTCATCACGGTTGCGCAGGACGATGTCACTTACCGCCGAAAACGAGCTCACCCTCGCGGACCTGAGGGCCCAGGGAGATGTTCTCCTGGGCGGGACGAGTAGTCTTCTTGGGGGGCATTTTGACTGTGGTCCGGTTGTCTGGCGGGTTTGCGGTGTTGGTTGCTGCAAATCGATCCGGTCGGCAGTGACTTTCCAAGAATTTTGAAGCCTGTCCTCCTCTGTGGTGGAAAGAATGCCCTGCTAATTGTGGCGGTGATAGGCGGCAGAAAGCGGGGCTGCCAAACCACAAGCCCTAAGCGTGTAACTTTGTACCTCAGACCCACACACTGCGGGTCGTGTCCTCACTGCTTTTTGATGCGCCCACCACCAAAATTTCTTTCTCCTTTTTCTCTGCGAACCGTATCGACAACGAGCTCAGCCAACGCCCCAGGTCGACAACACCGGCAAGATGTCTTCCACGTATGAATAACCCTAGTCCCTTTCCTGAATATACCAGATTGGTATCGTCGTGTGTTCTTTGACGAGAGCCTGCCGTGCAGATTAGCGTGGTCCTCTCACTGGATGCTTTGCGCAGGGCCCTTGATGGGCCCCGATGCATTGCTCCAGCTCGATCCCTCTCACGATTCTCCCTCCTTCTTGCAGGCATGACGACGGGCTTGCGGATTGAGAGACGTTTCGTGGGGTGTTGGGGTTGAAGGTGCTCTACCTTCTCCCTTAAATTCAGTGCCGCTTGGGCATAAGAAGGACTTTTGTCATCGCTATTGCGAGAACGAGCCCTTCGCCTTTCGCCCATCCGCGCAAAATGTCTTGGACTAGGTCCAAGGTGTTGCAACGTTGGGAAATTGGCTGAATGTTCCAAAGCATTGGTAGCAGGTGCTTTGGCTGGCCGCGCTCCCATCGGTCAACGTTCAGCAATCGAGTTAGCCACGAGAGAATGTCGCACTTGAGCAGCAGTTCTCCACCGGCGCTCTACCACATACTGGCATTTCGCATGCGGTATGTTGGATCACGTACTAATCTCACCGCGTAGGACCGTCCCGACCCAGAACGACATCCTCGTTCCCGAGACCCTCCTCAAGAAGCGCAAGTCGCAGGAGAAGGCTCGCGCTGAGCGTGCTGCTGCTCTCGAGAAGCGGAAGCAGGTTGGTCACTCCCTCTTTTTTTACTCTCCCCTTCGGCGGAATGATGCAAAACATACCTAGCGACTAGACCCAGGTCGATGCTGTTGCTAAAATATACCATCTTTCGGGTCTGATCTGCTTTAAGCAATAACTCGGTGGTGCGTCCAGTTGCGAGAACCCTGCTGACAGGTTCCCCTACAGGCCAACAAGGAGAAGCGCCAGGTCATCTTCAAGCGTGCTGAGAAGTACGTGAAGGAGTACCGTGAGCAGGAGCGTGAGAAGATTCGCCTTGCCCGGATCGCCAAGCAGCAGGGTTCTTTCCACATCCCTGCTGAGGCCAAGCTTGTCTTCGTTATCCGCATCAAGGGGTAAGCATTTACTGTTCAGGTTTTACGAAGAACAGCGGCTGACTTCTTCATAGTATCAACAAGATCCCTCCTAAGCCTCGCAAGATCCTTCAGCTCCTGCGTCTCCGTCAAATCAACAATGGTGTCTTCGTCAAGGTGACCAAGGCTACCGCTGAGATGATCAAGATCGTCGAGCCGTGGGTCGCCTATGGGTACCCCAACCTCAAGAGCGTCCGTGAGCTCATCTACAAGCGCGGCTACGGCAAGGTCAACGGTCAGCGCATTCCCCTCACTGACAACGCCATCATCGAGGAGAACCTCGGCAAGTACGGCATCATCTGCATTGAGGATCTCATCCACGAGATCTTCACTGTTGGCCCCAACTTCAAGCAGGCCGCCAACTTCCTGTGGCCCTTCAAGCTCAGCAACCCCAACGGTGGTTTCCGTCCTCGCAAGTTCAAGCACTTCATTGAGGGTGGTGATCTTGGCAACCGTGAGGAGCACATCAACGCTCTCATCCGTGCTATGAACTAAAAAGGGGTTATGATGGGTGGTGTTTGTGGTTCTGGTCTTTGGGTCAAGGGCAACTAGCATGGGTACTCGGCGTTAAAATGAGAAACAGGGTGGCATTCCAGGGAATGAATTTTACGATGCTGTTCTTACCCAACACGCTGCTTCGGGTTACCCATAGCGTTTCGCCTTCTGGATTGCCTACCGTGGCCCAGGGCACGGCCCAATGCTACATACAGAGTTGCCCAACCAACTATTCTTGCCGTGAAATGTGTTGCCGTAACGTCTATCCGCCCATGGCTTACATAATGTACAAATCTTGTTCAGCTCTATGAACCGAGGTCCAACCATCACATATGTCCCCTGATGTTACACCCTTAAATCTTGATATCAAAGCTTGTTCCACACCCACAACTGCTCGTCGCCTTGGGATTATCAACAATCTTAAACTGTGACCCAATCAACTCCTGCGTAAAATCGACCTTGCTGTCCTTCAACAACTCCAGAGACGCCAAATCCAGAATGATTTTTGGCGATGTGATATCCGGTTCAGCCATGCTCTCGTCGGGCGTCCAGGCGAATATGGTGTCGTCTTCGTGAAGTGTGGCGGTGGTATCGTCGGAGGAGGGGGCGGGTGATTCGGGTGTAGGCAAAGATGGGGGCAAGGTGACCAGACGCATCACGTACTGGAAGCCATGGCAGCCGCCAGATTCGACTTGGATGCGCAGGGCTAGGTGGGGGTTGGTGTCTTTTTTCATTATTTCGGTAAGGCGCTATAAGCACTGTATTAGTAATGCATACTAGCAGGAAGAAGGTCAAGGAGGAGGAAGGAAAAGTATAGGGGAGAGGAAAAAGCAGAAAAGGGAGGAAGAGGGAACGTACTTTGCCTGCGCGGGGAGTGATTTCAAGGCGCATTTCTTGCCCGTCTTCGCCGACTTGTGGGTTAAAGAGGATGTGTGTTTTTGGGCGGGAGAAGGTTGTGCTGAAGGTGCGAACTTGCGGGGTTGGTGCGTGCGGAATGGAAGAAAATGTCCGGGAATGTAGTGAGTTGTTTGCGCTCGAGAGTAGACGGCGAAGGATAGAGGACGTCTCATGAATCTTGGGTGAGGGATTGGATGGTATGCTAGATGCGGATGCCACAGCGTGGTGTATGCGAAAGGCGGCTGCTGCGCCTACTTGTTGTCTGACTGCAGGCACCAAGACGTCAAGGAGGGGAGAAGGGCTGCTGGTCAAGGCCGCTGTGACAGCGGCGGATCGGCGGCGCATGTTGAACCGAATAGAGGAGAAAGATAACGAGGACAGGAGCGTGGGTGTTGCTGTGCGGTTGGAAGAAAGGTCTTCGAGCGCAGGGGAGCCAAGAGTTAATGTCGGCGGATATGTACGCAACTCAGATCGTACTGTAACGAAGATAATGCTGTCCCCGGGCGCATGTCATACGAAATAGAGGTACAAGATAGGTTGCCGGTGGTGTGTGGACGGAGGGGTTCCGCTACGGAGCAACTGGTCGGTCTACTTGTGCCGAGAGCGAGCGGTGTTTTGCGGCAACAAAATTTCCGCCTAGGGGCATGATGTCAGCGCCGGCCGAAGCTCAGGGGTCGAAACCAGGCACTGACCAATCATATGGTTTAGATTAGGGTCGACTGCCCCACCAATCGGCCCCGGTAATATATGCGTAGGGTTATTGGAGCGTTCGTTGGTTCAATTGTCCGATACTTATCGTCGTCACTTTGCAGACTTCGGGCAAAACTTGAAGGGTCTCAGTGTAGAGAATCGAAGCGAAAGTGGTTATTTCAATCCAAAAGTAGACCATCTAGGCTGAAGAAGTGAATAGATACGAAGTTCAAAAATCAAAATTTAAACGCACAACTTGCCCTCAGCAGTAAGGGCTTGCCCTTTGATGTTGAGGGACTCAAAAGGGCTTCCTTAAACCTATCTCTTACATTCCCGTCTACCAAAGCCCCTCACAAAAAGATAGAGAAGAGCTGCGATCCGTCAGTCGGGCATGGCCCGGACGTGAGGCGCCCGTCGCCTGGGAGAATACAGGTGGTGTTGCCCGCATTAAGCGGCGCAAAGGCGAAGCTGGTCTGGCCAAGGTAGGGGAACAACTGGTTGCCATCGGTGCCGCCACCTGTTGACTGTTAGCTTTTGGCTAAGACTGAGGAGAGATCGGGTACATACTGCCATCGGCGCGACCGCCACACGAAAAGATAAACACCCTGTCACCTTGCTGCCGCCTGCCGTCGAAGCTGATACATCCTTGGGTCTTCGGACAAGTCAGTAACCAATCCCCTTTTCTCATGTCCTCAACCCATCCGACACTTACCAAAGAGCTAACAACCAACGCACTATTTGGCCGTCCCGCCGAAGGCTGGTTATGCTTCCCGTTGACAATAACATCCCACTTCTCATTCGGCGAACCACTGCACTTAACCAACGATACGGGGATCAAGTTCTGTCGGAAATCGCCTGCCGTCGGATCTACAAACATACACTGACCATTCGGCGCGCGGATTTCGACGTTCTCAAAGGCGCGTGTTGCCGTGTTATCGCGCTGGTGTGCCTTTGCGGCTGCCGACGGCTGCAGTAGCCCACCGAGGGACACAGGGACTGGCGTGGTGGGGTTGACGGTCGGGATGCCGCTTGCCGCGGCGGCGCTTGTGGTTGCTGCGGTTGTGGCGGCTGTGGTGGTTTGGGCTGAGGTGGTGGTTGTGGAGGTTCTGGTCTTGGTGCGGTTTCTGACCCTGGTCCTTCTGGAACCACTAGTCAACGTGGTAACTGAGGTGACTGTCTCCCGAAGAGTGCTCGTCCGGGTTGTCTGAGCCGAAGCCTGCGAAGTCGACGTCTTTTGCCTTGTCGATGTCGTAGTGGAGAAGATGGTCGTCCTCAATGTCGTCGTCCTGGTCGACTGGGCTCGAGCAGTGGACGTAGCACTGGAGTTAGCCTCGGCTTCAGAGTCGCTTGTCTCAGCTGCAGCCGCAGTTGAAGTGGTCGAAGTCCTGAAGCGACCTGCGGCATGAAACTGATCAAAATTCCCTCTGGCCTTAAGATCGGAGTGGACGACTTCGAGGCCAAAGGTGAACACTTGGCTGGTGTCTCCCTTCTGGCATCGAATGATGTCAACACTGCCATCCTTTGCTGCAAGGCATGACTCTTTGGCATTTACTGGCTTCAGGGACATGGAGGTAGCACGGCCGTCGAAAACAAACAGCTGAGAATCAGCCACCTCGCCGCCTACGAGCAAGTTAGCATGGTGATGGTGTCAGTGGTGGGATCTAGACCACATACTGCCGTCAGCAAAGCCATCACATGGGTAGAGGAACGCCTGGCTCCCTTTCGGTCTATGAAGATTAAAGTCGAGACAGGCTCGAGTCAATGTATTGACAACAAGCATAACATCATCGCCCTTGATGTGCTTGCCGGCAGTGATGATGTCCCATCCCTGGCCCTCTGTAGATCCACACTTGGCTACCTGGATGGATAGAAGGTTGGCACGGAAGTCTCCCGATGGCTTGTCAACATAAAGACATTTTCCATCCGAGGTCTGTCGCGTATGTTAGGTTTAGCCTTATTGCACATATTCAGTACAGAACCGGACCTTGATTTGAATATTAGAAAATGCCCGAACGGCAGTGTCATCGCGACGTTGAGCTTCTGCCGCTGCAGGTTCATCAAGGATATGGACCGTCCTGGCCGAAATGGGGTTGGCATTCGCCCAAGCGACACAGGCCAGCAGGGAAAGGAGCATGAAAGCCATTATGGCAGTTGGGAATGTAAGAGAACGAAGGCAAGTCGATGTTGTGGAAGCGCAAAGAAAGGAGCGATGCCTGCTCAGCAGGCAGGCTCTAGAGAAAAGAATTGAGAAAAGGTAAGGAAGAGAGGCTTTCACAGATAGCACTGAGAGAGTGGCAGCTCAAGGAGCGATTGAGAGAGACAACAACAAGGATAGAGGTAGGCCTGCCTACTTATCCTGCGCATGGTAGCGTCGCGCTGGATATTGAAGGCGTTGATGCGGGAGTCTCATTGGGCTTGGCCACTCCCGAATGATACGTCCCACACCGAGCCTAGTGAAAGTCCCCTAGGGCTTCAGCAAGTTTCATGACCCCTTCAGTAAACAGTCATTGACTTCAGGGTCTTTTGGGGCCACACATGGGGACCAGAATACTGGCTTGTTGTGAGGCCTGACTAACACCTTTGGCATGGATCGCTTGATCTCTAAGGCTTTGGTTAACTTTATTCCCAACAAAGCAACAAGTCCGAGTCGCCCTGAGCAGACGAGATCATCTGATCTGTACTCTGGCAAAGAAGAGACGGAAGTTGACCGGCAGTCGGGAGCAAATAAAAGGGATCACCCTTGTGGTTACCTTTGCGCTCGTGGTGAGCTTTAGCTTTTGTTTCAGCGATCATCTACAGGATCATGAAACGGTTGCTGTCTGAGAGGGCGCCAAGACCGTGGGGAAAGGGCACACCACAGCGTTGTTTCGGCGGCAACCGACTGCATGGTGAAGAATTTGCAGTTTTTGACGCTTGATAGGTCAACAAGAGCTTGTTTTTTCCCACCGCGCACCCGTCGTTTTTGCGGTAATTGTGAAGATCTCGGCAATCTCCCGTCTGCTCACGTGTTGTGCTCCTTGACAGCGGCACTTCAAGACATGCGATGAACGTGGAGCCAGTGCTGAGTAGGCAATCTAGGAGAGGACAAGCCAAAATAGTTCTTCAATTGCCCGAGCAGTCCTAGAAGTGCCAATTGGCCCAGGAAACCGAAAAAAAGCGTGCAGACAAAGCTTGCTCTGGGTCTGCGAATGATTTGGGGAAGCTGACGAGATGTCACTGTGGATCCTGTTTTGGGGAAAGGCTCCGCTAAGTCGGCAGCATTGATGCTGTCACGTGACATAGCTCATCAAACCCCACAAGCCAAATTCAACAAAGGGTTAAGGTTACTTTTCCAGGGCCTTGCCCTAGTGGAGCAAATGCCAAGACTTCTCCCCACTCCAAAATTTCGAGACGTCCTTCAATTGCCAGTTGACGTCTTGAATTCCTGGACGTTAACGACCGCCTTCGAAACGACCCTCTCACCTCCAAGTCAACCCCCCCAGAGACAACCGCCAAAATGCCCGGAGGCGTTACCGTTCGTGATGTCGATGTAAGTCTCTGCAGCTCTGTGCCATAGAGCCCTACGACCGAGACCCGATCATTCTTTCGCTGTCCGAGTCGCCGCTGGCCTGTCCCGTGGGACTCGTGCTGGCCGACCATGGTGGGCCTTCGGCCGTCAAAGCAGCACCAAGGAAGATGAAGGGAGCAGGCGTGAGGGGATCGAAAGATCTCTGAAGACGGAATTTTGCTAATCATGGTTTGGTGTTGAACACTAAAGGCCCACAAGTTTGTCGGTAAGTGATTAGAGACGCAAAGGGCCTGACGTTGAGATGCTAACGGTATCGTAGCGGCCTACGCGGCTTTCTTGAAGCGCCAGGGCAAGCTCCCTGTGCCCGGTTAGTTTTCCGGAACAGCGACGACCGCGCCGTACGAACGCTCTTCTGACTCGATCCGAACAGGTTGGGTTGATACCGTCAAGACCGGCAATGCCAAGGAGTTGCCTCCTCAGGACATTGACTGGTGGTACATCCGTGCCGCCTCGGTCGCTCGCCACGTCTACCTGAGGAAGACCGTCGGTGTTGGCCGCTTGCGCAAGGTCCACGGCAGCGCCAAGAACCGCGGCACCCGCCCCTCGCACCACGTTGATGCCAGCGGCTCCGTCGACCGCAAGATCATGCAGGCCCTGGAGAAGATCCAGGTCCTTGAGAAAGATGAGGAGCGTGGCGGCCGCCGCATCACCCAGCAGGGCCAGCGTGATCTTGACCGTGAGTGCCCGAGCCCAGAAACATTTGTAAATGTATCTGACTTTCAACAGGGATCGCCCAGACCGTTGCTGAGGCTGATCAGGAGTCCGAGGCTGAGGAGGAGGAGTAAACTGGCTATTCTTGGAGGGTATCCAGTTACGGTCCCAGCATGATCTGGGCCACGGAGCCGCGCTGGGTTAATGGGGGTTGAAGGCACGACGTGACATGGGTCTGATCATGATTCCCGGTAGCATCTGGTTATAGGCGTCATAAAAGGGATTCCTGGCGTTCTGGTCACATAAGCCTCACCACATACTCAGACAGCCGGCTCTAACTCAGTCTCAACATCGTGGTCGCCATATTTTGTTCCTCCGTTTGCCGGGTTATGTGCCCCTGACCTTTGTAATCTTTTGCCCCTGCCGTTGCCCTCTCTAACTCAACCGTAGTCGGTCGATAGCTGCCAACTTAACTCATCGACTTCATCGGCTACAAGCTTATACGATTGTTGGGGTTTCTGCCTTTGCGAACTCTATCTCGTACCTTACTTCCTCTTAGACTCTCCAAGTCACTCAGTTCATTTCAAGGCGTACCTCGCACTCCTCAGTTGAATGACACCTCGAATTGGTTGCATTTGTTCCCCTACTTTTTCCTTCAATCATACCACGACGATAGCAACTCTCAGCCGCAAGCCATATCATTTTCTTAGCCTGACTTTCTCGACTCCTTTACTTCGTTACCTTACTATCCCTCCTGCCTTCTTGCGCTCATCCTTCAACATCTGATTCCTAGAACCTCCATCTCGCTGACCGAGCTTTTCCCATATACTTGGTTTCTTCCTCTCAATGCCAACTTATCAATTGCGGTTAAGACTGCACTTGTTTCCCTTTGTCACGTTACAGGTTTTCGCGTTGCCAACACTTTCAGCTTCCTTATTTTACACAGATACCAGCTCAAGTCGTTTCCTCACAAGTCCACTTGTCTAGCCTCATCAGGACTCTTTGGCAATGGGCTCAGTCAACCCCCATCCCCCCTCTCAGAGGAACGCTCCCCCTCTAATCAACTCCCTCCACAAAGCCATTCTCTCCAACGACTACCACGGCGTCCGAATTCTGATAGCCCCCAACAAGAACAACGTCGACCAACGTCTCGAGGCCGAAGGCGCTACTTTCCTCATGGTTGCCGTCCTGTTAGGCCGGCTGAAGATTGCAACACTGTTGGTTCGACACGACGCGTCGAGTCGTGCAAAGGAACAATGTAGATTCCGCGCAATTGATTACCCGAGAAAGAGTTTATTTCGAAACAAGTTAGATTGGTATCATGCTCAGATGGGGCTTCCGGCTATTGGCAAGAAGTAGGTTAGGGGGAGGATGAAGATGAGGAAGGTTTGGGGCATGCGGCGGCGTTGAGGAACCGGTAAATTTTCCTAAAATTATCCTCCTCACTCTCAAGTTTCAATCAAGACATGTACTGAGCTCTTGTAGCCGCAAAGACGGCAAAAGCCGTTGCTTTCGCCCCCTTTTCTACAAGAACAAGGGCACCTTAAGCATCCTTGGAACCGATTCTTCCTTTACCATTGCAAAATAAGGACTCGAGAAGTTTACAATTAACTTCCTTATCTCAGTCAGCAATCCTACTACCAAGTCAGTTGCCTCCAGCGGATGGGCATTTAACCCGGATAGTGGTTACCATGTGCTTGACAATGTAAAGTGCGTGGCTCTTGTAAAGCGTGTGGCCGATTTTTTAGGCGTTCGGCCTTCGCGGTTTCATAGGGATAATAATGGCAAGCCGCTGCCTGAGCATACCACGCGTTTTGCAGCTAGTCATGTTGTGAATGTTCTTGCTATGGGGAAGGGAATGGTCGCTAAAAATTACCCAGGAAAAGAAGCTTACTGTCTTCCAAGTTATTGCAGCCCTGAAGGCGATTCTCAATAGGACTGACTATCGGTTCATGGCTAAGTTAAAGAGGAAAAAATACCCCAGGTGTCTGGCGCAAGACTTAAGACATTTCTTGATCATGAGCTTTGCGGCGATGTAGGCTTCTTATGTTTACTCTCATAGACTCGGTCAAAGAGCTCTTGGACTAACTAATTGTATCCCAAGTGCTAGAACCTCCCCGAAACTATCTGCCGCACAACCGGTATAACATTATCTATTAAGACAGTCACCTTCTTGACAAGAGGCTTCCGGGATTCGGCCGGTGGCTACAGGAAGTGTGCATGTGAGCGTCGTGTCTGTGTGTATCAGCACATCCGCAGCCAGCAAGATCGCCCCAACGATGATGAGCAGCCTCAGGAGAACAATGATTCTGTAGAGATCGTTGTGGATGAAGACGACAGGACTGTCTCTCATGTTGCAGCGACCGAACCGATCAAGGTCAAGGATTGAAGTCCACCTGCCGGCGATGAACCCCGCATGAAGGATTATGTCCATCTTTCCATAGACACCACATCCGCTCTTTCGGGCGGTAGCTCGCCTGTCCCTGAGCACTCCTTAAAGCGGGCTAAAACGCAGAACTCGAGCACCCAAACAATCCGTCTTGCACCGTTATAAGTTAGTCTGGAGAACACCATCAATGCGCCGGATTTTAAACGGTTTGCTTATACCGATGATCCTAACGACGGGACTCTCGGCGCATCTTTGGCTAGGATGACTGCTCAGTTAGGGAATACAGCTGGACGAGCTGGGAACATGAAGGGCAAGAAGCCGAAGAAAAGGCTGTCCAGGGCTCAACAAGCATGGTAAAAGAGGGAGAAGTTACGTCCTAGGAGCATGTTTGCCAAAACTGTTGTGAGGAAGGGTAAGATAGTTGAGGTAAGAGCGTGAAAACTATTTGTGGTACTGACTTCGATCTTTGTCGAAAGGTACATCTGACTCTTGAGTACCTGACTAACCAGACGGGTAAGGAGTAGTACTTCTCTTAACACTGTCGCTTGTCAACGTATATAGCTTGTGAACGTATACGACTTGTGAATCCGATGATGTCCGTTAATATAACTCTAATACATCTTGTCACAAAGAGCGCTCTTCATTGATGCAAAATTCTTTAAACAATACTCTCATCCCATTCCTTTCGTGTGAGACTTCCCTCTCAACCCATATCCATTCCGTTGACTCTTCTCTCTCAACTCCTTTTCCACACCCTGCAATCAAACACTGAAACACGGGCCGCTGGTCTAGTGGTATGATTCTCGCTTAGGGCTCACCCTGAAGCATCGAGTAGCTGTTTCGACATCTTGCTCGGCTTGTTTGCGAGAGGTCCCGGGTTCGATCCCCGGGTGGCCCCCTTTTTCCAGGTCACCAGAAATGGAGAAGAGCTTCAAGTTTTGAGAAGAGTATCCCCACGTGTCAGTTTTTTTCTTAGCCTCTTCTTTTACTGTTTTGTTCCTTTGTCGTTGGCAGGCCTTCCTCCTTTCGGGTGCATTTACCCCGACATCAACAATACATAGCTCGATTGGATTGATCATGGGTATTGACTCTATCACATATGTACACTTACACAACGATCTACACACATTTCCCTTCAAACCTGGCCGAGGTCAGTCCTCAAGAAGAATACTGCACCTCCAAGCCCAAACTCCGAAAGGGCTCGCCCAACTTGCGTAGATCTACTCCAGTTCCCAGGCTGAAAATTAGCGACTTCACTCGACCCTCCCACAGCAACCCCATCTTGAGGTTCTGGTCTAGACGTGCCTTCAGCACCCCTCTATACTGCTCTTTGTCGTCGTCGGGATCATTATTCCCCGTTTCCATTGACAAGGGCGTAGTTGTGGTTGTGGGATGTTGCCCTTTGCTCACGGGCACAAGAGTCGAGGGAGCATTCTGCCACGGGCCATTCGCAGGAGCAGGCGGTGCTGGCGATGATGGGCCTTTACACTCCTCATCCAACCGCCACTCCAACTTCGCCTGGAAACTCCTTTCCATCCACCACGGCTTCGGGTGCATTTGAGTCCGCGTTTGCTCCTGAGCAGCCTTACTCTGCTCTGACCCAGGCAGACCTTCCGCTCTGGCAGACTCCCCTCCATCGACATCTCCCTCAACTGGCCTCCTAGGATCCCTCCCCAACAGAAAACCTCCCGGCCGTCTATTGCTCCACAACTCCATGCCCACTGCCCAATCACTCTCATAACTGTAAACATTGAACTCCATCCTCGTCGCCAAAGAGCAGTAGTCACGCGCACGCACGGCGTATGTCGCGCTGATGTTGCCCATTAGCGGGTTCAGCGTGAGGGTAGCGGTTAGAGGGGTGCCACGATGCGCGGGGAGGGTCTGAAAACGTGCGCCAACGGACATGCCGCCGGATTTGTTGAGTGTGCCGTAGTAAAGTTCACCGCCGATGCTGAAGCGGCCGTAGATGCGGTCGCGTTCGCGGTCCGAGGGGGAGAAGGAGTGGCCGTTGGTGGTGCCGTTGGAGGTAGGGTTGGAGTCTGCATTGCTGCCACTGCCCTGGGTTTGGGTTGCCGTGGTGGACTGACTTACGTTAGTCGTCACCGCCGCCGCAAAAGGCACGGTATCCCCTCCAAAGTTATACAACCCCCTAATCCCCAGCAACCCACCATCCGTCGACGCCAGCCCCTCAACGCCATACTTTCCCCGATCGTATTGCACCAGCCCCAGAATCGTGCCCCCGTTCCTCAGTGACCGCTCACTTACAGCCGCAAGCTGCACCTGCAAACATGAATTCACCCTCCTCACGACCAGCCCCTCGAGCAACGACTGCGGCAGATATAGTCGGCCATACAATAGCCACTTCTTCTCCCCCTCTTGGCTTAACCCTAACCCCAAACTAGCTCCTAATCCCCCTTTCTCAGCAGCTCCTTCATCACTATTCTCCTTCTCCGCCCTGGGACTAGATCCCCCCTTAGGAGTAGAGGGCTTATCGACCCCCGGAAAAGGAAACCACGGCCACTCTGCCGCACCCAGATCCCTGATCTGGCGATACGACCTTAACAGAGCCTGCAGCGGGATGCGATCAGACTGCGCAGCAATGCCGGCCAGCGGCACGGTGCTGTACAGGTAGGAGATGGAGCCGTCGACGATGCCGACGGTGCCGAGCTGGTAGCTGGTGGCGAAGTTGGAGGTTGCAAGGGACGAGAGGGTCAGGCGGAGGCCACGAGGGAGGGGGAAATCAATTAATTCTGGGGGGGGGGACTGTTAGTATTCGGAGGCATTTGTTTGAGAAGAGGGAAACGCTTACCCCGCGCAGTGGCATTCAGCTCTTTGTAGGTATTATCATCGCTCCAATTCGTGGCGCCGTAAAAGGCGTTGGTGATATAGTTCATGAACTCGCGCATTTTTGGTCTTAAACCTGCGTGCCGGCAGGTCTGGCGCGGTGTGTCACCTCTGGCAGACCATTGGGCTTGCGCTGGGCGAGGGTCGCGAACGGTACTCTCCTTGAGTGTGTTAAGGTCGTCGTGAAAAGGGCCAAGCAACATAAGCAGGCTAACTTTTTGAGAAGTTGGGGTTGGTGGAGAGTCCCCTGCCATTGCCAAGATCCGGAGATTCAATCAGCCAATGATCGCATCCAATTAACAGCCTTGTGGGACCAGTCCGTCCCGCAGATCTTCCACTCGCCATCCCGATCCATCACCAGCCTCGTCTTCGTCCTCCAAAGACAAAAATAGAATCGCACGTGAACGGTGTGTGGAATTCTCCATTCTAAAACTACAAGCTGAACTCATAAGAAAAAGTCGTAATCATCCCAACTAAGTTCATAACTCGTCCCCCCCCCCCCCTTCAATCAATTCAACACCCCCCTAGTTCTTCTCCCCAAAACTCTCCCTCCCACTCTCAAACACCTTATCAAAGTCATACTCAAACCACCTAATATCTGGGCACAGCCCAGCAAACTTCCAGACCCCATCGACCTTCCGGTAGTAGTGCGTATTGTGACTATGCGCATGCCCCTTCACTTTGACTTGCGACAGGCTCGAGTCCGTGTACACCTGGTGCGGCACACGCAGCTGGTGGTACCCGATGATCTCCGTGTCCGATACCTTCTCCCACTTGCTGGCACCGCCAATGAAGTGCTGCGTGCGGAGGAGAGGGTTGCCTAGAACGGTCGGGCTCGAGATCATCTGGATGAATTCTTCCGCGGGCATCGCCTCCCAGAGCTTGTTAAGAAATGAGCGATAGTCGATCTGGCTTGTTTGTTAGTGAATGTATTGGAGAGAGGAAGTGATTGTTATTACTTACGCGCAGTGTGGGTGCAATGCACTTCCGAAGACGGTCCCAGTCCTTGGAGTCATAGCTGTCTGCCCACTCGAAGGCGGCCTCAGTGCAACCGAGGTACTCTGCTTTCGTCAGCTGCCGTATCTTGACATAAGTAATGTCTATGTCTCGATTTACCCTCGAAAGAGATTTGCTTCTTTTCAGACGACATGTTGACTCTTTTGATCCTCTTTCCTCTCGATCTTGATGCAGACGTCCAAGTTGTCGTTGTTGCTGCTGCTGCTGCTATTCTGGACCCAAAGATCGGCCGAGGCCGGCTTATATACCCTCGTCCGCACCATTAGAAGGTGCTATTCGTGCTCCGGAAGCCAAATAACAGCCTTCGGGCCGCATCTTCCCAACCTGCCGGTGCTGTTTCCCCGAGAGTCGGTCCCCCATTCGGAGTCAGGTGGGGATGTGCGAGTTACCAAAAAGCTGGACGCCAGTCACAGACGGAACCGAGGGTGTGCATTGATGGTATGCGATTACTTCTATTTGAGTCGAGACGGGGCGGGCAAACTTGGGTAAGTCAGGTTGGGTCCAGGGATGAAACTCCGGCGAAATTGGAGATCCATCCTGGCGGTGTTTCTCTCGCCTTCGGATATCACAAACACGTGCTTGGCCCATTGATGTTTGGGTTACACAGGGGTGGATGCCTTGGCACCGCTCAGAAGAAGAGAGTCTTGAATAAGAGCTGGGTATTTGCTCTTGTTGAGGCAGATTTGGGTTAAAGAGAGGATTTTAGCATGCCGTCTTTCTCGGGACCGAAACGATTTACCCCGAGTTATCTGTCTTTCCGCTGTCTGCACAAACTTCGGGAGCTCTGAGTTCCTGAAGGCAGCCTTCGGGAGGATACGGGTGTCTTACCTGACGGCTCATGTCATCAAAAATATCATCGTCGCGGTTCCAGTTCGGACAGAAGCCTTGTTTTAATATTCGCCCTGACACATGTAGACGAGAATGAGGATTGCTCACCATATTTACCAGCTTTGCTATATCCCAAACATTCTTTCTTCCATTCTCTAATGTCAATTGCAGTCTCCAGAAACACTACATCTACCATTCAGCTTCTCACATCATCATTGAACCACACATCCCTTCCCATCCTTCTTTCTCTCGCTCTCCGTTCGTCCCTCCTTGCTCTCCTTCTCCTCCTTATCCCCCTTCTCCTCACTCTCCTTCACATCCTTTTGCCCCCTATCTCCAGGCCTAACCCTCCAACTCCCCCTCCTCTCCCTACTCCTTCCCCTCTCTTCGTCCTCATCGCTCCCCTTATCAACCTTCTCATCCGCCCTCCCCTCCCAAACCCTCAAAATCCCCCTCACCCGTCCTTCCACAACCAGTTTCGCCGCATTTACATCCATGCCCCCCTCCACCAACTCCACAAACTCCGTATAATTTTTCCTCACATATCCTCTCACCACCAACCTAACCCACTCCACCATCCGTTTGCCATTCATCCCCTTCCCCTTCCCCTTCGCACCCCTCGTCACTTCGGCTACAATCTCTTTCAGTGTCTCTCCCTTCGGCATCCCAGGGAACACCCCCCTCATCACACGCTCCCACTTCCCTTCGTTTTCCTTCTCCCGTCTCTTACTCGCTTCCTTCCTCTGGTGGGCCGTCTGCAGCGCCTGGCTCTGCGCCCAGGTATACACATGCTTTGGGCACCGAATCCCAAGTACCTCACGCCCACTGCGACAAGGTTTCCCGTTACTTCTTTTCTTTCCCCCCTTGGTGTTTGTTTTCGATATGGTGGGATCAACCACGACGTAGAGGGCTTTTCCTAGAGCGTGGGTGCGTTCGCGGCACTGCTTCGTGATGTATGGATCGCCTTTGGCGACGAAGCTATAGCCTTTTGGTAGGGGGTCGGAGGGGTGGACGATGAGCTCAGCTTCGGAGTCGATGCTGGAGGATGTGATGGAGAGGCAGGGAGAGGAGGTGATGGAGGATGGGATGGAGGGGGAGCGTTCGGGAATGTCAAGTTGCTGAGGTTGTGGTTTGGGGCTAGGTTGTTTTGGTGGTCGTTTTTGGGTGGCTTTGGATGTTGTTCTGGGGATGGACTTTGGAGCGGCAGGCTTTTTCGAGGGCTCTTTGGTTGACATTACGGAATCGCAAGCGTTGATGAAGACGCTGAAAAATTGGTTGGATTGATTTTCATCCGGACCTGTTTTCACTCCGGATAAGCCTTTGTGCTTATTCCCGAGCTGAGGAATGAAAGACTGTGTTGTTTCCCATGGACTCTTTATCCTATCAATAACGCTCGCAGAATTGGGAAACTCAAAATACTACCCCCAGAGTATGTGAGAAAAGTGGAAGTGTGAGCAATTGTTGATGAATTAAGGCATGGCCATTGGGGCCAAACCAAAGGCCTCTCTATAGGTCTCTGGATCAAAGAACAGGGCAACAAGCTTTATTCATACATGAAAGGGCCATACAAAGAGCCATACAAGCCGGATGCCTACAGGCGTCCGAGAACAACAAAAGGCATTGACAGCCCAGCTGCTATATTCAGAATCACTGCCGAGAAGCCATTAGAGACAATGAAAAAGAATTGCGTGGGGCAGCGGACAAATCCCGGGAACTCACTGTAACAGCGTCCTCTTGTTGTGGGTTGTGGGCAATGAGTTGGTTAGAGCGTAAGTCTGGGTGTCATGTTGATGAGTGTTAGCTCTTTGGAATGCCTATAATGGTCAGGATATCTTGTCCACATAGGTAGGTCTTCCTTGATCATCTGTGGATGTGCTGAAAACTTTCTTTCATCAGGATGTAAACGGTGAGAGTTCTAACCCGGGCTTTTGGATGACAAAGCTGCTTGTTGACACACTGAGAGCACTTTGGGTCACTTCACAACATAGAAAACCATGAGCCTTGTCTCGGGCTTGGTCATACTGATCACCCCGGGACGCCCAGATGAACCAAAATGCAACCCTGTTTGTTCTGTAGTTGAGCTTCGGTCACTGTGTAGCAGGCATCCACTTTCATCATTGAGACTATCTGATAATCAGGACTAGCACGCTGGCATTACAACTCTCATTATGGAGGTATTACCCTTTTCAGCTGCAACAACAACTGAAAAAAAAAAAAAACACCAACAATTGTGCAAATACAAGGTACCTATGAAGTAACTCCTTCTCACATGACCTTTCTGCCGTACTCTCCCTCACCCATCTGCAGACACTGTTGCATCTGTAGACACCTAGGCAGATGCTCCTAATTCCTCCCATAAGACCAACAAATGCCTCATCAACATTATTACCTTGGATATCTCACAGGCTGGGTTTACATGCAACAAGATGCTGCTCGACTACTGGAGACATCTCTCAGGCAGAATCCCAAGGCCAAAGCGGACCAAACTCTGACAAAAACATGCAAACATGTAAGTGACCTTAAGGATCGAAGATCCGATTTTAACTCGACTGAACCATCCAACTCCTCGACAAAGGAGGAAGGAGGTCTCTCTCCTCTCAGTAGACAGTCTGCGTAATGACATAAGCCGCAGCCTTTTTGTTTCCCCTCAACCCTCAGACTTGTAAAATGAAACCCGTTTTGTTTTCCGTCCTTGACCGTATCCATCGTCATGAGCCCTGCTGAATCTCCTTTGAAAAAGAGTATGATGACTGAACCCCCCAAGAGAGTCTTCATGATCGAGAAAGAGACCCAGACCTAGTCAAGAAGGAAGACGTAGCCCCAAACCAAAGAGTCCAAGTCCGAGACCATGACCGAGACCGAGAAAGTTGAAAGAGATCGAGAGAGAGAAGAGTTCATAAACAAAGAATCAATCGATCAAACCTTGAAGAAGCTCAAACTCCGCAATGGTCCATTGTGTGGTATCCAGACCGGTGGTGAGAAGAGGAAAAGGCTCAACCGGGAGACGTTGTGGAAGAACGAGCAATCCGACCAATAACTAAGGAGAGGAATCACCGGAAAGTATTTTTGGAAGGAGGAAGTACGAAAGAAACTGGAAACGGAAAACCGATCATCAAAAGCATCAAACCAAATCAGAGACTAGGAGGAGGAGGAATACGTACGTAGCTCGCAAAGCGAGCCAAAAAGGCATCTGAGCTTCGCTAAAAGAGCTGGATCATGCCCTATAGAGGGGGAATCATCACGAAAGCATCAAAGTCAAAGTCAAGTAAGTAACTGGTCAAACTCAAATGCAAGGCCAAGCATCAAGCAGGGGAGAGAAAAAACGCGCATGGAAATTTTCGCAGCTCGCCTGAATGGGAGGAGGAGGAAAACGAGAAGACCTTGAGACTGGAGAAAGGAAAACGACGTAATAAACACCGAAGAGAGAAGGCGTCCCAAATTTAGTTTCCCTAACCCAAATACTTTGATCTCCCGAACGGAAAATGAACACGCGCAAAGAGCAAGAGAGGGAAATTTTGCAGTTCTGAAGCAGAAGCAAGCAGAAGAATCAGAGACAAAGAAAGAAAAGGCATCCTTGTTCCTTCTGTAGATCATGAAAACAGAAACGACGCTCCTAAAGCTTCCGTAGCCCCCAACCAGCAATTCATGTCATTTCAATCTTACGAAAAAATGCCCATCATTCTGGCACTTTAGAACCACGAGAAAAAAAAAGGGGGGGGGAGAAACGTCGACGTTAAAAGCTTTCAGACCCTTTAGTTGTGAGAGCAAGCCCTGCCTCGGTGTCGAGGATGCGCCAGCTGCAGAAACGCATCGCGAACTCCAGCAACGGCATCGCATCACATCACATGGGTGAGCGCTTGCGGCGCTTAGAAGCCGACTCGGACGAGGAAGGGCGATTGCCGTCCTCGTCGCCCATGTGCTGACGATTGCGCTTCTCATTGCCCGAATGACCATGAGCGGCCTGCGCAGCCAGCTTGCCGCAGGCATTCGACTGCCTACGGCGGTGCCAGAACGACAGGTTGCGGCCTTGGTTCGAGCGGGGCACCTAGCCCTGATAGCCGGCGAAGCCGCTGTTGAAGTTTTGGGCCGGAGGAGGCTGGCTCCAGGGAGCCGCGGGGCCCTGGCCCCGGCCATAGCCGCCAGCGCTCGGAGGGCCATTGTAACCCATCTGAGGACCGTAACCGGCAGGCGACTGGGCCTGAGGGCCAGCATAACCAGACTGCTGGCCCGGTGGACCATAGGCGCCTAGGCATTCGTTAGCAAGAGCACTCAAGCACACTGATACTTGAACGCTTACCACCATATTGATTGTAGGGATAAGCGCCCGGAGCACCAGGGTAGCCAGGGGCCTGGGCGCCCTGCGGGCTGTACTGGTGGTTGGGGTCAAACTGCTGATGGTGGTTGGGGTTACGATCCTTGCCCCACTGCGTCCCGTTAGCAACATATATTCTAGAGAAGAGAGGGGGTAGAAACATACGCTGCACTTGAGAGGGCGACCGTTGACCATGTAGCCGTTAAGCTGGCAGATGGCCATCGCCGCGTTCTCATGGCTGTCCATCTTAATGAACGCGAAACCGCGGTCGGCTTGCATGCGGCACTCGACGACGTAGCCGAAGTTCTGGAACAAGGGTACCAGATCGTTCTGGGTCGTGTAGGGGGTCAGATTGCCAACGTAGCAGGTAGTTTGCCAGGCTGGAGTCTGGTTGACAACCATGTCATAGCTATGGATGCCGTGCGTGGGAAAGTGATGATGGCCATATGGCGTGGTCGGAGTCATCCCCATCTGCTGCATGGCTTGTTGCTGATGGATCGAGGGCTGACCCTTCTGGTTTGCCCAGTTGCAACGAATGGCGCGGGAGCCAAGCCACTCGCCATCCATGGAGCTCAGGGCCTTTTCAGCATCAGCACGCTCGCGGAAAGCAACAAACCCGTAGCCACGGGAACGGCCAGTCTTCATATCCCACATGACTCGAGCCTCAGAGATAGAACCGAAAGCAGAGAAGGCTTGCCAGAGAACCTCGTCGTTGACCTCGTTGGAAAGATCGCCAACAAAGATATGGAAGTGGTTTGAGGTATCCTCCTTGTTCGCGTTATTGGACTGGTAGGCCCAGTTAACGCGGATTTCCTAAAGAAATTTATCAGCACTGTGTCTCCGCGCACGCAGGGGCTAGGGCTGGGTGAACATACATTCTGATGGACCCGGCGGCCATTCAGGGTCTGCATGGCACGCTCAGCTGCGCCGGGGTCATCGTACTCAACGAAGCCATAGTTGTAACCGCGATGCTAGCCCAAGTTAGCGACTGTCGGTTCCACAACTCGACAAAGCAAGCGACCTACATTCTTGTCGGGAATAATCTTGACACTCTGGACGTGGCCAGTCGTCTCGAAGATCTGACGCAGGACGTCCTCCGTGACGCGGGGATCCAGGCCTCCGACATACAGCGCGCGCTTGTTAGGCTCAGGAGCTGCGCGACGGCCAGGGAAGTGTGGGGCATTGTTGGTGGGTGACATGATATTAGTCTTATTCTCATTGTTGCCGCCCATTGGAGAGGTGATGGCTGAAGGGATGGGATTAGTGTTCTGGGGGATATGGAGGGGAGGAGGAGGCAGATGTGCGGGGTTTGACGTCGTGTTCTGGCCATTTTCATAGCCAGGAGCGCCCGCGTTGGGCTGAGGAGGGGGAGGAAGCTGGCTCGTAGCCGTCGAAGGACCGTTCTCAGCCATGATGTCGATGAACTAGGTATGAACCGATCGAGAAAATAAGCGAACGAAGGCAGAAGATAACTGGCACGGGCCAGGGATTATGAAAGCAGCCTGCACAAGACCGGCTACTTTGAAGGGCAGGTGTGGTAGACAGCAAACCCTACTGTCGCTTTGCTGCCCGAGGGCTGTTCGTGTGCCCGAGTATGTTGTGGGAGGGAAGATTCCGACTAGGAGCCCGAAAATGGCTAACTTTTTAATCTTCGTCCGGGAGGAAAAGGACTTCGGACGGCAGGGCAGAACCGTCAAAATGGGGCAATTTGCAGGTCCAACGATATTATTGTGGATGACCTTCCCCAGATAGCCTCAACCAAATGGCTAGACTTGGGACGGCAGGACGATCTGAAACCGTGAGAGAGCTCCGCGACGTGAAACTGATCAGCGTGAGGCAAAAGAGTAAGACGGAACGGCAGCCCGATGGATGGAAATGCAGACTCCAAGCGAGACGAAATGGTTGATAGTTCAACGAAGAGGAGGAAGTAGTAAGTAGCCGCGGCGGGAACCGTGAGCTCAAGGGCTTCGGCGTAGCGCGTCAGGTCGAGGGGAGAAAAAGCGACGATTGAGGCGAAACACCGGCAAACCTAAGAGACACGGCAACCTGTGATAAGGGAGCTCGCGTGAAAACGTGAAGGGGAAACGTGAAGACCGATGGAAAACGACCAAACCCAAGAGGAAAAAAGGAAACCGGCCGATTGACGAGCACGCTCCCCCACAGAAATCACTCCTGCAGCAGCCGACCGAAAGGACGAGAGAGACGGGAGACTCGTCAGGGACTAAGCAAGGTGGAAAGGAAAAAAAAAATTATCTGGAGGAGGAGAGAGGGTCGGACGCAGCGTGACAACGGGAAGAGGGGAGAGGATTTCTGATGGTGCCACAGAGCTGGGATTGGCAGCGGCGAGGCATCACGCCGCAGCCATTCAAAGCATCGAACGGCTGCTCACGGACCCGATGGTGGTCCTAGCGGCAGCCCCTCACAGGCTGAGCCGTTCGCTGGGCTGGGGCGCTGGGCGGGCAGCGGACAGCGGGCAGGCTGGGACTGGGCCCTCAGTGGATGGGAACATCACGATGTGCCTCACTGGACAAGGACAGGGACGCTTGAAGCGTTGGGTTGCCGATGAGATGCTTACTGGAACCCCTGACTTGCAGATTACTAGCAGCTAGCCCTAGCATCTATCTACATCGTGATGTGCATTAAGCAAGAATAGTATCTGGAACAAGACATTTTGGACACATTCGCTATGCTGTCTTGGCTCTTCGGGGTTGGTGACCCACGAAGAATACAGATGGAGGACCGCCCTGAGCTCAGAACTGTGTGTGGTTCACCTCAACCGTTCGCCTCTCGTTGTAAGGACGGACCGCCCTCCACAGATACGCATCAGTGTTTGTCTGCTGCAGCTCGCTGGGGATGCACGATGAGACACAATCGCGGATTGGCTGGGCAGTCGGGTGTTGCGTTCCCGCAAGACGGGTACTCTGGATGGGACCACAGATTGCATGTTAGGGCCTGGACGTGGACTTCACATCGTCCCAGGCTCCCAGCCTCTCAAGGTCGGCCAGGACAAATGATAAAGATGGAATTCAAGATTCAGTTGCCGCCAGATCTGAGACAGCACATCGGCTGCAGACAACCTCGTCAAAATCTGAGTGCCCCCTTCATTCTGAAATGCCAGAGACAAACGCACAAGGCTGCTTTCTCCAAAGCAGGCGTCAATGACAGGCACAGACAAGAGTCGGCCCCACACAAGGGTCTGATTGATCCGACGTGCTCATTGGCTTGTGCTGCGGGGCTGCAGAGGCCCACTAAATAACTAAACTTGATTGGCCCACTGGCCACAAGGCCACTTACCTGACAGGGAAGCTGGAGTTCCGCTGCCGTTGTCGCGTGGGAGCGCTGGAGTGCTGGAATGCTCATGGCATTGGATGCACATCTGGAGACCAAACTCTTGTCTCCCGTCGACGCATCCGCATCGCGAGCCGCAACATCTCCACACAAACTTCAGATAGGAGACAACAAGCAATGGGTCGAGACCCTGCCAGATGCCAATTGGCTGAGTCACGAGGGAGACATGACACCAGCTTGATAGCAGTTTGATGCTGCCTGCTCTGGCTGCTGCTGCTTTTTTTTTTTCGAAAAGTTTATCTTGAATCTGCATCCCCAACGCGCCTTGAGGGAGTAATGCCCTCGTATCTGGATGTCTGGCGATGTGTGCAGCGGACTCACATTTCGGACAATAGACATCAACCCATTTTTCATGGTTTTCATGGGATTAAGTCTGCGCATTTCTCTATAAGAGCGGGCATCTCAGAGCTTTTTCAGCATAGCTGTTGTATCCTTTTCACTTTCACATTCACGTGGGCACACTGCTTCTGATCACTCACACATTCGAATCAGCAAACTTTCTACCTCCTCACACCGGGAAAGAGTCAATCAGTTTACTCCTCCTCACTTTCTGCAGTTTTGACATAGCCTATTACCATGGCGCCTCAAAAGCCCAATGCAGGGGCTCTTCTCAACCAGACGCTTGATGAAATGGTGAGTGGCCTCTTACTCTTCATGTTCAAACATTGCTGACCCGCCCAGGTCATCGCGATCGGGAAAGCCTTTCGCGATGCCAAACGGGACGGCACAGGAACCGGCACCGAGGCCGCTGCGGCTTTCGCCCAGCGTGTTCCAGATATTACCTATAAGTGGCATTCCATCTTGGATGACATCGAATGCGACATTGTAAGGTTGCCATCAGCTTCATTTCTAAGCTAAGCTAACCTCATAGCTAGCTCCGGGCCAAAGCTGTCCTCACTCGGGACCTCAACCAAGCAAGAGCTGCTCGTGCACCACCTGCTCCCGATCCTCGACCAGTAGCTCCACCAGCACCCATGGCCCTAGACATCGAGTCCCCTAAGATGGCCAAGAAACCCCCCGTCGGACCGCAGTCCCTCCAGACCCCTCTGCCCACACAAGGACAGGCGAAGCCTCTCACGAAGCCGGTTGCACCATTCCCAAACATGGGTGTCGAACCCACAGCCCCTGGGTCCCCCTCTCTTTTGAATGTGAAGCACATGCAAAAGCCTATGGCCAATCAGCCCACAAAGCCCATTGGCCGACCCGGCGCTCCCAATGCTGCCCCAGGCAGGCCGATGAGCGTGCCGCCTAATAACCCTCCCAATCAAGTGCCTCAGATCCAGCGCCCAGCCAGCGCCATCGCGGTGCCGCAGCACCCACAGACGCCGCAGATGAAGACGGTGGTACCGGCTGCTACAATGACTCCTCAGGGCCCGAAGCCGGCTGTTCCTGCGCCGAATATGGCGCCTACTGCCCCCCCTCCCGGCGGGAAGGCAGCCGGAAATCTATACGCGAATATGACGTTCTCCCCGGTCTCTCCAGCAAGTCCGGGGATGCAGAGGAAACAGGCCGCGGTGAGAGGTCAACTTACGCAGTTACAGCAACATCAGCTGCAACTACAACAGCAGCTTCAATATCAGCCACAACCTGCTCAGCAACCACAACCTCAACAAGTTCAGATCCCGCAGCAGCAACAGCAACCACAGCAAATACCTCAGCCTCAGCCTCAGCCGCAACCGCAGCCGATCCCCGCTGCAGATATGACCCCCGCTGCCATTCCTAACGGTTCAGCCCCCCAGGAAATACAAAATAACATTAATCATCCTCCCCCATCTAACGACGACCTCGAAACCAAAATCGATGGGCTGTTTGACCTCGGTCCGGGCAGTATGGACAACCTGAACTTGGAATATGACCTGAGCGGGGATGGAGACAACAATGAGGGGAGCAGCAATTTTAATGATATGTACTTTGGAAATGACACTGGAGGAGGTAGCGGTGGCAGTGAGGGGTTTGGGGATGGGGGCTGGTAAACTAGGTCGGGGAAGAGGATCTGGTTAGGCCAAGGAAACAGGGAAGATAATATGAGGGAGCGTGGAGGAGATGAATATTCGCCCGTAACATAGGCTTTGTATACGTCAGTGAGGTTTTGGTAGCTTTTTTTTGGGGGGGGGGGGCGATCACAGGAACATACCATTGGTAGTAGCGAGCATTTAGGCATCTTTTTTTTCCCCTCTTTTAGGGCCGACAGATAGATGGCATTAGTCAATAATAAATGGAATTTTACTTTGGCTTTCGCATCCCCATCAAACATGTCCATTTAGGCACTGTTGTTAACACCTAGTCTAACACATACTCTTGCCATCGCCAGTCACATCCTCCCCAAGTGTCGGGCTATTCAACCCAATACCCTCAGTTTTGAACCGGCACGTATCTGCTCTCCAACACAAAACATCACACTCCATCTCCTGCACCATTATTTCCCCCTTCCCGCGGCAACCTCTCCCTCTACCTGGCAACCTCCTTACAACCCTCCGGCCACATCCCCTCCAAATCCGCCCAACACCTCAACATTTCCCCATCACTTTGACAAAACTCTCCATCCTCACCCGCCTGACCTAAGCTCCCCTATCCCTGTAAACCCCATCTTTCCGCCACGATCCCGCTCCAAATACCTCTCTTTCAACACCCGATGCCACATCGGCGGATCCCTATATATTTCCCCAGATTTGAAGAGGAGTGAGCTGACGCGACGGGTGAACATATCGTAGGCGGTAATTTCGGGGATGGGGTTTGTGTTTGGATATGGTAATGGAAGTTGGCGCGGGTTCAGTTTGGGATGCCAAGTCGTGGGCGTTGAGGGAGAAGTAGATGTGCCAGTGGAAGAGGAGGCCGAACAAAGTGGTTGAGAGAAAGAAGAGCTGATTGTAGATTGGAACGGAAAGTGGTGATGGTAATACGTTGAGGTATTTGGAATAGGTAATATCAGAAAGACACGTCAAAGTCGCAGGCAATCTTGAGTTCGGCTGATCAAAACAATGATGGTAACTATAAGCCATCAAGTCAAATTTAGCCCAAGCATTATTACATAGATGGATAATTATAGCAAGTATCTAACTTGAGAATATCAAGGTAGGCCGGATAGGGTATGGTTTATATTGGTGCAGGACCTTGACCTGAAAAAGTCACATCTCCCATCAATGAAACCTATCATAGTCTGCCCTTCTCATCCCCGTCACTTTCTTATCCTGTCCCTCCTCCTCAACACCCAACACTCTTGCCCTCCGTCTCTCCCCTCTCAATCCACTCCTCCACAACACGTTTCATAGCATCCACCACCAACGCTCCGTTCACAACAGCCCCTACCACAACCACGCCCATAGCTGCGGCGAATAAGTCTCTTGCTTGAGGTCCAATTTCGACGATCAAGCCCAGTCCCGAGCCAGGTCTTAATCCTGTGATTGGGGGCAAAGATTCTGGCGACGAGGAGACAGTCTTATCTGCGATTAACCTCCTTGCGACCCCCGCGCCATGACTGCCATCTTGACACCAGATCTGTAGACGACGTAAAGAACGACGCTCGTTGCGGCATTCCGCACACCTAGCATTCTTCCCCCAACTAAAGCAACCACATAACTCCCTATCCCCTCAACCGCTTGATCCCTCCTCCTCTGGGCCCTGGACGCCCCCGACACCCCTCCCTCGCTCCCTGCAGTCCTAGTCCCAACCCCAGATAGATCACAGCAACTGAAGATAGAAAACCGCCCCCGTGTAGTAATAGCACCAAAAAAGGCCAAACCAGGAATTGAGGGCAGTGAGATGGCTGATTGTAGGGTTAATGCGAGGGAGGTAAGTGCAAAGTTGGGGGGTGCCCAAGGCGAGGGCTAACAGGACAGGGGTTGGGCGGTTTGGGAATGTTGAAGCGCAAGTTATATTTTGATTGAGCGAACCCGTTTGTTTGAGGGGGTTGGAGAGAAGGAAGGGCTTGTAGTGGAGGTGACGGCGTGAGGCAGATGCCTGTTATTTACAAGGGTTAGTATGAGAGCATGATCGGGTGTTGTCAGAAGGAGGAAGGACGACGAAAAGAGAGTCCATATTCGGCTTGCAGGCAAGCATGCAGGCGAGCATGCAGCTTACCCCAGAAACCAAATCTGAAATCTAGCTTGACATCTACATCACCGATGTTGACAAGCTCGTTTGATCATGCCGTTACAGGGGCTATGCTGGCGAGGGAAAGACGCTCAACTTCTGGATATAATGAATATCATTCTCACATGGCGACGAGGTGTTGTCCTATCTCGAGCCTTCTATACCACCCACCACTGGACAAATGATCATATCCAAGAGCGACATACCTAAGTATATAATACATCTGACTTGCCTAGTCCAATTATCTATCGCGCTACCCACGGACCGGATCGTCAAGCTCCTGGCGTCCGGTGTCAACGGTTAGCCACGCCGCTATCCGCTAACACAAGGACAATGTCACATCTTTGTCGATCCCCGTCTCGCAGCTCGCAATCAAGCTTATCATTGTTTTACACTACAACATATGTAAGCAAGCTCGAATGGTTAACCTAACATAGTTCCAATCTAGCGGCACGAGCCGTTTCAGGGTCAGCTGAGTGCATGGGATGGGCGGGTGGGTTGAAACGGGAACGAAAGCTTACCACCAAGGATGTGGTTAGAGAGCCGTGCTCAACCGATCGTAACGAACAAACCCGTTGGCCGCCTAAGCCGCGATCTTCCCCTTAAATCTGCTTCTGTTTATGGCCGATCATAGACAGCCGTGAACGCGCCATATCACTTGTCAATCCTTCCGTCAAACAAAAACCCCCACTCTCCACTTTCAACCCTCTCCCTCTCCCTCCTCCACGCAGCCCAAATCAAATTCTTTCCCTCCCTCACGACCCTACTCACCTTTTCCTTAGTACTCTCCCACCCCGCAGCAGCTCGACTGCCCCAAACGACAAAATGAACGCCACAGTGCAGTGCCGCGCGATAGATGAACCCCTCATCGACTTGGGAAAACCCGTAGCCAGACACTAGGCCCTCAGCAAGCCATCTGCCTTCAGGGATGTCCTCGAAGAGAGTTAGCTCGTACATCTCGGCGAGCATTTGGCCTAAGTCGGTGGCAGGGTTCCCCAGGCGGACAGATTCCCAGTCTACGAGGAAGACTGGTGTTGAGAGGTTTGATGCGATGGGTTGGTCGGGAAGGAGAATACTAGATCAATAGCGGTCAGCATTCTCTCTCTCCTTTACGCACACACACACACACACACACACACAAAAAAGCAAGATCAAGGAAAAGAAGAAAACAACTTACTTCCCCGTCCAGAAATCCCCATGCACGACCTTCTCTGCTTGTTCCATCTCCCTCTCCGCAAAAGCTCTCACCTCATTCAACACCTCTTGCACTTCATCCCCCTCAAAAATATCCCGAAACTCCCCTACCACCTGCCCCAGCGATCCATACGTCGTCTCCAACACCAACCTCGCCATCTTCCCAGACAACCGTCCCACCATCTCCTTCAACTTAACAGCTTCCTCTTCCTCGGGGCGGTTGGCCCAGGCATGAAAAGCTCTTAGCCAAGAGCCTAGGGCACGGCCTAGCTCGTGGGCGAGGTTTTTCCGTGCGAGGAGAGCATCGTCAAGGTGTGCAGAGAAGGGTGAGAAGTTAGGAGCAGGGAGGAAGTGTTTAAAGGCGAAGTGCTTTAGGGAGATCGCTGTAGGTAGGTAAGACTGGACTTGGATGCGGTTTGTAGGAGAGAAGTGGTGGAGCTTGGGGGTGAGGATCTGGAAGGGGGATGGTGAAGTTATTGTTGGGGAGAAAGATGGAGGGAGGGAGGAAAGCATCTTCGCCTCGATGTCCTTTCCAGACACGCACAGAGATTAGCCACTCCTCACAAACTCATCTAGTCCAACCAGGGCCAAATCCCCCCTCTCTGTATCGACATGCTAAAGGGGCATACCGATCTCTCAATAGGCAACTCTAGCCCAGGATAGCCAGGAGGGCTACTTGCGCCATGCTTGACGGCTACCTCTGTCGTACCGTCTGGAAGGGGATTGCGAAGCTGGCCACGGAAAACATGGTTTGTGATGCCGCCTGAGAGGGGGGTCAGGGAAGTGCAAGCAAATGGGGTTTCGCTGAGGGCCGAGAAGATTGAGTTTGCTACCGCAGCCGAGTTGGAGTTTTGTTCTGTTCTCATGTCTAGAAGGGGATGTTGGTCGAGTACTCAGGGTTGTCGTTCACTTTGCAGGAGATTGATCGTCGCTATGATCACGGGTGATAGTTTTAGTTTTCTGGTAGCCGCTACGGGCAGTTCGCTGGTTCTCAAAGTTTTATGTTCGATTGAAGGGCATTTCTCCGTATCTCTTTCTTCCACTTTGGATGGAACTCTAGCTCTATTGTACAACCTAAGAAACACCACCGCTAGCTGTATATCGACGCTGGTCCGCTAGCCGAAGCCCCCGATGACTCCTCGCCGGAGACGGTCAACGTTCAAAGCCCAGACCCCACTTATTATTTTCTGAATGGAGTTGTGCTCCGGACTGCGGCGTTGTAAGAAACAGCAGAGACGACCTGCATATACAAGAGGAATAGGTAGGTGCTCTCAGTGTAGGCCACACATAATCACAGGTGTTGCCGTGGTCACTTGACCACTCCCGAAGCTGCTCTTGGCATATTCGGCTCGTGTGAGGACTCGGATAGAGTTGAATGGCGTCGCTCGGGACATCACCCATTTGAGAGCAGATGAAGAGGTCCATCATCCGTTGGCGAGGTGGGGACACAATTCCCGATGGGGATCCACGGGTGTAATGGTAATTTTTCGCTGGTTGACAATCTGCGTCAGTACAGACGGAGCAAATTTGAATGCTTTATTCTCTGGCTGCTAATTCTACACAAGAGAATTTTTCAACTAACAATAACAAGTGAATGAAACAAAGAGAATTCATTCAGAGAACTGCTCGACTGAAGTTCATCATCGCCGTTAAGCTTGATCCTCTGCTGTAGGTCAACGGCGAATGGCTTCCCCATCTTCACACAGTGCGTAATGTTACATCCCCCAGTTGGGGATTCGTCTTGGCGCAAAGCCAAGGCCGGCTAATTCGGGCGCCATCTCGCAACCCCTGCGCGACCCCATTGATCTGGGCCTTGAAACAGGGACAGCAAGGACGGCCAGTCTGGTGAGACGTGTGAGATTCCGTCGCTGCCGTGGTCTGCTGCAGAGCGAACATGTCGAACCGCCATGGACTCATTGGTGCTGGTTTTTGGACTGGCATTCCCCCAACAAATCTGCATCGACTTAACTCCGTCGAATCTCGACGCGCATCGGGCATTGAGCGCTGATCGCAAACAGCCACTCATCAGTCAGCCCTGCGTGGCCTTCCAATCGGTAGCCTGCACATCACTGGCTGCCAGCGCCCGCTGATTCATGCCGTTGACCAATGGAACATTGAGGTCTGGCCAGTGACGAATCTCTGTCCACTCACGCAGCCAGCAGCACGAGACTTGGCCGCGCGCATCTCAACTGCTCCCTCCTCTCCCTCACGTCCTTTTTCCCATACATTTCTTCTGCTTTTCCCGAGGCTTTGTTGTTTTGGCCGCCCAGCTACTTCGGAGCACTTGCCTTACTCACAGATTTCCAATAGCGCAGCAGAAAGGTTAAAAGAGTCTTTTCTGTTTGTGGCTGGCCAATTATTATTGCTCTTTAATTCGGGGCCCCGCCGCCCTTGAAATTGTGGCACGAGGAGCCTGATCCTCCTCCACTTTCCCAGTCTGACTGCGAGGCCGACTTACACGATCCCGATCCCACTGCTCTGGATTTTCCAGCGCAACACTCGCAGAAAAATTAAAAAATTAACTGCTCTCCTGCAAACACCTGCGCTGTCTATGGACTGAATTTCGAAAAAAAAATATACTTCAGAAGGAAAAGATCGAAGTGCAGCGACACTAACGCGCGCGCACTGTTGTCGCATCCATGCGCATGAGCCAGCACCAGAACGACCACTTGCATCGATCGCGACCCCTCGCTAACCCCGTATCGTGAGCTTGCTTCGCCTGCCGACCTTCCCGTTGCTTTTTAACCTGTCTATGGCCTTAATAGCGATTTGATTTCGATCTTCTCCGACGACGTCGCTCTTTTTTAATACTCGTTCTTTGACTATTACTCCGCATTAATCACGATGGTTATGTCCGATGCACAAACGCACTCGCGGACACCGTCCAGCTCCGGCGTCCAGCCCAACTTAGACACCTCCCAACCTCCGGCGACATCATCAACGACCCGCAAGACCCCCATCTCTGTCTCTCCCTCGGGCTGCTTTGCAACCGACCGCATCCTCAAATCTGGATACGTCCACAAACGTACTCAAAAGACCAAGACCTGGCGCACCATCTACATCGTGCTGCGGCCAACCACCCTCTCGATCTACAAGTCCGACAAGGAGGAAAAGCTCCGTCGCAAGATCGACCTCGCCGACCTGACTGCCGTCACCCTCCTCAAAGACCCCAAGGGCAAGCGTCAACACCTGTTTGGGCTGTTCAGCTTGTCGAAAAATTACTACCTGCAGGCGCCAACAGAAAAGGATGCGGCCGAGTGGGTGGAGCTGATAAGGAGTGAGGCGAGGATCGATGAAGAGGAAGAGGAACTATTCTTGGCTAGTCCGCCGGTACGGCAGGGGTCGTTTTTGCAGGCTGGGAACTTCGCGAGTGGCAGTTTGAGTGCCACGGAGGGCCGCAGCCCGGTCGCAAGGGCTGTGCCTGACCGTTGGGTGTCCAGCTCGCCCGAGCCGATGGAATTGCCCTCACGGACCAGCTTGAAACCGCCTTCTGCAGGCCGGCGAATGTCGCAAATTGATTCCTCTGGCCTCTCCGGCGCCGAGTTCGCAACACACTCCGATTTCTCCGACTGGGAACCCACCCGTCCCGGCATAAAGGGCACATCCTTTGAGTCTCTCGGCGCTCTTCACCCCGTTCCCGAAGGTGAAGGCCCTGATGCTGTTCCCGCCGACCCGAAACGCTCCTCAACCGGCCCTCACCCCGACCCCTCCGAAGCAGACCGTGTCATCTGGCAAGGTTACATGTACCTCCTACGCACCCCCGCCCCGGGCGTAAAGCAGTGGAAAAAGGCCTGGGCAGTCCTCCGGCCCCGAAACCTCATCCTATACAAAGATAGTGCCGAATCGTCGGTGCTGTTCGTGCTGTACATGGGCGCGATTGTGAACGTGGTTGAGACGGATCCGCTGAGCAAGAAGAAGAGGCATTGTCTGCAAATTATCACAGACGAGAAGAACTACAGGTTTTGTTGTAGGGACGAGGAAGAGTTGGTGCAGTGTCTGGGAGGGTTCAAGAGCTTGTTGGCGAAAAGGAGGGAGATTGAGAAGGGGAGGGCGGCTGCCGCTCAAGCAGGGGGTTCTGGGAATGGGAGTGGAAGGAGTTCGGCGGGGGGTGAAAATTCTCGAGGAGGGAGACAAGGGACCGGAGGGGGAGGAGGGTTGATGAATGTTGCGACGGCGATTGTCATGGCTAATGCGGCTGCCACTGCTACGGGCGCAGCGTCGGCTATAACGGTTGGGGAGGGAAAGTCGGGTGGTGAATGGAGCAGCGGAGGATTGGCTTCATCTTCGAGTTCGTAATTTGGGGTTCTGACTACGCTTGGATTCATTTTCGTCGATTAGAGATACCCTTGGCTTTTTGCTTTTGAGTAGCGACTTTTTAGTCTAGGTTTTATCGTATTCAGTTCTGGTTTGTAATCGGTGGTCTTGAGTACTTCCAAGCTTTGAGAGCTCAGCTGGCCTTGAATTTTTTTTTTGTTTTTGGGATTGAAACAAGAGCAGGCTTTTGTAATAAATTTCTAATGAGAGGAATGATGGTGATGGTGGTAATGAGATGGGGTGTCGATGATGGGAGTGTGAGTTATGAGGGTTGGCTTTGTGACTGGGCATGCTCTTGGACCTATGGTCTATGGTGTATGGCTAGCATCATTATCAATGATAATGGAGTGTCAGAGCGAGTATTTGAGGGTTTGTGTTTAAGTCTTAATCTAGTATTCATGTTCTTAGGAATGACAAAAGGGGCGAGCGAGCGATGGTGAGGTTGGCAGGGGCCTGGGGGACTGTTCAAAGTGGGTCATATGATGGCGGGGGAGGGGCTCACTCTTCGAAAAAGCATTCATCCCATCTCATCTCACACCTTGTTGGCCGGACTCGAGATCATCTTTCATCCTTACTGCCACAACCCGACTCAAGTCCTCGATCAGCATCAAAAATATAAACTAAAATCAACCCGGCTTTGAAGTCCAGAAATCACATTCTCCTAAAGCCCTCACCACAATGGCAGCACCACCTCCTTCAACAGACGCTACTTCCTCCTCTCCCAAGCCCTGCGCAAAGTGCAAATCCAGCCCATCCACCCTTGAATCCCGTTCCAAACCAGTTTGCCAGTCCGTTTTACCATCCATTAAGCCACTCACCATCATATCACTGACAATTCGGATAGGGACTGCTTCCAAAAATTCATATCTAATAAACTCATCCGCCATATCACTCTCCTTGGCAAGCAGATCCCTCCCTACCCAACGCGGCGCTATGCCCTGGGGCTCTCATTTGGGGTGTCTTCGTCGGTATTATTGAGCTTGCTGGCAGAGAATGTGGAGCATAACATAAGGCAGGGGAGGAAACTGCCATTTGAGCTAGTTGTGGTGCATGTTGCTCAATCGCTGCCCGGAGAGAAGGCGGAGGAAACTGAGAAGGCTGTTGAAGAGATTCTACAGTCTTATAGGGAGAAGTATCCCAGGTTTGAGTTTATCATATCTCATATCACGCTTCCATCTCCCAACGGCGAGGAGACGAGTAGCATAAACTTCGCGACCCTCTCCCCCGCGTCGAGAGAGGATCTACTCAGGATCCTTACCCGCCAGGCACTGATTCGTGCTGCGAAGGAAAAGGAGTGCAGGGTGCTCCTCGTTGGACATAGCACGACCGCGATTGCGGAGATGACACTCGCCGAGGCGGCGAAGGGACGGGGGAGGGGAGTGAGTTGGTTGGTACGGGATGGGGAGGCTTATGAGGAGGGGGATGAAGAGGAGGAAGGGGAGAGTCAACCCGACGGTGACGGCACGAAGAGGACAGTGACGAAGAAGAAACTCCTAATCCACCACCCTCTCCGCGAAACCCTCCGCCACGAGCTTTCAACCTACGCACGACTCTTTTCTGTCCATGTTGGGGACCGGTCCTTCATACCAATTGACCCTTCAAAGTCACAAACCAAACAGCCAGCCGTCGTCTCACACCGCTCTCTTTCAATCGAAGACGTCATGACGCGGTACTTTGCAGATGTTGAGTTACAGTACCCGAGTATCGTAGCCAATGTTGCGAGGACAACAGGGAAGTTGCTTCGTGCGGGAGAAGAGTCGTTCACACCTGCAGCTACAACACAGTCACAAAGTGATGGGAAGGGTAAGAGTCTAGAGAAGTGCAGGATATGCAGGATGGTGTTGGATGAGGAGGGAGATGAGAGGTGGAATGGGGAGGTAGGAAGTATAGAGGGGGAGGATGGGGTAGGGAGGAAGGGGTTGTGTTATGGCTGTAGGAGTGCCCTGTTGGGATAGAGAAGGATTTGGATCATAGAGCTTAATGAAAACCAACAAGGAAAAGGGAGCTCACACGAAAGAGGGTCATATCTCTTATCACCTCCTAAAGGCAGTCGAGAGGTTAGACATCATTACACCACCATCTGCACAAGACCGCTGAGTCAGCTCCTGCCTCGGGCCTTTCCCCCCGTCGCTCCTTTCCTCGACCCTCAGGTAGTTGCTCCTTCCTTACCTGCCCTGCCCCCCCCACTGACCACCGAACGCGTCCCTTTCCCACTCCGCCCCCCTCCCCCCCCCCCCCAAAAAAAACCCATGTCTGTCCTCCGTCTCCCGATCCCCCCGATCGCCGACCCTGCCCGCTGCACCGTCGACTCCAAAGTAAAACCCTTAGTGGGGTTTTCGTAGCCGGTCGCCCTCCCGCTTAAGGGTGGTGGGCTGGCTGGTGAGCTTTTCAAAAGCTATTTACATTTGATATTTGGAAATTATCATTAGCCTTAGAATCTTTTGTTGTTCACATCACCCATCGTCGATAACACTAGGATACCTTCAGGAGTGTAGTAGTCTTTTCCCTCCTGAGAGGACTCAGCTAAAGTTTGAGGCTGCCCTGCCCCTAATGAGGACGACGAGGCTGGTGTATACCTCAGGGGCAATCTTATCTCACACATACCCCTACTATGTCTCGTAGGAGAGTCTCTTACTTTGAAAGCGATCTCTCTTTCCATCCATGGATCGAACCCTCCAAGGTTATGATTCTTGACAAACTTCGAGTCATAAAACAATACAATAAATCGGCACAAGCAACTCTCGGTTAAAAGCTCCGCGAGAATAGATTGGTATAATACGGCAACGCAGCGCAGCGCAACATAGATACACCGAAGAAAAAAACAAGTAAACCAAGAGGGAAAAGATGGTCCTCACGCAACCAACCCCAAATATGCACACCCGACACCAGTCAACCGCCAGCCCTACCTATCTCCCTTCTAACGGTAGTAGGTTTAAATACCCAAACAACGCCGAAAATGCCACCCGTTTTCACCAGTCACCCTGGTAAGGTCATCAAAGATGAAACTTTTCTTTCGCTTGCTTCCTCTTTTTTTTTTTGAACTCGCCTTTTTACCCCTCTTATATTTTGATTGAATTTTGACGTGGACAAGCTTACATTGCTTGTCTCGCCTCGACGGCAAAAAAGCGCTCCTCAACCTTACGCACCAGCTTGTTGGTCTGCTCGGCAAAGGTGAGGGTCAAGACGGTATGCGGCAGGATGCGGGCCAGGTGCGGCAGGAAGCCCTTGTAAATGGCAAAGAAGCCCTCGGTGCGGATGGTCTTGGCCAGGCAGTCGAAAATGCCCTGGTACAGGTTGCCGTTTTGGTTGTACAAGCGGGACATGATGGTGTCTAGGCAATGTTAGCTTCGTTCTGAAGGAGGAAAGAGTTGTGTGTGTGAGAGAGAGAGAGACATACCCGGTGGATGCATCACACAACACACGACAAAGCCACTGGCCGTGCTACTTGCCAGATGGAGCGATGGGCCCTCCTCCATACCCAGATGCCGCATCAGCCGGCGCTTCGCAAAGAAATACGTCGGCAGCTGCACCGAAGACCCAAAGCCCGTCCGGATCATGGCGGCCCCCACACCCCTCCACAGCCCTACCACACCGTCACTCTTATAAATCTGGCTCAACCCATCCACCGCGTTCCGATACCGATGCTGTGTGCCCACGGGCAAAAAAGGGCTGAAACTCTGCAGTCTGGTCTTAACCAAGAAAAACGGACTCCCCACCGCCGCACCAATGACGCCCGACGCCGCACCGCTGAACAGATTCACCCCCAAGTTTTGCACCGACGTATCCTGGAAAAACAGTTGCGCCAGCGTCGTGCGCATGGGCTCGTAAAACCCCAGGCGGCACCCGTTCAGCAGGACCTGGTAGACGTAGGCGGTGCCGATGCCGCGGTAGATGCCGCGCAGGCCTTCGTTGCGGACGATGACGGACACGCCGTGGAGCGGGCCGCGGTAGTGGTGCGGCTGGGCGCCTTTGGTTTGGAGCTCGCCTTGGAGCTGCATGCGGATTTTGACCGTCTCGAAGGGGTGAGTGGCCGTTACAGCGCCGCATGCGGCGATGCCGCCGGCGATGAAGGCACTATTCCTTCCCGTCAGTGGAAGTTCTCGGATAGAGAGGGGTAGAGAAGGGGGAGAGGGGTTGCTGGGAGCTTACCCAGTTGTTGTCGACATTATGTACGCGGTTGAGGCCTGCTAGAGAGGAAATGGTGAAGAGGTGCTGGCGGTGCCGGAAATCGGCGCAAAAAGAGCGTGTACGCCCAAGTCTGACTCGGTGTTATTGGCGTGGAGGGAGTGCTGAGCCAGACTGGACTTGCGCAAGAGAGAAGAGAAATGAGAAACTTGGAAAAAAAAAAGAGAAAACACAAGAGCAAGATTGCGGAGAGAAAATGGGTGATGCAGTACAACAACTGGATGGTGCAATGTAAAGTACGTAGGTATGTGATTGTGGGAGTGAGCAAGACCGCTTATATCCGATTTATCGCGTCCAAATCATCAACCATCTGCCAGGTGAATGGGAATCGGCCCCCCGGTCGGTCGGTACCCGACCCTTGTTCCTCTGTTGTGCGAACCTTTGCCTCAACAAATCTGCACGCTGTCAATGGTCAATTGGCCTGGTCCAACGCCCCGATGCGGAGCGTCCCTCCAGTCCCCCGTGGCAGAAACCGTTCTTCACCCCGCCGTCCAAGTGCCTCGCTGACTCGGCTGCGGGTGTCGCTGCCACCAGTTCCCTTGTCGGTGCCTGTCGGCCCCTGCTCGGTCCCTGGTTGCCGCGAGGTGCTCTGTAAATGGAAGTGGAGTGGACACTTTGCAGTGAGTGAGTGTGTGCAAGTGTGCGCTGGCACTGACCACCGGGAACACAGCGGAGCGGAGTCGGAGCCGGAACTCCCGCCCACAGTGCTCCAAATGGTTGGAACAGCCTGGAACTCCTCCACATTCACAGAGTCACAGCGCTCGGGAGAGGCGGCGGGGCGGGAAGGACGGTCTGGGGCAAAAGGCTGGGCAAGGCCAGATTGCCACCGACATCCGGTGCGTGGCAGTCTTGGCTCGTGGCGGCAGAACGACATTCAGCCACAAGTATGGCTGGTGGGGTGGTGGGCTGGCTTGTGAGCTCCGGCTATCGGTGGTGACAGACCTTGGCTTTTTTTTTTTTTCGAGAAGAGCCGTGTTTTTGTGATGCTTGGCTGTGGAGACAGGGAATCCTTGCGCGATGGATTTTTCGAGCCTGAGGTTTGGCTCTGCTGCTGCTGCCCCGCAATTGCAGACGCGTCGTTGGCGTGCGCAGCAGTTGAAGCATTGAGGTGTTGATCGTGCCCTGTCTGCACCTTGATGACCGACCCTCTGCTCTGCTCTGCCTGCTACCTTTCCAACTTTCAACCCCAACGCCGAGACCCTCATTCATGCTTGATCTTCTCCGCCGCTTCAGCCGCGCCGAGAGCTCTCCAAGCGCATAACACTCACTTGGATGTTGCCATCGAGCCGCACGCATTCCTTAGTGCGCTGCTTTAAGCATAGTTCAATATGGCCAGCTTGTCGACAATCATGGACCTCGATGACACGTACTCTGCGGCGAACAACCCGCGCGCCCCCGGTTCTGTGATGCCTACCATGCGTCTCGCTGACGTTCTGCCAGCTTTCCGGCCGACCAAGGTGCGTGCGCTGTCCTGAGCTTGATTTATATCAACCGACCGACTTGCGCTAACTGGTCCAGCTCTTTCGCCGTGACGACATCAAGGAGGGCAAACCGCAACCCCACATCCTGTCGATCGACTTTGACGACCCTGGCGAGCTCTGCATGACTTCGGAGAGCGATGAAACGATTCAGATCTACAATGTAAAGGACGGCCGGTTCGACAAGAGTCTGCTCAGTCGCAAGTACGGTGTCAAGCTGGCCAAGTTTACCCATACCAGCTCCAGCATTATCTATGCTAGTACCAAGCAGAATGGTATCATTCCTACCTTTCTTCCTCAAGAGAGACCAAAAGTCGCTAACTTCTCCAGACGCTATCCGCTACCTCGCGACCCACGACAACTCGTTCATCCGCTACTTTGAAGGCCACGAAGCCGCCGTCACCTGCCTCGCGATGCACCCGGGCTCCGACAACTTCATCTCCTGCTCCCTCGACAACACTGCCCGACTGTGGAACCTCAACACCCGTAACTGGACTGGCAAACTGCACATCAACACCCCGTTCCTTTCCGCATGGGACCCCTCCGGCAACGTCTTCGCCATCGGCTCCCCACACAGCGCCATCATCCTCCTCTACGACCACCGCTCTTACGAGCGCGGCCACTTCTCCCGTTTCGACGTGCTGGAAGCCGTCAACAATCGGGGTAACCCCGCGCCAATCGAGGACGTCTTCTCCAACTGGACAAAGCTCGAATTCTCCAACGACGGGAAGCACCTCCTGCTCGGCTCCAAGGGCGACGGCCATTTTTTGCTCGACGCCTTTGATGGCTCGCTGAAAGCCTACCTCAAGAAGCCTGCCTCAGGCCAGGTTACCCGCCGTGTCGCGCCTGGCGAGAGCCCCACCGAAGGTTCCAACGGCATCGAGTCCTCTGGCGAGGTCTGCTTCACCCCGGACGGGCGGTTCGTCCTCTCCGGCGGGCGGCAGGACCTGGTCGCGTGGGACGTGATGGCTGCTAACATCGGCGTCGCGCAGAGTAGTGTCGGGAAAGGGATTGCGGAGCCGACATTTGTGCTGGAAGAGAAGCGGGAGACGGCCGTCGTGGCGTTCAATCCCCGTTATAATATGTTGGCCACGGCGGATCAGGAGCTGGTCTTTTGGGTGCCAGACCCTCATGCTTAGAAGGCGTGGAGGGGGGGTTATGATATGGATTTTTGGAGGGAGCTGTCAGGAGGGAATGGTATGAAATGGGTTGATACCACGGTTTGGGCAAGGGATTAGGTTGGTAGGCGGCGTTAACCTGGCGTTTCTGGTCTGGTTCTGCGCTTCTGGGAGGATCTGCCTCGGTGCATCGTCGTATCATCGTTTGATCTGGTTTCTGGTGGTTATTTCCATGCATGGGATGGAAGCTGGATTTTGAGGCATCGGTCGTTTGTGCCTTGCACTTGCACACACTGCATTTGACCTATGTAGATGGAATGAGATGATGAATTGACCTCATCATCACCTTTCTTCTGGTGTCAATACTTTTTAAGACTGTGACCTTGTGAGAAGCTGAGCCTCATATCTAGCCAAGTCGACATGGGGATCTCTCCCCGCGTTGGCGCCTCACGGAGCCCCACTGCCAAGCCAAGACAGCGACCTCACCGCAGCGCTGATCTTTTGAGCTTCAACGCATGGTCTGCAAGTCAGCGTCGCCAGCTCCTTGGGCCTTGACTAATTTTTGGCGACGCACTGTGACGCCGGCCCCATTGGATTTTTTTTTTTTTTTTTTTTACTTTTAGCAACGATCATCTGGATCGCTCCATTTGGAAGGGGACTAGGACAGTTCCTAGCGGAAAGACTCCTGTTCTCTCGGACTATTTATCGACCTCCTCAGGTTGATTTTGGGTTGACGTCCTGCGACTCCTTGCTCTCGCAACCTGTCTCTAACCTCGAATACATCCAATACCTGTCACGAAACTAGTCTCCCCTCCAACCGCAACAATGCCAACCTACGAAAAATCCGAAGACTGGCTTTACCAGTCAGCGTTGCTCCTCCAAGCACGCCCGACAACCGTACGTCCTGCTCTCACCCACCTCCCCCCAATACCCCTTCAACCCCAAACTAACGTAAACCAAACAACCAGACGCGCATAACAACTCGCTACTCCCTCACCCCCGCCCGCCGCATCCCCAAGAAGAAATTTACAGATGCTACCCAACAAGAACAAGAACAACAAGAACAACAACAACAACAACAACAACAACAACAACAACAACCACTACCCGAACAACAGAAACCCCCCCGCGGCCACCTAATCCTCAAAACCTACGACCCCGTCTCGGGCACAGTCCTCAAATATAAAACATCCAAAGCGGCCGAAGTTGGTAGACTCATCCAAATGCTGGGTTCATTGGCTAAGAGGATGGGGGGCGTCGACTTGTCGACTCCCGTCCGCGCAACTACCACTACCGCATCCACTGCTGCAGGGGCAGGGGCAGGGGCAGCAGCAGGGGAGACAAAGAAAGATGGGGATGGGGATGCTGTTATGACGGATGTGAAGGTTGAAGAGGGAGCGGCAGGGGAAGGGGGAGTGGTGAGCGGGCGGAGTGGGACGCAGACGCCCGTGCCGGGGCAGGAGGGGGGGAAACAAGGCGGGAAGGGGAGGAAGAAGAAGGGGCGGAGGTAGAGGGTCTTAACTCAAGGTTTACGGAGAGGGGAGAGGGTAAGGCGAATGAGAATTCATTTGCAGGAAGGTTGGGGATAACAGAAGGGTAATCGTGGAAGAATGGAGTGAGAAGACAGCAAATAAAAGAAGCTACACGCATTTTCCAAAGGTTATTTTGGGAGCAGGGAAGTTCCGGGTAAACTTGATATTGAGATGCTGACACCGTCAAGGCATCAAACATGGCTTGAGGTAGAGGGAGAGAGGGAAAGAATAAGAATAGAATATGAGCAATTGAAGGCTGAGGGCGAAGTTGGTGATTTGCCTATCCAATGTGGACATGTACTGATGATGCTCAAAAGCTGGAACCACGTACAAGGGAGGAAGAGGTAACTTAACGTGACATCTACCCAAGGGTGTTATAGTCCATGGCATGAGCGAGTGAGGTAGGCATATGTTATGAGGAACAAAGTGTTGGGTGTCTGCTGCCATGTATTTCGAGAGCATCATGAACCGTTGGAATCAAAGCTAAGACATAGCGGAGTCTGACGACAGTTGCGCCCCAGCAGACCGGACAACATATCACGACCAACAGACACAATATTTCCTGACTTATCGATTCCCTATACAATCGTACTCTACACATGGCATGGGTAAACATAAGTACACAAAAACCCCCTCCTCATCCATCATAGCTCCCTTCATTACCTTATCCATCGTGGAAATCCAGTGAAAAACCATCGCTCATGAAGAACTCCGCCAACGCCAGTAACTCACGATTACAAGACAGAGAAAATTGAGAAAGCTGGCCCCCCCCCCAAAGGTTTATGTATGTCCAATAGGGACAATTTATGTATGGACACTATCCAACGCCAAGCGTTGGCAGTGGGGAAACAGCGGGGTATTGTGGACGACAATGAAAAGCAAGCGTAGAGATGATGTGAGAGACGAGAGGGAAAAAAGCTCAGAAATCCTCGTCAAAGCTAATCCCGTTCTCATTGTCGCTGCTGCTCTTGAATGGATCAGCAGCCGCAGACTCATCTTTCTGCACGAGCTTTTTGGTGCTGGCCATGACACCAGCCTTCTGGTAGTCGCCGACACGCTTCTCAAAGAAGTTGGTCTTGCCACCAAGGGAAATGTTCTCCATGAAGTCGAACGGGTTGGTCACGCGGTAGACCTTCTCATTGCCGAGGGCGACGAGCAGGCGATCGGCGACGAACTCAATGTACTGCTTCATGAGGGTGGCGTTCATGCCGAGCAGGGCGCAGGGCAGCGCCTCAGTCAAGAACTCTTGCTCGATCTTGACCGCGTCGACAATGATATCCTGGATGACCTGCTTGGGCGGACGGTGCTTGAGGTGCGAGTAGAGCAGGCAGGCGAAGTCGGTGTGCAGACCCTCGTCGCGCGAGATGAGCTCGTTGCTGAAGGTTAGGCCGGGCATGAGACCACGCTTCTTGAGCCAGAAGATGGAGGCGAAGGCGCCGCTGAAGAAGATGCCCTCGACGGCGGCGAAAGCGACGAGGCGCTGGGCGAAGGTGCTCTTCTTGTCGGCGATCCAGCGCAGGGCCCACTCGGCCTTCTTCTTGATGCAAGGGATGGTTTCGATGGCGTTGAACAGGTGCTGGCGCTGGGCGGGCTCCTTGATGTAGGTGTCGATCAGCAGCGAGTAGGTCTCGCTGTGGATGTTCTCCATCATGATCTGGAAGCCGTAGAAGCAGCGAGCCTCTGGGATCTGCACCTCGCCGCTGAAGCGCTCGACCAGGTTCTCGTTGACGATGCCGTCAGAGGCGGCGAAGAAGGCCAGGATGTGCGAGATGAAGTAGCGCTCGTCATCGTTGAGACGGTTATTCCAGTCGTGCAGGTCCTTGGACAGATCGATCTCCTCGGCCGTCCAGAAGGACGCCTCGGCCTTCTTGTACATCTGCCAGATCTGCAAAGGGTTAGTTGTCATCGATACACACACACACACACACACACACACATATATATATATATATACTGATTGACGCGTCTGACACGTCGCGTCACGTGTCGCGGGAACTCACCTCATGGTACTTGATGGGGAACAAGACGAAGCGGTTAGGGTTCTCCTGCAAGAGGGGCTCGTCGGCCTCTTCAGGACGGATAGTAGGGGCCACGCGGGGCTTCTCCTCTTCGGCCTTGTTCATCTTGTGCTCGTTGTGCTTGGCGTCCATCTGCTCCTCTAGGGTGGCGAGGTCGGCGTCAAACGGAGCGTTCTCCTTGTTAGCCGCCGAGAAGTCGAGCTTCTTGACCGGCGACTCCATCTTGAAGGCCTCAACGGCGGCAGCAGCCTGCGGAAGGGACAGGTCAGTGCTTGACACGTGGAAATGGGAATGGACGCGACGGGGCGTCGGGGCGCGGGGTTGGGTTGACCGGAGGGGCAGTTACGAACCTGCTTGGAGGGGGTGAGCTGGGCAGCCATTGTGAAGTGAGTCTAAGAATTAGTGACGATGAGGATAGAGGATTTGTTGTCTACAGGCAAGAGCAAGCCGTAAGGCAGAATATTACTCTTGAAGATGAGAGTAGTCTGGTCGAGGAAGAGTGCAAAGCTGAGCTGGGGACCGAGTCGCGATTCTTAAATGTTGCACATTGCACGTGGTTCCACAATTTTAGTGCTGAATCTGCTCGCGCCGCTCACCTAGCGCGGAGCCAGGGTACGCGTCGACGCGTATCCCCCGAAACAGCCCACCTGCCGTTCTAGATCAACACACACGCACACACACACACAGCAATCGGCCTCTCCTCCTTAAAACCCCCCCCCCTTCCTCCCGGCCCTCTTTCCCAACCACCCACAAACGGGCTAGGGCCATAGAGCACGGGCAAACAACCCACATGCATCCGCCCAGCATCCGCCCATCCCATCCGCGGCCCACTCGGGGCTCTGATGCCTGGATGCTGTACTGGCGGCCCTTGTCATTCTCGCCATTTCCATGCGTTCTGCCCCCGGCCAAGGCTCGCTTTTTTATCAGATCTTCAGCCGAGACGACACACATAGCACAACTGGCATGACCGTGCTGCTGTCTGCCAGTCAGACCCCTGTCTGCGGCCGGCCGCGACGGCTCTCAGCTCCACTGCGACACACCGGCGGCATCCCTTTGGCTGGGCGTTGGCGCAGGGGGTACAGGCCTTGGCTGACGGCGATGATACGCGACGCGTCCATGAGCAAGTGCTAAGCATTATGATGATGAGAGCCATGGGACTACAATTGTAGGTAGGGAGTAATCACTGTTTTGCTTCACCCAAGATGCTCACCAATGCTTCAATTCTTGTCCCAAGGCCTCTCCCCGAGATGATCAAGCTTTAAGTTCCGAATGAGAGCTCGCCACAAGTTCCATTTCATCAACGCGTCTGTGGAGCACACGCGTCACGGCAAGCTCCCAATCTCGTAACTTTTCTTGGATACCAGAACGGCGTGGGGTCGCTGGAGGTCAGCGTCGGAGCAATCCACCGCGGCGACCCACCGTCTTCGTCATTGTTAAGCATCGCGTAACCACGGACAGATCCGCCGCTCGGGATTTACTATCTCCGAGCTGGTCTCGTCAGTCGGACCATGTCCACAGATTATCTGATCTCTTCCAGCGTATTCAACATAATTCCGGTGCTGGGCGCTAACTGATTAATAAAAGCATCCATATATCCCTTATGCCTGAACGCCATGCTAAAATGTTCACACATCTTCATTCTACCAATGACAATTTGAAATTTAACCCCAACCCTCACCGGAGCCCAACTCTATGACCTCCTCCCCGACCGGGTGACAGCCCTCGGATCCTTCAGACCCGGCCGCGGCCCGGTCTCACACCGTGCCGGCGTCAGCAGCCTGCCGACCGGTGGCATCCTGTCTCGGCTAGCCGGCGTCGTACTAACCGTGGCCGGCTTAACAGGCTCCTTACCTTTGTCAACCCTACACCACGTGGTCTCGACACCCGACTCAACATCCGGGTCCTTGGGTAGTATCACGTTGGGCCTGCTCTCTCCATGCCCGCTCTCACTCCCGTCTGTTGAATTTCCGCCGTCCGGGTTCACGTTCGCCCGCCCCTTCTTCTCCAGGTGCTCGTACAGCAGCCAGGCGTTGCGGGTGTTAGCACGGTAGTAGATGTCGATGATGTCGCCGATGACCGGGACCAAGCCAAGGGCGAAGTCGAGGGCGATGTTGAAGACCATTTGCGCGCGGATGCGCTTGGGCAGGCCGTCGTCGATGGTTGAGGCAATCCAGATTAGGCGGAGGGCGATCAGCCATTCGATGCCATCGCCGATCCTAGACTTGTCAGCTGGTATGTATGTTTGGTTGGATGCTGGTGGTGATGATGATGATGATGATGATCACCTACAGAGGGATCAGGCCGAAAATGCTTGACCATCCAAACTTGACCATGCCGCAGCAGCAGCTGAAGCAAGTGTCGAAGCGCCGGGCTTTCTTCTGCACGCGCTTGAGGACCTGTTGGTCATGTTCTGAGAGACCCGGCGGCGGTGCTCGTTCTTGGAGCTTATACTTGATGACGCTGCCGTCCTTGCCGTAGACGGGGACTCTTTCGTAGTAGGGGTCCTGCCTGGGTAGTCAGTGTCTGTGACGTCTAGCCCATTTCAATGTCCTCTGCTTACGGAAGAGTTGTGATTAATCTTCTCAGAGATCTTCTTGCCCGCCACCTGGCGAACAGCGTTCACTGCGAGGGCACTCATATTGTCGCGGTCACTCAGGAACAGGAGGTGAGCAGCAAGCAGAAGCAGTGCAGGCCAACTACAGGCTACCATGGCGGGAGATGGACCAGATATAAACGGTCCTCTTTGTTGCCGCCGGCGACGATTCGATCTCAACGGTCAAGCAACTGACAGGCCAGCCTAGCTATGGTATTGGACGGGGCGCTTCGTTGGCCCTGTTTCAGGTCGCGCCCGCAGACTGGCTTGGGACGCTTGCAGAAGCGGTTTGCGGGCGGCCTGCGGCTAGTTTGTTGTTCCGGTTGGTCCTGGGAAACATGGGAGAATAACAGCTCGGATTTTACAAGTGCTATACGTACGTGATACATTTTTTTTATCTTTCTAAGCTTTTCTGATATAACTAGTCATCTCCCGACCCTCCCCTGCAAACGCATTCCGGTCTTTGTGGCGACATGTGTGCAGCCGCCGATGGTGACCATCAGGGTCGTTCTCCAAAGCCAATTGGCTAAGCGGCTGCGCGATGACGTCCTGTCCCTGGCTTGGCGCACAAGCGCCCGGGTGGACATTCTGCACTGCCACACTTTATGTGCATTAGCCACATCTTGAAGGAGGGGTATTGTGGCGGGAGCTGCCCCGCAGTGGACCGGGCGTCTTACTCTGGTGGAGCAAATGCCTGCCATCCACGTTGACACACGTCGCTTCTCCCGCTCTCGGCTGCTGCCACTTGCAGTTCGTCGGTCACTCGAGTATCAAATTCCCAGTCCGACCGCCTAGAGCGAACCCAAGCCCCAAACTCTCAAGTCGATAGAGGCATCTTTAATCCGATCGTGATATCGTCAGGTCGCGCCGCGCCCACTGCAGCTTCGACAAGGTCGATATTCGCTCAGCGAGGCGACGCAGTCTGAACCAGAACCCAAACTGAGCCCCCAAGAACCGTCCACTGACGGCACCTAAAACGAATTGGTGTCGGAATTTCAGTGGTCTTGCCTTCGTTTGACTGCCCTTGTGCGGCGACTCGGCCCGCATTTTGTGCATTTGTGCCTGATCGTCGACCGCCTACCTGTCACTTGTCGTCCTATCGTCGGGTTGCAACGGCATACAGATCAACGCTACGGCTGAGAGAGGATCGTCCGTCTCTCTGTTTGCCGTTAGCATCGAACCACTCAAACACTTATCTCTATAATCCGTCCCACAAGCATTCATACCGGACCGACCATCGAAACAATACTCGCGCCGTGGACATGCTCATATCCTCCTGTCGCCATGGCCGAAACCAAGTTGACGCTCGAAGATTGTGCGTCTCCTCTACTTGACGTGCTATACAGTTCCTCTGCTAACGCACCGCAGGGCTGGACGACCTGTGCGTCCGCTTCATCATCCACTTGCCCAAGGAAGACCTCTCGTCGGTCGCGCGCATCTGCTTCCAAGTTGAGGAGGCACAATGGTTCTACGAAGACTTCATCCGCCCGCTGGACCCGACCCTGCCGTCCATGTCACTGCGCAGCTTCTGCCTGCGCATCTTCCAGCACTGTCCGCTGCTGGCCCCCTTCTCCGTCGAGAACCACATGCGCGCCTTCGAGGAGTTCTTACAGTACAAGACCCGCGTGCCCGTGCGCGGCGCCATCCTGCTCAATGAAGCCATGGACGCCACTGTGCTGGTCAAGGGCTGGAAAAAGGGCGCCAACTGGAGCTTCCCGCGCGGCAAGATCAATAAGGACGAGGACGACCTCGACTGCGCCATCCGCGAGGTCTATGAGGAGACCGGCTTCGATATCCGTGAGGCCGGCCTCGTGCCCAAGGACGACGAGGTCAAGTACATCCAGATCTCGATGCGCGAGCAGCAGATCAGGCTCTATGTCTTCCGCAACGTGCCCATGGACACCGTCTTCCAGCCCAAGACCCGCAAGGAGATTAGTAAAGTGCAGTGGTGGAAGCTGTCTGATCTGCCTGCATACCGCAAGAAGGGCAACGGTAATAATCATGACGATGGCGTTGTTGCGTCCTCTTCATCTAGTGCCAACAACAAGTTTTACATGGTGGCGCCATTCCTGGTGCCTTTGAAGAAGTGGATCGCTCAGCAGAAGCGCAAGGACGCGGCCCGGGCTGCCCGTGCTAACAACGGCGCCCAGCTGCCTGGCCAGCTACCGGCCGAGGAAGGGCTTACTGAGGACGATCTCGGTGCTCAAACCGAGCCGGTGCCGGAGGAGGCTCCTCCTTCGAACAATGGCACGCCGGCCATTGAGACTCTCGAAGGCGCCACGCTCGAGCTGCAGCGTCTACTCAAAGTCCAGCCACCCACGCAAGGCCTGCAGGTCGGTGGCCAGCCTTCTGGGGCCGGCAAGGCTGAGGCTCTTATGGCTCTGTTACAGAAGAAGACTGAGACGCCCGGGCAGACACCGCAGCCTCAGCGGTCTTATGATTATCCTACTGGACCGGATACCCCGCAACGTGTTCCCGGCCACGCGGACTACAACCAGCCGCCGGCCAGCTTCCCAATCCCGTCCAGCGCAGGTCAGCCTTACTCGTCGGGTTATTACAAGCAAGACCCTCAGCCGGCGCCGCGGTTCCCCGAGCCGTACAGCCACAACCCGTTCACCAACCAAGGCCGCGACCCGCCGCTACTACATCCTCAGCCGATGCTGCCGCAGTCAATTCTCACTCGGGCCATCCTGCAAACACCCAATCTGCCCGACCTCAGCACCCCGTCGGTGGCCCCGACCCAGCAGGGTGTGTACGGTCCGCCAACCGGCGGCGGCTACGGCGATGTCTACGGCCCGCAGCAGCCGCCTCAGCAGCCGTTGCAGCCTGTTCAGCCGGCTGCTAAGCCGCAACTATCAGCCCATGCCCTGTCGTTGTTGAATGCCTTCAAGTCCGGCTCACAGGAGGGCCCCTCAGCACAAAGCTCTCAGCCAGCCAGCTCGGCCCCCGCCGCGGTGCTCGCTACCGCGCCCGGCCCAGGTCCCTGGAGCCAAGCCCAACCGTCCGCAGTGTCGGCCTTGCCCTACCTCTCACAGCACCTGGGCGGTGCAGCCCCGCAAATGCAGACCTCCCCTCGCGGCGGGGCCGATCTGCCCATCCAACTACCGCCTAAACCAGCTCCGCCGACCGATGCCCATCGCTCCGCGTTGCTGGATATGTTCAAGCGGGGAGCCAGATCTCCCGGTTCTCCTTTGCGAAATGAGATTAAAGCTAGTAGTTTTGAGGAGACGGTGGCACTTGGTCGGGCGAGGGAGAGAGAATGTGAAGGTGAGAGGGAGGGTACTGGTAGTGGTAGTAGTAGTGGTAGTAAGGAGGGACCTGGGCAAGGGTTTAATAAGCAGCCGAGTGCGGCGGAGGCTATTGCTGCTGCGAACCAGGCACGTGGTGGGCCGGTACAGATGAATCCTGAGGTTATGTTGCCTTACAGGGCTGTGGAGATTCTAACGAGGCCGAAACAGCAGCAGCATCATCAACAACAACAACAACAGGCTCAGCAGGCACAGGTGGGAGGAAATGTGCAGCAAGAGCAACAGCAGCCGCAACCGCCACCGCAGCCGCAGCAGGTTGAGGATACGAGAGAGACGATTCAGAGGTTGCACCAACGCATTCAACCACCGGGCCAGCAGAGGGGGAGGGCTGGGTCCGGGTCGGGGGTTTCGCCGAGGGAGAGGAAGAGTTCGGGGTATTTGTTTCAGCAGGCGCAGAGGGAGCAACAAAGAGAGCTGGAACGGGAACGCGAGAGAGAGGAGCGGTCGCCAAAGGTGCCGACTGGGGGTTCGCCCTTCACGATTTCCGGTCCTGGCCCCTCTACTGGCGTTGCTGCGGCTGCGGCTCCTCAAGGCATTCCCATCTCTTATGGTTCACAAGCCCAACAACAACAACAGCAGCAGCAGCAGCAGCAGCAGCAGCAGCAGCCGCCGCCGTATAATTACCAGTCCTCTCCCGCTGCAGTGTATGCCTCGCTGTCGTCATCCTACGGTCAGTCCTCGCAAAGCCCGATTGCACTGTTGCAGCAGCAGCATCAGAGGCTGGCTGCGTCGAAGGGGAAAGAGGGTACGAGTGTGGAGCAGAGGCAGAAGCTGCTTGCGCTATTTGGGACTGGTGCCTCTGCGGGGGCTAAAGAGGGGGGTGCCGGTATTGGTGTGCAGCAGCCACAGAGAAGGGGTTCTGGAACGTCTGCTGGCACCGGGGGTGTCAGTCCGGCGACGTCGATCCCTCCTGGGTTCGGCCCGGGTCCTGGAGCCGCGGCTGGGTATGCTGCCGGCCTGTACGGGGATGACCTCAAAGGCAAGAGGCGCGACTCTGCTGCGTCCGGATCCGGACCAGGTGTTATTGGGTCCGGAATGCACCGCTCCAGTGCCAACACTACACCGCAGTCCACAGGTCAGCCTGCTGCTACGCAATACCAGCAGCAACCTCAGCAAAGGTCGAGGGTTGCCTCGCTGGCGGAGGCGATTGGCGTTCCGATTTCTGCTACTTCAGCAGGTGCTTCGCTGCCAGGAGCTTCTATGCCGGGTGTTATGCCGGATGCTTTGTCAAGTTCCTCCATTCCAGGATTCATCCCTGGTATCGGGGTTGGCGCTGGCTTCGGGCCTGGAGCTAGCATGGTGCCGCCTGGGGCTCCGGGTAATGCGTCGAGCAGCGCAGTTGGTGGTAGCATGTCCCGGAGAGCGAGCAGCCAGACTACGGCGACGGGCGGGGCGACAATTTCGCAGGAGGATAGAAACTTTTTGTTAAGTTATTTGGAGAGTGTTACGGGGGTTCGGGGCGTTAGTGTCCCGTTTTTTTTTTTCATTAATATTTAAGTTTGGGATGGGTTGGCTGGGTTGGGCGGCGTTTTAGGTAGGGGGTTGGTTCGTGCATGGGAGGTCGTTTGATGGTCTCTAATCTCGCTGCTCTGCTTTTCTTCTTCTTCTTCTTCTTCTTCTTCTTCTTCTTCTTCTTCTTCTTCTTCTTCTTCTTCTTCTTCTTCTTCTTCTTCTTCTCTCTCTCT